TGTTCAAATATTTTTGTTGAGAAGTTGGTTAATTATTGTTTTTTTTTTTCCTGTTTTGGTCTTTTGTGAATCAATCTCTCTACCTACTTTTAAGACTTTTTCTACAATTTCACTATGATATATGTCAGTGTACATTCCTTGTACTTACCTGTTTAAAGTTCACAGAACTTCTATAAACCTACACCTCAGTTTTTCTAAAGTCTCTATTAAATCATCAAAATTACCTCTTCATTGGATTTCCCTCTCCTTTCAGGATTCTAATTGCATTCATAAATTTCCTCATTTTATCACCCTTTTTTGAAAGTGCTCCCAAATGTCCACAACAGCTGGAAGCCAGAAGCTCTGCAGCTTTCCCATGTGGGTGGCAACAACCCAGTTACTTGAGTCATCACCCCATCTCCCCGGGTTCGCAGGGCAGGAAGCTGGAGGTGAGAATGGAGTTGGAAATCAGGTCTCAGTCCTCTGAAGCAAGACATCAGTGTCATAACCTCCGGATAAATATTTCCGTATTATGTGTGTCTTAACCTGTCAATATTTTTGACTGTTCAGGAATTAATATGGGTAGTTTTCTTCTGATTCAGCTTCTAAGTCAATCTTCAGTTTTGTGTAATTCGTAGCTAAAGCCATCCATCGGCTTCCTAGTTTCAATGACTGCATTTTTCTGTTCTAGAATTTCTCTGACTTATACTCAAATTTTATAAACATTTTGGAAACTACTTAACTATTATATGGTTTGTGTGGTTTCCAATTCTCAAATGAATCAGAATTTTATCTTTTGACTTAAACTACTTGAACAAAGTAATCACAATCATTCTAGCATTTGGAGCACCCAGATCTTTTTATCATCTGTTCCTTTTCTTGGTTCTCATTCCCGTTGTGTTGTCTCTTCTTGTTCCAAGTTTCTTTCAGTTGTGTGGAGACATTGTATTTGAAGACTTGTTTGTAGAAGTACTTTTATAATTGAGGTCTAGGGTGTTGTTTTGCTCTGGAGGATTTATGACAGTTTCTGCCAGGATCTGAAAATACTGGCAGAGCTCTCAATCCAAACTGATGTGGATTCTGATTCAACTAGTTTGTGTAATCTACTTCCTCTTAATCCTTCCTACTTAAGTGCAGCACACCTTAGGGCTTCTAACCCAAAGTAATGGGATTCCCAGCTTCTCTTTGCAGGCCCTGAAGTCCAAATTTTGTCCTTTATCCTTGGAGACTGAAAACAAACTCCCCTACACTCCACCTCAGCCTGAACAACAAAGGTCTAGGCTCTGAGACGCCAAGTTGGCACTGCATGACCACGTTTCTCCAGCTTCATTAAACTCTGGGACATTCAGACGCGCTGGAGCTAATTTGAACTGGCATTCACAGATAGTTGCTCAGTCCCTGTTACATGTCAATCTCGGAGTTACAGAGAAACTAGAGGGAGTGATGGAATAGCAATTGCCAGGGAGAGAATCAAACGCTGATGCACAAAGTGGCAGAGGATCATTTAGAGACTCTGAATATTTTCTAGGTTCCTCAGGGAGGCCCAAAAGTAAATCTAGACTTTTTATCACCAAGATTTCCTTGCACCCTTTGGATCAACCCTGCTTTGTATGGAGGTGGGGATCATGCCATTGAAATGATAGAAAGCAAGTAGTGCTGGATATTTTTCAACACTGCAGGCAGCTGTTCTTATCATAATGAAAAAGGATACACCAGCCCAGAGTCAGCAAACTCCAAAAGATTATCAAGGTAAAGATCTGTAATTCTGTGGCACAGCATGTTAAAGCCACTGCCTGCTATGGTATGCTGCATCTCATAGGGGGCCCAGTTTGAGTCCCATCTGCTCCACTTTCCATCCATCTCCCTGCTTGTGGCACTGTGCAGTCCCATTAAAAATTATATTTTGGGCTCAGCTCCAAGGCTCAATGACTAAGTCCTCACCTTTCAAGCCCATCTTTTCTTTTTCTTTTTAAGATTTATTTATTCAAGTGGGCCCGGCAGTGTGGCCCAGCGGCTAAAGTCCTGCCTTGAATGCGTCAGGATCCCATATGGGCGCTGGTTCTAATCCCGGCAGCTCCACTTCCCATCCAGCTCCCTGCCTGTGGCCCGGGAAAGCAGTCAAGGACGGCCCAAAGCCTTGGGACCCTGCACCCATGTGGGATACCCGGAAGAAGTATCAGATCGGAATAGCATCGGCCATTGCGCTCACTTGGGGAGTGAAATCATCAGATGGAAGATCTTCCTCTCTGTCTCTCCTCCTCTCTGTATATCTGACTTTCCAATAAATAAATAAATCTTTTTTTTAAAAATTCCCATATGGGTGCCGGTTCTAATCCCAGCAGTCCCGCTTCCCATCCAGCTCCCTGCCTGTGGCCCGGGAAAGCAGTTGAGGACGGCCCAGAGCTTTGGGACCCTGCACCCGCGTGGGAGACCCGGAAGAGGCTCCTGGCTTCAGATCGGCATAGTATCGGCCCGTTGCGCTCACTTAGGGAGTGAATCATCGGACGGAAGATCTTCCTCTCTGTCTCTCCTCTCTGTATATCTGCCTTTCCAATAAAAAAATAATAAAAAAATAAATCTTTAAAAAAATTTTTTTTTTTTATTCAAGTGCCCAGTATGATAGCCTAGTGGCTAGATCTTCGCCTAGATCCACCGGAATCCCATATGGGCACTTGCCTTGCTCATGGCAGATCCCATGTAGACATCAGTTTGTTTCCCAGCTGCTCCACTTCCTGACCAGCATCCTACCTGTGGCCTGGGAAAGCAGTTGAGAATAGTCCAAAGCCTTGGGACCTGTTCTCTCTGTACATCTTCCTTTCCAATAAAACTAAATAAATTGTAGAGACAGAGAGAGAGAGAGAGCATTCCCATTTGCTATGGGAATTTCCCAAATACTTATAATGGCAGGTGAGGCTAAACCCAGGAGCCAGTACTTCACTCAGGTCTCCCACAGGGGTGGAAGGGAACCAAGCAGGTAAGCCATCCTCTGATGCACACAGCAGCATGGATGTCAGGAGTCAGGAGCAAATCCAAGAATGGAACTCAGGTACTCTAAGGTGGGATGAGAGTACCCTAACCTGTTAGCCTAAGGGCTCAACTCCCAGCCCAAATGCAGATATTTTAGAAATGTAGTGATTATGTGTATTACACGACACAGTGAGGTCTGATAATCAGATCCTTTACAGAGAATGTAAGCACAGTCATACCACGTGAAATAAACTAGGTCTATAGTCTCTCATCACGTCACATCAGGTTTTCTGCCAAATAAATTTTGTCACCAGTTTAAAAAAGAAGAAACTGGGTTTCAGTGAAAGGTCTACTACAAATTGTGACTGGATTCATCAGGGATAGATCTCACAGTCTGCCAACAGAACTTTTGCAATTGGCTTAAGGACAAAAAAGAAATGACCCAAGCATTGGGAGAACACATGGAAATCTGAGTGTGTGTGAAGGCTAAGTTCATTCCTAAACAATGGGAAGTTTGCCACAAAGACTGACGATCAGGTAATGCAGTGAACAGCAACTCCAACCCAAGCACGTGGGCACCTGAGTACTTGTCAGCACCACCATAGGTCTAACTGGGTAGTTATTCTCCCACACCACAGTTCCTGGGTTTCAGACATTACCTGAAAGCCTCTCACAGGAGAAACCAAATGTGAAGTGCAGGCTTCTCGCAAGGACCACCTGATGTGTGTTAGAAATGCAGTGCTTGCACACACCTCACCCCCTCTCACAATCTACTCCACCAAGCACTTGGGAGGTGGAGACCACAGTTCATGCTTGAGTAAGCTCTCCGAGTGCCTCTGCTGATATTAAAATGTGAGAATCCAGATCTAGAATAAGCTCCTCTGTAGGCGAGTGATCAAGACAACCTTTATGAAATATGCCAGTTCTCTTGAGTACCAGCCCCGACAAAGCACATTTAACAGGCACTGGGGCTGACTCTGATGCCCACCAGGTTTTCATTGCCACTTCAGCAGACTCTGACCTCCTTGAGGGCAAGGACTGGCTTGTGCAGCTTGCTAGCTGTGCCACAACAGACACTGCTGAGTGACTAACTAGCTCAGCCTCCCCTGCTATGTCACCACCGCAGGTGCCCAGGATGCTTAGGAGCCTGACCAAGGAGCACAAGGTGATGTGCTTTGCCATCTCCTTTCTTATCCTCTAAACAATCAAAATTTTGCTTATTTAAAAATGGCAGTAGCAGGCTAATCCTCCACCTGTCAGCACTGGCATCCCACATGGGCGTCAGTTTAGGTCCCAGCTGCTCCTGCTTTCAATCTGGCTCTCTGCGTATACCATGGGAAAGCAGCAGATAATGGTCCAAGTCCTTTGGCACCTGCACCCACATGGGAGATGGGCCCTGTGGCCACTTGGAGAGAAGGCCTCTCTCTCCCTGGCTCTCCTTTTCTCTGTAAAATATGCCTTTCAACTACCAAAAAAATGATAAATAAATAAACAAACATTAAAAACAAAAACCCTCAAAAAATGGCAGCGTCAGCTTGCTGAGTAGTCAGGCTGTTAACTGATGAATGGATCCATCTGTGTTTTAAGCTGTTTGGTTCTAAAGAAAGATGACTGTGGTTGGGAAGGCAAGAGAGTAAGCTGAGGGAGGGCCTTAGTATTTCAAGTGCCTACTAGAGGTGAAGTTCAGGCTAATTTAGGTAAAGATGACAGACATAACTGTTAGCCTGGGGGAATATGATCCCTCTAGAAATACTAGTTTGGCAAAAGAAAAAAAAGAAATAAAGAAAATGAAAAAAGAAACTTCTGTTAAGAAAAGGCTTTCAGCACTCTTACCCTTTGCTTAGTTTTGGAAGAAAGACAGACAAGGCAACCAAGAAATAGATGCTGAGAATTCAGGCTCCCTGGTGTTAGCATTAATCACAGTGCTCACCACATGGGTCTGTTTACAGGAAAAAACTGATCTACTAGGTCAAACCTTTTCAGGTTTAAACAGAAACGCATACACAGCAGAAAGCAAACTGATCTTGTAGACACACATACATTTCAATACAAAGTATTAAAAATTGCCCATTTATTTTTCTACCCAATTCAATACCCATGATATACACAGGATGTAAACAAAGCATCATAAATATTTACAGGAAGATACAAAAGCCAGAGACCAAGGGAGAAACTCAACAAAGTCATGAGTTGCTGCTTAGCCAAGTCCACCCATCTGCACAAAGTGTCTTCTAGAGCGGCTTCACATCTTCCACAGGGATCAAACAAACATTACTAGAGCTGATAAACTCATGTTTGGGACTGACAGCCAGAGGCTTTAAAAGAACATTCTCTTCAGGTTTCCCGCCTGTGTTACAGCCAGCTCCTGCAGGGAGAAAACTTCATCAAGGATCTGCTTCTCCCTTTGTGGCCTCCCCTAGGGTCCTCCTCACCATGAGAAGCCGCTGCAGGAAGTCCCTCATCCCAACAGACGGCAGAATTTCTCCACATAAAATTTGGGGGAAGAGCGGTCTTAGCTACTAGACACCCCTGACCGGGCAGGCAGGCAGACAATACAGGGCTCATATTTCGCACACCACACATTTCTCTTGAGAGAAAACGGGGAAGAACATCTCAGAACCCTCCACGTTACATCACATACAACTTCCCACAAAGGGGATGGGAGACGACAAAAATCTACATCCAGACAATTTATTTGACACAAGCCAGAGTTGAAACGAATCATCCCATCTTTAGTTTCAGGAATATAACGGGTTAAACACTCAATGTTCCTTTATAGGAAGTACAAGATTAAGAGTCCCTGCCTCAGCCAGGGGCTAGGAAAAGCAGTGGGCTTAAGTACAAGGAACGTGCAAGGTTGTCAGCTGACCTAGCCACTATCTCTGCTCACAGGAAGAGGTTACTACATTGAAATGCTAAATTCTTTCACATTCAACAACCAAGACCAACTCAACTTCAGACACAATGCAAAGAAAAAAAAAGCCAAGGACAAGAGTCTAAATACCCAACTGTCTGACAAAAGGGGAACTGTCTGTCCCGCAAAGAGTTTCAAGGCAGCAGGATTCAGTTATAATCTGGCATGTGCTGGTGAAAGGGGCAGCAGGCCCGGGGCTAAGATATTCTGTTGTAAAGATATAACACATCAATGAATCAGACAAATGGTAGACATATATGCCACATGAAAGATTCTCATCCACAATGCAATGCTGACTTGAAAGGAAAAAAACTAGGGGACTCTAGAAGGGAACAGATAATAGGACAAGAATTACAAGGGGGCATTTCAGTCCAAAGCTAGTCTGACGAATATCTACCATCAGGACTTCCAATCTTTCATCTCCAAAGACGTTGATCTAATAAATTATAAAATTACCTCATTCACACTTGGGACTTACAACATACTCCAAGTACAGTAATCTCTCTGACGCTGGTTTTCATTCGCTCCTTCATGACTAAGTCGTGTCTGGCTTTAAAGATTTTCCTATTATATTTTAACTAGACAGTTAACACAGCAGAGGCCACTCCCTCTGTGAAGACAGACAAGCATCAAGTAATAATTTGATCTAATGAGATGAACCACGGGAGTAAAAAGGGAATATTTCCTGGGTTTTCTTGCTTCTTTTTTTCTTGCCTGAAAAACTCTGCAATCATTTAATGTTTTGTTCCAGAAAGAGAAAGCAAAACTAGTTGGGAAAATAGTCATATACTTATTGTTTACTACCATGACACAAAATAAACTCATACTGTCAATTGTTTCTCAAAACCCAAATGTGCACGTTTAATCTTGTAACTTAAGAACTGGATTTTTCCACATTCCTTTACACAGAGTTAGCATCTGTAAATTGAGTCTTTTTTTGGACAATCATGCAAATTTAATTTGTCCCTGGAAACAAAAACACAACCTAACAGATTAACAAAATATGTCCTTCAGACAATATTTTCTCTGTGAATCTCTCTCCATTGTTACTATTCTTGGGCTTTTGGTAAACAGAAACTACTCCGCAAAGGTTTAAGCTAGCTGACGTTTACCGAGATCTAAACTCGCAGACTGATCAGGGAGACTGCCTCAAATCAACACATACTTAACTTCTGAACTGGTTTCATTCTTTCCAAAAGCAAATTCTACAAAAAAATCCTGAGTGATTATTATTAAGTTATATGAGTTTGGGACATTTCTACTGCCATAGATGCTTCTGTAAAATTGAATAAAGATTTTATTATACCACACACACAAAAAGCAATCGGTACAGAAAAGGGAGTTTTCAGTTATTCTGTTGAGAATTTCTTTCCATGATTTCTCCCATTAAAGTATAGTTTTCAAAGCAACCACCACGACAAAGGAAGCATCTAATTAGTCCATTTTCTTCTGATCCAAGAATGCTGAGCATTTACTGTCGCATCTGTAGTTGTATCAGCGGTGTAATGAACACAGTTTATATTACTTAACTATTCTTTGAACTCCAAGAACTGTTGAAGTCTTCTCTGATGTTCTGCAGATGCTTGCACAGCACTAAATGAAACATAAATTCAAAGCATAAGCTTTATTTTACATTAAGCATATTAAGTGAACCACAGAGCACAGTCAATATTTTTCAAAACAATTAAAAATGAATAGAAATCTTCACTTATTTAGTACTTCTGAAAAACACTGGATAAAAACCCTTTGTAATCGACTGCGGAGGAAGGCGTGCATTCGGGAACAGCATGCTTCTACCTTCTAAAGGACCAATGCAAATTAAGGCTGACAAGTGAAGGCATCGACTCCAACCTGCTCCACTGCGGAGCCTGCTGTGCAGAGTTCCAGGCCTTGCAGTAGATTTTCTGGATTTTATTATTTTATTTAAACCAGATCCCAACATTATCTTTGAGCTACGGAGTATTTGAATTGCCTTTAATAGAAAATCCTTTAAACTACAATGTTTGGTTAAAACACAATGGACTGCATTAATCGTTTTCAAAGGTAACAGCTTGAGGGTTTACATTGCCTTCTGCCTTTGAACCTAAGTTATGCTTTGGAGGGGACACTGAGTACGCACTCTAGCCTCACCACCACAGAAACATGTTACCTTCACAGAACAGAATCAGGAACACAGAAACATGCATAGATCTTCCTTTTAAACTTTGGCAAAGCTGGAATATAGTGAAGCGTTCTGATTTTCTAGTCCTTCAGTAGTAACATCTTAAGACTGAATACAAGCTCAGGTAACCAAAGGTCTTTGTCATTCAATGAGTAAAAATGGTCATATTTCACTAAGTTAATTACAAATCATCCTAAAATGCCTCGCACACATCACTGCTTTCTTAAGCCATAGAGCTAGCTGGGCTGGACCTTGTATAGCACCACCCTGTGCAAAGATGCCCTGGAGATGCTTGGGAAACCTTTGTGAGCCTGGTACCTCCAGCTGCCTGGCTCTGAGTGCTCTCCAACCCCAGGGCTGTGGCTTCCCAGGAATCCTCTGTCTGCTAGCTGGGAGCAAAGTAGCCACATCCCTCATTAGTACTCCTAACTCCAAGAGCAATCTCTGCGCCTCAAATAAATCACCCCAGGTTTTATGCTGAAGAAGTGGCTAAACACCTTGCCTAAATTAAAGAGCAGATTTTGGTTCAGCAGATAAGTCACCACGTGGGATGTCACATCTCACAGGTTAAAACACAGATGATGATTCAAGTGCTGGGCACTGCCATCCACATGGGAGACCTGGAATGGGTTCCAGGCTCTTGGCTTCAGCTTGGCCCAGCCCTGTCTGTGGCCAGCACGTGTGGAGTGAACAGATAGATCTCTGCTGGCAACTCAGTGTACCTCTGCCTCTCTGCCTTTCAAATAAAATGGAAATAAATAACTTTTTAATTGTCTAAACTAAGAGTAACTTGAAGCAGAGGAAATGCAGAGATGTAGGTCAAGAAATACAAAGCAGTTAGCCACATAGTGAGTAAATCTAGGGATCTAATGTGCAATGAGACTTCAACATATAAAGCTGTATTAGAAGTTCTATTCTAAGAGGCCTAGCATGGTAACCTAGTGGCTAAAGCCCTTGCCCTGTATGCACCAGGAACCATTATGTCTGCTGGTTTGTATCCCGACCACCCCACTTCCCAGCCAGCTCCCTGCTTGTGGCCTGGGGAAGCAGTTGAAGATGGCCCAAAGCAGTTGAAGATGGCGCCCATATGGGAATCCAGAACATGTAAGGTCAGAATTTAGCCACTGAACCTTCACGGTGGGCCCCCAGTGTACCTCTTTCAACACTTTTTATAGGAGTGTTAACATTGTTCGAGCTGATAAGAGGTTGGGGAGACAACACAGCTGGAGCACAAGCACCACAGACTGAAGTAGAGGGCTGCAAGGATAAGTCTGAATCCTGCTTCTGCAATGCACTACCTGCATAGTTGAAGCATATTGTGTAAGTCAATGTTAATTTTGCCCTAAGATAAAGAAAGTCAACAGTGAACTAGACATAGATCCCAAAGTTGTAACTCTACATCTGACACTTTTCCACCATATCATTCTGGCTGACATTTGGATGATGGACTCCACTGACCTCACAGTTTTGCTGCATATATTCGCCCTGGCTCTTCTCCAAGGAAAGAAACCAAGGCAGATCCCCATTCTCACAATCTTCAGTTACTCATCTATCCTCCCTCCATATCTAATAAATCCCTTTCTCCCTTCTGTTGTTCTATCAGCAATACACAGCCCAAGCACATCATTCCGTAAACTCATCAAAGAATAAACTGAGTATATGGAACAAACTAGTTTGTTTGTTTTTTTTTTAAATAAAGATGGAGTTATCCAGTAAAATGGCTCAACTGGGTAGTCCTCCACCTGCAAGTGCCAGAATCCCATTAAGAGCACAAGTTTATGTCCTGGTTGCTCCACTTCCCTTCCAGCTCCTTGCTGCTGCCCTAGAAAGCAATAGAGGATGGCCCAAAGCCTTGGGACCCCATGCCTGCATGGAAGACCCGAAGAGGCTCCTGGCTTCAGATTGGCATAGCTCTGACCATTGCAACCATTGGAGAATGAATCAATAGATACAAGACCTTCCTGTTTATACTTCTGTAAATCTGCCTTTCCAATAAAAAAAAAATACATATAATATATATATATTTTTTAAGTAATTACAAGTTTACAGTAATCAAGACATCATCATACAGCAAAAGAATAGTTACACACACACACACAAAAGAATAGAGTCCAGAAATACACTCATATAGATACAGTCAATTCATCTTAAAAACAAAAAGGGCAGAGTTAGAGAAAGAGACATAGAACTTCCATCCACTGGTTCACTAACCAATGGTTGCAATAATCAGAGCTACAGCCAAAGCACATTAGCAGGGAGCTGGATTAGAAGGAAGCAGTCAGAGAATGAGGCAGAAGGGAAGCTAATGCACCATCTGTAGTACCCACATCCTACTGGGTACCAATTGGTGCTGCGATGCTCTACCAGCATTCTAACTCACTGCTGATGGTCTGAGAAAGTGGTAGAACTCCTGTCCTTGGGCCCTTATGTGCAAGTGGGTGACCCAGAAGAAGTTCCTGGCTTTGGATCAGCTCAGTTCTAGCCGTTGCAGCGATCTGGGGAGTGAACCAGTAGATGAAAGGTTCTCCCTGGAAATAAATCTTTCAAATAAAAATTAATAAATTATATACATGTATTTTTTTTAAAAGCAGCAGCTGGGACTTCTTTTAGTGCCCTGATATGGGATGCAGTTTAACTGACTGTATCACAAACCAGATCTTTTTTTTCTTTGTTTTTAAACAAGTTAATAAACCTCTTAACAGAGGATTATACAGCTCTTTTATTTTCACTCAAACCAAAGTGCTCCATAATACTTGTTCTAGCTACTGCCTAGTACTACAGAAATAGATGAAAAAACATACTGTCAGCTTCTAAAAAGTTTTTCTATAAGTAAGTATCATGGGAGTCCTAACCTATTTATTAATTGCAACAGAAAAAAATACTTTCATATGCCTTCTAAAGTTCATTTATAACTCATATCACAGCAAACACATCATGAGAGGAAAACAGTATTCATCAACAAAACATGATGTCAACAAGCTTGTCGTGTGTGGCTCTCCAACGCCCTCTCCTAAGGAGTGGGGACCTGCTACTCCTTTGCCAGTGTGACTGACAAAGCACCAGCCCTCATGCATTGACACATGGACACGCTGCTCACCCCCAGCCTCACTCAGCTAAATGGGATGTGAGCCACAGAAGTAGCTTTAATATAGTTTTCTAGAAAAGGGCTCGGATTTTTTTCTCTGGATCTATCAGCAATTAGAATACAGACCCACACATATTAAAAATTAACTGTTTGGGCCCAGTGTGATAACCTAGCAGCTGAAGTCCTCGCCTTGAACATGCCAGGATCACATATGGGCACCAGTTCTAATCCCAACAGCCCCACTTTCCATCCAGCTCCCTGCTTGTGGCCTGGGACAACAGTGGAGGATGGCCTTGGGACCCTACACCTGTATGAGAGACCTGGAGAAGCTCCTGGCTCAGCTCCTGGCTCAGCTCCAGCCGTTGCGGTCACTTGGGGAGTGAATCATTGGACGGAAGATCTTCCTCTTTGTCTCTCCTCCCCTCTATATATCTGACTGTACAATAAAATAAAAAATTTCTTTTTTAAATTCCTGTTTTTATAACTTTTGTTCTCTTCTGTCCATTTGAGAGAAATCTACAAAACCCATGAAAGGCCAAGTTCCAAAATGTAAGTATTATTTCAAAATCCAAGGTGTTAGCTCATGTGGGAACTGGCCCAGAGAGTACACTTCAGCATGTCAGCCGTTACAAGCCCCTTTTCTGTCTTCCAGAAAACTGCTGAAGCAATTACCATGGATCAAAACAGGCACACTTACTTCAGATTGTCACCAAATGTAGTGGTTATTCGATAGATGGCAGTTTTGAGGGATGCTCTGAAAGCAAACCTTAATGTCTTATAAGAAGTGTCCACAAGGCTTCCTGGAATTCGGGATGGTTTGCTGGAAGCATGAGGAAGCTTGAAGTACTTGTCCACTGCCTAGGCCAAGAAATGAAGGACACAGAGTCAGTTAAGTCATCAGAAGAGGAACTTTCAGTGAGGGGTTTGGCACAGCGGTGAAGCTGCCACTGGGGACACCCACATCCTCCATGGGAGTCCCTGGGTTCTAGCCCCAGCTCCACTTGCTAGGCAGCCTCCTGCTAATGCACACCCAGGGAGATGGCAGATAATACAGTTCAACTACTTGAGTTCCTGTCTTCCCTGTGAGAGTCCTAGATGGAGCTGCCAGCTCCCAGCTTCAGTCTGCCTATCCCCCAATTATGTAGATTTATACACACATACTATAAAATACATTTCTTATTTTTAGATCACTATCAAAGCAGTTTGAACAACAATGCAGCAGAGAGGCTTGGTGACGGGAGTAGTTAGCAGGTGCAAGCGAAAGTCCAAACCTGCACCCTAAAGAGGAGCGGCCAACCCAACTGCTTTGAGAATGAGCAGCAGCATGGACAGCCCTGCCACACTCCTCTGAGAGGGGTGTGACTTGCTGCAACACCTTTACTGTGGGTCCTAGACGAAAAAGCAAAGCAAGCGAGACTGACAGAGTAAGAAATGGATCCGAAAAGCATTTCGAAGTCCAAAGGCAAAACATGTAATTTTTAAATGACATAGCTATAGACAGAGAAGGGAGAGGCGAAGTCTAAGTGTTAACTGGTAAGACAAGACAACATCTAGTGTGACAAGGAATAACAGTTTAAGTATACTATCTATGCTTCTGGATGTAACTAAAATTAACCAAAATTTTGGACAAAACAGAAAGTTAAAATTATATCTACCATTACGTGTTTAATTTCAAGGTTCTTTCATGTGTTCTGACTATTCTTTTTTCTTCTAGTATTTTATTTGTACTTCAAGGATTCAGTATCCTTTTATATTGAGGGTATAGATGATACTTTTCTAGGGCTTTTCAGCTTTTTCATAATATTTTTTAAAGATTTATTTGTGTTTTAAAGATAGAGCTAACAGAGAGAGGAAAGACAGAAAAAGATCTTTCCTCCACTGGGTGACTCCCCAAATGCTGACAAGGGCCAGAGCTGGGCTAGTCCAAAGCCAGGAGCCAGGGGCTTCTTCCGGTCTCCCACACAGTGCCAGGTGCAGGGTCCAAGGCTTTGGACCATCCTCTACTGCTTTTCCAGGCCATAAGCAGGGAGCTGGATGGGAAGTGGGGCAACTGAGATATGAACTGGCACCCATATGGGACACTGGTGATAAAGGTGCCAGTCCACTATTTCTTACATTCCATACTTCCACCAAGGCCACTTGTCTTTTGGTCTCTACCTTCAGCATTACAGCTTATTTAGAAAGCTGGGGATCTGGGCCCCTAGCCCCAAGCAGGACATGCATCAGCGCTGACAGCAAGCTGGGGATTACTGATGACAGGCTTCCCTGTGGCGATCTGGGTGGAGTTTCCTGGGTAAACCTGGACAGGAGCACCGTCTCAGTGCATTTCTCTAAGCTACTTCCCATCTAGAATATCCAGCCTCTGGTGTTCTGGAACGCAGTGGGGAAAAACTCCTGAACTTACTGACCCCCATGCTTTCAGGACAGTCGTCATAGTCTTCTCCAGACTCTGCCAGTCCTCCTTTCTTTCTAACACTATGTCTGCAGGAAGGGAATATCACCCAGCAGATGACTGAGGGAGCCAAGGGACTTTCAAACAGCTCCACCCCCCTTCCAAGCCTCCTCACTTTGGTCCCTGCCCTTTTCCTCTTGGTTCCACAAATACTTACTTGCCTTCCATGGCCAGCTTGGGCTCTGCCTCTGGAATGTGCTCACTGGCTCAATCACCTGCTTTCCTGTCTTACAAACTTTGTTGCTGCTGTGTTCTCTCCTGTTTATGAATCTGTTTATTTTAGAATTCCTTTCATTTTAACACTTTTAGGGGGAAGGAACATGATTTAACAGTGTTCCAGTCTGCCATACCTTTATGTACAATCATTTAGGAGTTTTTTTAACACTGAAACATATCCGAGATAACTTTAGGCAGTACGGGAGGTGGGTGCTTGGTAAAATATTTAAGTCGTATTAATATTGAACTCTACTATGGCACACTGGCTTAAGCTGCAGATTGAAATGCTGGCACTTCACATGGACACCAGTTGATTCCCAGCTGTTCCAATCCTGATCTAACTTTCTGCTAATAAACCTGGAAAAGCTGCAGAAAAGTGGCCTGCAGTGTTTGGGTCTCTGCTAACCACATGGGAGACTGGGATTGAGCTCAGAACCCTTGGCTTTGGTTCAGTCCAGCCTGGGCCTATACAGTCATTTGGGGAATAGATCAGTAGACTAAAGATACCTCTCTCTCTCTCTCTCACTTTGTCTGCTTTTTAAATAAATATTAAATTTTTTAAAAAGGGAAAGGAAAATGCTGCCTTATAATGGGAAAGCTATTTTCTTGCAAAGCATTCTGGTTAACCCACAGCATATTCAGAAAAATAGTCATCAGTTACCACCTGAGCCCAACAAACTTCATTTACTTATCTATTTATTTGAAATTCACACACAGAGGGAGAGAGAGAGAGAGACAGAGAGAGATATCTAACTGCTGCCCCAAATAGCCACTACTGAGCCAGGCTGAAGCCAAAAGCCAGGAGCAATGGTAACTGGCCAATCCTGCAACTGCAAGCACCAGGATTCCATATGGGCTCATGTCCTGGATGCTCCACTTCCCATCCAGCTCCCTGCTTGTGACCTGGGAAAGCAATTGAGGATGGTCCAAAGCCTTGGGACCCTGTACCCACATGGGAGACCTAGAAGAAGCTCCAGATTCCTGGCTCTGGATCAGATTAGCTTCAGCTGCTGTGGCCACATGGTGAGTGAACCAGCAGATGGGTGACTTTTTCCCTCTTTTCTCTCTAAATGTGCCTTTCCAATAAAAATAAATATTTTTTAAAATTTAGCATCTTTTTCAACAATGAATATATATATAGCAAATCACTGCAGCACTAGGAGTTCCTCTGATTTTTTCATTAACGGAAATTACCAATATCTTCATTACATTGATTTTGATGTGATTACCTTAAAATAGTTCATCTTATCACTGCCTAACAATCACTGTGAAACTTACTGTAAAACATATTTGACACCATAATTAGAAAGCGTATATGTATGTGTGTCTATATGTATGTGAGTGTGTTTGTGTGTCTGTGTATATATATAAGGAAAAGTATATGTTCATAAATAGGAACATATTTATTGAAAAAAAATCAGTAGACTAAGAGTAAACAAAATTACTAGGGTCATTATTGAGAAAGCAAGTAAAGCCACCACCTGAGATGCCAGTATTCCATTATGGGCACCAGTTCGTGTCCCAGCAGCTCCACTTCTAATCCAGCTTTCTGTTTATAATATGGGAAACACAGAGGAAAATGGCCCAAGTATCTGGGCCCCTGTCACCCATGTGGGAGATGTGGATGAAAACTCCTGGCTCTTGGGTTTGTCATGGTTCTGTTCATTGCAGCCATCTGGGTAGTGAACTAGAGGATGAAACATTTCTCTCTGTAACTCTCCTTGACTTTCAAATAAATAAAAAAACACACACTGCCTTATCAAAAATTTAGTATATTTCAATATAATTCATTCTTTTCCTTTCTAATCCTAAGTACTTTATAGTATGTATTTAACAACATTACTCCAAGAAAAACTCCATGGGTTTCCCAACCGCCAAAGGGAGCTTTGGCCCCAATAGCTACAAACTGCACAAGGATCTACATCCCACTTAACAAAATCCCAGTATCCTAAATCATCTAAACACTAAAGGCATACATATCTTACTGCTTTAGCATATTTTTGTGAACAAATTAAGTTTTCTCTTCCTATTCTCTTTTAGGTTATAATTTCCTAAAGAAAATAACAGTATCATTATTGTAACTTTCAACATGTTTTAATTCAGTAAATCTGATATGTTACAAATAAACAGAAAAACAAGCAAGACAGATGCTTAACACTCTCGCCCAACCCAGACTGCTCACCTCCTGCAGCGTCAACAAAGTATTCAGGATGGCTGGTAGTGTAGTCTGGACAACTCCAAATCTGTCTTCTCTAAATGATGCTGCCACAAGGTGAGACAGACCTCAAGAGGAAAAGCAAAAAGGATCAAAACTAGACATATCCATTTTCAATTCATCTGATGAGAAAAAAAAAACGAATATTCTAAATATAATGAGACAGGGAAGCAACACAATACAAAAATGGGTAAAAGGGGCTGGCATTGTGGTATAGCAGGTTAAGATGCCACCCAATACCAACATTCTGTAAGCATTTCAAAGGCCAAATGGCAGAGAGGGACAGATATTACATCCACTGGTTCACTCCTCAAATCACTACAATGGCCAGGCTAGGTAAGGCCAAAGGCAAGAGCCCAAATACTTAGACCACCATCTGATGCTTTCCCAGGAGCATCAGCAGGGAGCTAGACTGGAAATAAGGAAGCTAGACTTCAACTGGCGTTCATATAGGATGCCAACATCCTAGGCAGGAGTTTAATCTTCCGCACAATACCAGTCCCTAGAACTGATCGTTCATGGATTATACCTTAATATTTAACTGATAATTAAAATCATAGCTATGTAGCTGGCTCAATGGCACAGCTAGCTAATCCTCTATCTGTGGCACCGACATTCCATATGAGGGCTGCTTCAGTCTAGCTTCTCTGCTGCCAATGCAGCTCCCACTAATGGCCTGGAAAAGCAGTGGAGGCCTTAGGCCTTGTGCCTCTGCACTCAAGTGGGAGACCCAGAAGGAGCTCCTGGCTCGCAGCTTCAGATCAGCCATCTGGAGAGTAAACCAGCAGATGGAAGAACTTCTATCTATCCCTCTCGCTCTTTCAATAAATCAAATAAATCTTAAATTAAAAAAAAAAATCCCTCCTCTCCATCCTAATCAGTAGCCCATGTGGTCTGTAATCCCCTTACCTCTGCATAAAAATTAAATTAAAAAAAAAAAAATCACAGCTACACTCACAGACTGCTTACCTTCTAAGGCCCAAATGTGCATTTGGGCATCTGAAAATACTGCCTGAATGGAGGCCTCTGGGTGCTACAAATTGAACAGAAACATTGAACTCAGTAAGTTTTTCTGGGCAAAAACTCTACTATGTCATTTAGACAATTATGTAGACCATAGTAACTAAAGATCGAAAGCTGCCTCAAGAACTAAAACCGGAGATAAATCCTTCTACAATATCATCTAATTACAATAAAGGATTTGGCCATCAATTTCTTGTGTGATCCTTGTCAAATTTCTGTATTTCTCATTTAAAGCAAGTACCAAGTGTTCAATCCATCTCCAAGAATGAGTACAGAGGTCACCTGAAATGACTCCATTGTGGTCTCTCACAGGGGTGGCAGGGATCCAGGCCATCACCTGCTACCTTCCAAGGTGCATTAGCAGGGAGCTGGACTGGCAGCAGAGTAGTCTGATCTCAAATTGGCATTCCAATATTGCTTATGGGATGCAGGAGTCCCCAAGAAGCAGCTCAACTTGCTGTACTGCAATGCTTGGACCCCTAACTTTCCCTAATATACTAGGTTAAACAGAACAGATTAACAAATGGCCCGCTACACACTGGTTTTCATTTTGCATTCATTCAAGTCTATTCAGTATAACATTATAATAAGCCTATCAAGCTGCATTTCTTACCATTAAGAAAATGGACAATTCCTTATCACATAATAAATCTACCTGCAGGACTGATGCAAATTTAGCCTCTATCCGTGACACTGGCATCCCATACAGGTGCCAGTTCATGTCTCTGCTGTTCTACTTTAAATCCAGCTCCCTGTTAATAGCCTGGGAAAGCAGTGGACAATGGTCCAAGTGCTTGGGCCTCTGCACAAATGTGGAAGTCACAGAAGAAGCACCTGGCTCCTGGCTTAAAGTCAGCCAAGTTCTGTCCTCTGTAACCATTTGGGGAGTGAACTAGCAGATCTTCCGATCTCTTTCTGTTTCCCCTTCTCACTAACTCATCTTAAAAAAAAAAAATCCAGCTACAAAACAAGAATTGGAACAGCCCTTCATTTCCAAAGAGGAGAACTCAGTTGGAATCTGTTTTGCTTTTCCTGGACTATGTACCCTTCGGCTAGCTACCTGACCCTTCTGAGTGGCAGATTTCCTTACCTATAATATAAGGACAGGAAGAGCTATCTCCCAGGAATGAACGCTAACTAGAATTAACTGAGTGGTTTTTGCTTCATACAATTGTTCCTTAGGTAGATATTCCCTTCCACAGAAGAGAGAAAGCAGGAGCAAGAATTTGAAATGACACTTGCATTCTACCCATCAGGGCTGCTCCAAGCTTTTTCCCTATCAGAGAATAACTCCCAAAGAATACACTTTGCTTGAAGGCCTTAACTGAATGAGTACAGCATTATTAATTTATTAGCAAGTATCTCAGTACCTGCAAAGAATCTACATTTAAGAAAGTCAAAAACAACTTTTTTCTCTATTTGCCAAAAACTTTGTTCATCATAAAACCAAGCAACAAACAGCCAAGTAAAAATAAACAAATCTTTAGTTTCTGCAGCTGAAACTAATACTCTTGTGGTATCTGTAACAGCCAGTAGGCAGGCTGGAAAGTCACTTCATTTGTGGCATGAACCACGCCTTTTACCCATCATAAATTTAACAACTGCAATCTAACAGTCATCTCTCCTGAACACCGAATTCACCAAGAAGTTAGCAGGACAGTGTTAACATCAGTGCAGAGTCTTTGATCTGCTCACTTTGCCAAGACCCAGGCAGCATGAAGGAGACAGTGGTGCCAATGAGCACGGAGCTGCCAGGAACCAACTGTCTCAAGGCACCATCCTACTTCACTACGCTGCTGAGGTGCAATGCATATCTAGAACAGCCACCTGTGCAAGCGAGGGTCACAGAGGTGCTGTGCGAAGCCGTGACTGTCTGCATTCAGCTGTGTTACAGGTCAGGTCTGAGCTGCCCCGATTCATTGCATATTCCATTTCCTTTTCCCTCATCCCCAACACTGAAGTACATATTCTTACCTTACTGAAAAAATACATTATCAGCACCCGTTTAGATAAGAAATTCTTAATCTGAGTTGGAAAAACAAAGGATTACATCTACATTTTAATACTTTATTCAAATACAGTATTATACATTTTCATTTTTTGACATTAAATTGAAAGAAAAAATGAAACACTTCAAATCTGGCAAAGAAAGAATGAAAGTATTAACAATAAACCACGTAAGCAAACACATTCATACTATAAATCAGACAGACCACCTAACGTGAACTGTGTAATCAGACACCGTCAGGTAAGGACAGTTCAGTGATCTCTTAGCATTGTAGCCAGCTTCACTTTGGTGTACTCCAGGATGTTAATTCAGCAAAACTACCAAAGAAAACTTCCATTAAAACAGGCCCTTCTACATTAACTGACACCTGCCTTCATTTCCAGGTATAAACACTGAACCAAACCAAGTGAGAGCTCTGTCATAACACAAAGGATTCTAAGGAGTTCTGGTGGTATCTTCTAATATCACACTCTTTCTCCAGGCTCTACAACTGCCTTGCCTTTAACTCAATACTAAAAGAAGTATGTTTCTACTACACAAGAATTATCTTAATACATGAGGTGCTTTTTCACCAGTTGGGACAAGCAGAAATACATTTCAAAGGTAAAAAATTTTCTTAGCATCAATTTGAAAGTTAACCCAAATGATTTGTACCCCAAAGCTACGTGATTAATTGGAGGGATGCAGCAGGCAGTACATGCTGAGTCACACAAAAAGTGACACAGCAGTGTTTAGCTCAAGTCCTATGGGACCCTGAACACTCTCAATTAGTCTAACTCATTCATCGCTCCATCAGCAAGCATGTGGGCTTTCTCCAATCTTAAAAACCCTTTATTGGCCCCTCAACTCTCCCCACTAAGGCTACTACCCCAATTTCTCTGTTCCAACTGAGCAAAACTCCTTACAAGACCAGGACTTTTCGTCTCCAATTCCTCCTGCAAACTCCGGAACATGTGTCAATCAAGTTTGTATCCCCACAACTTGTCCAGATCACAAATCATCTCACACTCTCCTGCTTCTCTAAAGAGATACTTCCTTTTCTTGGTCCTCTACTCATTTTAGTAGCCTTTCCTCAGACTCCCTTGCCACTCCTCCTCAAATCCCAGACTTTTCATCACTGGAGGACCCCAGTTTCAAAATTTCTTTTCTCCTACATCTCTACCCAAGAATCTGCATCCAATGTCCTGGATTTAAATACTGCCCATATGCTGAAAATTCCCAAGTCTGTATCTCTAGAACACAACTTTCTCTATTTTCCACACATACACCTTATTTCTTATTTCACTTGGTTGTTCAACAGGTCTATCAAAATTAACATGTCCCAAACCAAACTCCTGATTTTCATCTCCATCAAATCTCCTCCTCAGTGACCACTGGCAAATCACTCAACTGATGGCAACTAAAGTATTCCAGATCCTTGGGCACAAAAATCAGTCAACACTAATTCTTATCTTCGTGCAGACTCTAGTACATCTACCTGAAAATACATGTCCAGACTCTGATGTGCCCTTACAGCACTGCTTTCCCCATCTCCTTCCTGCCCCCATCCATGATCACGCTGGCCTTAGATAACTCTATCTCTCACTAATGTATGGCAATAGTCTTTACACTATTCTTTGGTTTATACTGACAGTCTGGTCTCAACACAGCTTAACAGCAGCAAAATATAAATTACATCCTATTACATCCTATCATTCTCATGGGTAGAGCACCACAGTGTCCTTTCATCTCACCTGCAGCAAAGTCACTCTTAACAACTAATGGAGATCCCAGTGCCCGTACTGTGAACTATTCATCCACCTGCCACTCATCCCTCTCCAACTCCGCTCGAACCAGCTCATGTTGTTCCTGCCAGAGACCAAGCACACTACTGTCTCAAAGTGTCTGCCTTTGGCTGCTCGCTGTTTCTCATCAGGTGTTACCTTATCAATGACACATTCCCTGATCATTGGACAAAAAATGGTTCTCCCACTTAACTTAGGTACTATGCCCCTGGTCTGCTCTATTTTTCTGTGTAACACTTAAGCAAAAGAGATTTTCCCTTGTCAAGAATGGTTTTCATATAAAACATGATTTTTCAGTGTGCATCTTACAATGAAAAGCATGTCATAGTCTAGGCAATTTTCTTAATACATAAAATCAATCTTAGAATCAATGCTTCTTAGTTCAAAGAACACAGTATAAAACATCTGGCTGTTTATCTGCTTCCCTTTGCTAGCATGTGCACATTATACGGGCAAGGACCTTGTTTTGTTTGCTCTCTTTCCAGTACTTAAAACCACACTCTGCAGACAAAAAGAAGCCCAATACTTCTTAAAGGAAAAAATGCACAGGTTAAAAGCATTAAACAGAGTTAAACTATGCAAAAATACAAAGCATTTAGCTCAAAAACAGTCAAATATTAGCAATTTCATTTTGGCCAACTTAATATGTGAAGCACTAAAAACAAAATCAACAACAAAAAAACCAACAACCCTATTTATTTCTAATGATGTGGTGGTATGGGATTCTTTATGTCCTCAACATTACATGGAAATGTAAATCCTATAACTACATCATCATACCTGTTCACGTTTATTCTGAATCCATGAATAAATCATGCTGGGCTCACTCGCTGTCTTACCCTCAGCTCGATGTGGGGTATAGGGAGGAGGATTAGGAAATTCCGTCATTTGCTCATCTATACATTGGAAACAAAACGCCAGTGAGTTAGAACCTGGGCCATAGAGCCTCTCTCACCAGAGCACGTTACAGTGCAGAACTAGCCTCCTCACCAGCTGCTGAGGTCCACAGTCGGGGCCCCCTCCTGACCAGCCGAGGGCTCTGCGGGGACCCATAGCATGTGTTCACATCCAAAATCCTGGCCATGCGATCCACTACACTGGAGCCAAATGCACTCCCAATGGGACTGGCAACATCAGATGGAGGCAGCTTTGAAGAAAACAGCGACGTTTTAACCAACGATGGCACCGAAGGCCGAGGCTTCTGGCCTGATTTTGGTGTCTGGAAAGCAGTTTCTTCTGTTAAAACAAACAAACAAATAAAAGATCCAGAGCTGAGCAGGAAACCTTCAGGTAGGCAGGCCATCATGGAGGTTCTTGACTTCCAGACCCACTGATGCGCTGCTCGCCACAGCTCCCAGGGCTGAGCAGAAAGCGCTCACTGGGGTTTAAAGGTTCAAGGTGGCAGCTTTACCACGGCATCTCAGTGACCATGCCAGGCACTCTATACATCTTTGTGGGACTGGTGCAGCCTCTTGTTTCCCTTTCAGGAATATCTTTTCATCTCCTAGGCCACTGTCTGTAACTGAGCTTTTTCCAGCTAACTCATCAGTACACATTCTTTTTTATGTGGCAACAACTGAAGAAGAAGTCTGAAATGCAACAATATTTTAAGAAGTTTGAAACAGCCAGGATTGGCCCAGAGAAGCATCAGCATCTCTCCAAGGACAGGTACTGTGCTGCAGTGGTTAAGCCACCACTTGAATGGTTCAAGTCTTGGCTGCTTCATTTCCAATTCAGCTCCCTGGGAACGTCCTAGGAAGGCAGCAGATGATGGTCCGAGTACTTAGGGCCCTGTCATCCATGTGGGAGTTTCTGGCTGAGGCCTAGTCCAGCCCAGGGGAGTAAACTACCTTCCTATCTTTCTCTTTCTTTCACTCTGTCATTACACCTTTCAAATAAATAATACACCTTTAAAAACAAACAAACCCCCCACAATCTTATCAGTTTTGCTGCAAGTTCTCACTGTAATATTAATGTAACTAAACATACTAGATTTACACGGCAAAAATGTATAGGAGAGGGCCTGGCGCAATGATTCAACGGGTAAATCCTCACCTTGCAAGCACTGACATCCCATATGGGCACCAACTTGTGTCCCAGCTGCTTTACATCTCTTCCAGCTCCCTGCCTGTAGCCTGGGAAAGCAGTAGAGGATGGCCCAAAGCCTTGGGACCTGCACATGTGTGGGAGATCTGTAAGAGGCTCCTGGCTCTTGGCTTTGGATCAGCTCAGCTCCAGCCTTTGTGATCATTTGAGGAGTGAACTAGCAATGGAAGATCTTTGTCTCTACTCTCCATAGATCTCATCTTCCTTTCCAGTAAAAATAATACACAGGAGAAAAAAAAATACACAGGAGAAAGCACAAATCTTGTTCCATATTTCCCAAAGTTGTTTCAAATTAACTAAACTCAACACTAATTTATATAGATTATCTATAAATTGGTCCCTATAAATCTGATTGATAAACATTAAAAATCATACTATAAATCTAACAATTGTATAAAAACAAAGAACTTTTTCCTGGTTCTCTAACACAAGGACAAATCAACAATAGGAAAGTCCATACCTTCTTCAAAAATCCACAATAAGAATTAAATGCCACAGGCCAGCCAGCTAAACTGTCACCTGTGGGCCCTGGCGCAATAGCATAGAGGTTAAAGTCCTCATCTTGAATGTGCCAGGATCCCATATGGGTGCCGGTTTTAATCCTGGCAGCTCCACTACCCGTCCAGCTCCCTGCTTGTGGCCTGGGAAAGCAGTCAATGACAGCCCAAAGCCTTGGGACCCTGCACCGGCATGGGAGACCCGGAAGAAGCTCCTGGCTCCTGGCTTCAGTTTGGCTCAGCTCCAGCCGCTACGGCCGCTTGGGGAGTAGATAAACTAAAACTTTGTTGAATCTCAGACTTCTCCTTAAAAACAATCAGTAATTCAGACACTGGCCTCAGCCGCCACATCAGAGAGAAGAGAGCCTCTGCCCAGGTCTGTTTCAATGGAACCCAGGCTGTCCTTAACGTGTGATCTCACCCCATATTATAAAATGTCTGGCTACAAAAGCACCTGAATGTTAGTCTTTTTGTCAGTCTCACATTCCCAAGCAGCTCCTCCTGCAGGGATCTGGTAAAAAGGACAGGGCCTTTCACCTGCACCTCTCCCTCTTGGCTTTTACCTTCAAATGGAGAGTCCTTACCAACACTTCAGTAGGCTATCTTGAAACAAATCATTTGATCACTTCTGCTGTTCTTCTCTGAACCAGCAGCAGCAGCCAGGGCTTGCCTGAAAAATTTACCTGGCTGTGTGCCAGAGGTAGGGAACTCTCTACCTGATGACCAACCACATCAGCCTTTTAAATACCAGAAACACTAGGCTTGCTTTTTTTTTTTTTAAGCTATACAGGCTTATGGTGTACAGTAAATGATGTTTTCAATCTACAATGATATCTAGGTCTTTTCCTTGGTTCAATACAACATACCACATGTTGGGGTGATTTTTCCTGAAGATATATATCCCACACCTAGGTAAATATCCTTAGGCTAAACGTGTGTCATCTTTCCATGAAATACAACGTAAATGCTGTTCTATCTCAGCAGTAATAGGAGTTACCTGGAGAAATTGACTTCTTGGGTTCCACTGGGTAAGATGAAGACACTCTCCCATTCGTAGCAGCAACCTCTTGAAACAGAACCAGTTTCTGAGTCATATCATTTAAAAGATTCAAACACTCTCTTGAAATAGCTGTCCAGTTATGAGGATGTCCACCTATGAGAGCCAAAGAGCAGCTTTTAAAATGCAGATAATCTTATCTCCTCTTCTCAAAGTGTGTGTATAGGGAGGGGGAGGGGTTGTGGGGGAATAATCAATAAGAAATGCTACAATACACTTTACATCAAGGCCCACTTTCTTTACTCAAAATATTACTCAGATTTTGTGCCATCTAATACACAACAGGAATTCAATAAATACCTGGAAAAGATAATTTCCCAAAAAGTCTACAAGCAAAAAACTTGCTATTTCAGCATACAAAGCCTTTATTTGATGACCAAAATCAAACCAAACACATGACTGTGGCTGAAGCACAGAAGATCATGGTTACCTGTCCAGCAACACCGAATATAGACTGCCTAGACTATGGAACATGAACCCAGACAATGGAAATGGGGCCAGTTAATGAGTTGTTCCCTGGGGACCTCTAAGCTGTTACATCTGATTCATTGTGCTTCCTTGTATTTGATTTATAGTCATCCTCCTTATCAGCATTTTCAAACTTTCTAGATTCTGACACTAATAGATTTCCAGAACAAGTCAAAATTTTACATTGTATGCACCATCTGCCAATTAGTCGCATACACTTGTCTTAGCAGTTCAAGTGTGGCACTATACCAGCTTGTATTATTTCACTTAATAAAGGCCCCAAAGCACAAGAGTAGAAGTGCCAGCAATTTTATTACAATATGTTGTTACAACTGTTATTATAAGCTGCTGACAATCCCTTACTATGCCCAATTTTAAAATTAAGCTTTCTCATTCAGGTAAGCATATACATGCTTCAATGTGATCAGTTTAAGGCAACTCCTGGAAGTCTTCATCATACCTCCTTGGATGAGCAGGGGCTACTGGACATAAAAGTCCCGACGTGGTATTGCATGAGTCAGAGTGACTCATTATTTGGTAATCCATACCTTACACTTGAAGTATTTATAAATCTGCTAGCTTATAATTTGACATAAATTATCATAATTCCTATTCCCTATTCCTTTAAAAGCTCATTCACGTCTCATTATCTGTTGGTTTTCTAAGATCTTTGTCTCCTAGAGTGATCATTAAAAACCAATCAGGATTCATTGTGTCAAACCACACCACTTAACTTGGAAACAAACACATATACAAAATTCCCCTTCAACAGGTGTCAGGATGTTATGTGCCTCTTTAACTCAGGACTGGGAACAGTGTAACTGTCTGGTTACATTGTTGCCACATGCCCCAGAAGGCAGGTTCTCAGGCATAGGCCCTCCTGCTGCAGTTTACTTGAAACTCCATTCTAAATATTTAACATACATAGAATTCCTGCATTAACCCAAGTCTGGTAGAAAAGTACCGTTACAGTTAATCCATATTTCTTAAGCCACAAAAAGGAAAGTGGCATCAATAATTATATTTTTATATAACTGGATTTCATTTCCATAAGAGCTTATTTCACAGTCTGAGAACTGGGAAGGAGGATAAACAGCTCATGAGAATGAAGATGGGAAGCTCAGTGGACTAGGTCCACCTTGGTGGCTGGCATGGAGCTGTGGGATCCAGGCACAGTGAGCACTGGCAGGGCCGCACCTTGGGCAACTGGCAAGTAATGGCAGAAGAGTCAGAGCTGCCAGGAGCAGCCATGGGTTGCCAGTGAGCCCGAGTCCTCCCTCCTCTTGTCAAAGGGAGCCGAGCAGAACAGCACAACTCTGGACCTGGGAGTCAAATGATGGAATTCTTACTCTAATTCTAACATTAAATTTCATTTAAATCGGGCCCGGCGCGGTGGCGCAAGTGGTTAAGGTCCTCGCCTTGCACGCCCGGGATCCCATATGGGCGCCGGTTCTATCCCGGCAGCTCCACTTCCCATCCAGCTCCCTGCCTGTGGCCTGGGAAAGCAGTTGAGGACAGCCCAAAGCTTTGGGACCCTGCACCCGCGTGGGAGACCCAGAAGAGGCTCCTGGCTTCGGATCAGCATAGCACTGACCGTTGCGCTCACTTGGGGAGTGAATCATCGGACAGAAGATCTTCCTCTCTGTCTCTCCTCTCTGTATTATCCGCCTTTCCAATAAAAAAATAATAAAAATAAATCTTTAAAAAGAAAATTTCATTTAAATTGCTTCATCTTTGGGACTTAGATCTCCCAGCGGGGGTTTAGGTCATATTTCAAAAGATCCTAGCCAGTATGAAAACTTTTAGGATTTTTAAACTGTGTTTTTCTGTTCTCAAACTGACAATCTCTTACATCATCTCTTCAGGCAACAGTACTGAGGGAGCTAAAATATAAAAAAGTTTAAAAATATTTTTTGTAAGTCCAGTGCAATAGCCTAGTGGCTAAAATCCTTGCCTTGTATACGCCGGGATCTCACATGGGTAACAGTTCGCATCCCAACTGCTCTGTTTCCCATCCAGCTCCCTGCTTGTGGCCAGGGAAAGCGGAGGGGATGGCCCAAAGCCTTGGTATTCTGCACTTGCATGTAGGAGACATAAAAGAAGCTCTTGGCTCCTGGTTTTGGACCAGTTCAGCTCTAGCCATTGCGGCCACTTGGGGAGTGATTCAGCGGAATGAAGATCTCTTTTTTCTTTTTTTAAATATATAAGCAGAAGTGGTAGAAGCACCTCTAAGAAGTATCTCTCACTTTTTTTAAAATTGAGATATATTTTACTTTTATTGGAAAGTCAGATACACAGAGGAGGAGACACAAAGAGGAAGATCTTCCATCCATTGATTCACTTCCCAAGTGAGCGCAACAGCAGGAGTTGTGCCAATCTGAAGCCAGAAGCCAGGAGCCTCTTCAGGGTCTCACATGCGGGTGCAGGCTTTCCCAAGGCTTTAGCCCATTCTTGACTGCTTTCCCAGGCCACAAGCAGGAAGCTGGATGGGAAGCCAGGCCACCAGGATTAGAACCAGCACCCATATGGGATCTTGGCGCGTGCAAGGCGAGGACTTTAGCTGTTAGGCTACTGTGCCAGGTCAGAATGAAGATCTTTCTCTCCCCTTCTCTTCTCTGTATAAATCTGACTTTCCAATAAAAACAAAAATAAAAGGTTAGTTTCATGGCACAGCAAGCTAAGGTGCTGCCTGCAACACCGTGTCCCTTATCAGAATAGCAGCTTGAGTCCTAGCTGCTTCTTTCCCAGCAAGTTTCCTGCCAATAAGCCTGTGAAGGCAACAACAGAGAGCCCAAGTACTTAGGCCTCCACTACCCTGCTGGGAGACTTGGATTCAGCCTGGCTCCCGGCTTTCACGTGCCTAAATTTGGCTGCTGCAGCTGCTTAGAGAATAAACCAGTGAGAAAACTTCTCTGTGCTATTCTGCCTTTCAAATAAATGAAGTTAAAAAACAAACAAAAAACCTTCCTAATGACAAATTCTGTCCATAACAATAAAAACACTTAAAGTGGCGTAATATTTAAATCATAGTTAATTTAATAGACACCCTGATGTGGGGTATTTTCTTAAATATCTTCCTTTCCAAAACTTGAAGTGAAAAACTTTCTGCAAAAAAAAAAAAAAAAAAGAAAAAAAAAAGAAAAGAAAAAAAGAAACACTTTCTGCACAGACATGCTTAATCAGATTTGTTACTTTTAGCAATACCTGGCTGGCTAAGGCTAAAAACTTCTTGTCTTCGTGAAGGAGAATATTGAGAAAGCAACATCAGGTCTTGCAAGGCTAAATACTAAAAGAAAAAAAACAAAACACACACACATTATTCGATATAATCTCTACATAAAACTTACAAATTGGGCACATTATTGTACAATTATGTGCTGATAACATTTTGGTAAATAACTAGTTGCACTTATAATGGCCCTGTGAGATTACATCTCCTGGTGTCACTGTAAGCATCTCTGCACAATAAAAATATCCCCTAACAGTGCATTTCTTAGAAGCTATCTCTACCATCAGGCAAGACAAGCCTGTCAATCCTAGAACAATTTAGATGGGCTTCTGCATCAAAGAAATATTCCAGCATCACAATCTTCCTTTTAGACTTCCCTTCCTTTCATGATTCTACTCTTGCTATCCACTGCAGGATCCAGACAAAGCTAAGGAACTCTGTACCACGGGCAATTTTGTTATTTTTAACATTATTCACAGGTAACAAAAAACTATCAACTTAAGAGGCCAGCAACACTTAAGCCACCTGTGATCCAGGCTGCTCCATTTCACATCAGTTCCCTGTTAATGTGCGTGGGAAAGCAGCAGCAGATGTCCAAGTGGGGGGCCCAAATGGAGTTCCAGGTTTGGGTTTCAGCCTGGCCTAACCTCCCAGCTGTTGTTGCTATGTGCAAAGTGAATCAGTGATTGAATATCTCTCTCTAACTCTTCTTTTTAAATAAACAAGTCTCTTTTTAAACTTAAAATTTAAAAATTAAGCTGCTATAAATTCATTGTGGAGTCTTGCCTGTGGTCACCTTGACATGGCCAGACCAAACAACTTCTAGGACCCAATGTGTCACCTCCCCCACCTTCCATTCAAGAGCTACAGAACTACTCTGTTTACGACCTCTTGGGAGTGTGCTGGGGACTTAAAAACACCACTTCCTCCTGGAACTTTCCCTGGCCTCCCTTACACAAATTCAAACTCACAATTCTCAACTGTAATGCCTAACAAAATGAATTATCACTGCCCTATCTGTCTCATCTGCTTCCACCAAACTGTGAGAACTTGCTACCACATGCTACTCACCACCACACGAAAACTCAGCCCAAATATACCAGAAACACACAATTTGTTTCCCTAGCAAAACTCTTCACTGATCTTCAGATCTGAGCAGCTTTCTCATACTGGGAAAAGCAGTTAAAATGGCCCCACTGCACTTGCCTCAGTATTTTCTAATCACTTCCTGTGCCTGCCTTTTCCACCTGTGCTGTGTCTTAGACATCCCACTGAAAGCAACTAGCAGTGACTGACACCTGCTCATTAAAAAGAAAGATCTGTTAATAAGCAGGTGGGTAACTCAAAGTTTATATTACAGATTAGTCACAATTCATGTTTAAAAGGTAATTAGAACCCTGATAGTTCCTTTTCTTACTTGTTTATAATTTCTCTAGTGTTCAAAATCTTCCATTCTTTTAATTCTTTTTGAAGTATAATAATCTTTTCAGACAATCACACAAACTTTAAAATGATATACTTTAAAATCTCAAATTACTATATGAATTTTAAAAATTATGCTCACTACTTGTAAACTCACTACAATTTCTTTAAATTCTTTTGGTTATGTTTTGTTTCAGGATCATTATCAGTTATTCATATTTGAAGAGAAATCCCTAAATCTCCAACCAGTACCAGTCACTACATGTGATTTTAAAAGCCAACAAACACTACATGATGAAAAGTATTTAATTTAGCAATTAAAAAATCAACAGTATTTGTGAAAAGTTATTGCCTATAGTTGGATATCATGATATTTTACACTTACAAATACTTTTGAATCATTTCTGAATATAGAATTAGCTAGGCTGTATACACACTGTAAAATTCACTTGAAGTGAAAAAGCACCATCTGTAGGTGGTGATTTCTGTAATACCAATATTAGAATATTCTAAGCCCTCAAAAATTTCTGAATGTTTCAACATTCTAAGTAAAATCCCTCCTGTCAGATAAGTGAGAGATACACGGGTGAAGGCACAACAAGCACAGTCAGGGCCGTGGCACCTTGATGATGAGGGGAGGGTTGCTGTTCAGAACCTTCGGCAGGCATTCGTCTGACTCTTCTGCAAATGGGAGCTGCACAGGGAACACGTGTGCCTACCAAAGACAAAGAGAAGCACTATGAGTATCAATTTAAGTTTACTAGAAAAGGTGACAACACAGCCAAACTAGTATCTTTAGCACTCATGGCAAAAATAGGTTAAGTTACATGAATCCAAGCACAACTTTCAAAATTTACTGTGGGCCCAGCGCAGTGGTCTAGCATCTGAAGTCCTCGCCTTGAAGGCGCCAGGATTCCACATGGGCGCTGGTTCTAATCCCGGCAGCTCTACTTCCCATCCAGCTCCCTGCTTGTGGCCTGGGAAAGCAGTCAAGGATGGTCCAAAGCCTTGGGACCCTGAACCCATGTGGGAGACCCGGAAGAAGTTCCTGGCTCCTGGCTTCGGATTGGTGTGGCACCAGTTATTGAGATCACTTGGGGAGTGAATCATCGGGCAGAAGATCTTCCTCTCTGTCTCTCCTCCTCTCTGTATACCTAACTTTGTAATAAAAAATAAAGAAATCTTAAAAAAAAAATCTTTACTGTCCCGATATTATTACACCAGGACTTCTAGTTTCAGAGACAAAAGTCTCTGAAGCCAATACAATACAAAAATACAAACTTGCAGGACTGGTAAATGAAATACAAATGCTAGCATTCTAAGACCAGCATCTGAATGATTAAAAAAAAAAATACAATTCTCACTTACTGGAAAGACTTTTGTGAGAATTATCAATATCACCGCAAGCTTCAAAGTGATATAATATAAACTTATTCAAACTTTTCTCCAAAGCCCAATATTTTCTTGCCATGTACTTAGATTTTTTATTTTAAATTATGATTATATGGTTGATCAGGGTGGGAATGATCAAGGTTGAGGGAAAACTGGGTGAACTCATTGCTTCCAAATTTGCTATTTCTTCTTGTTGTTCCTGGGGGAAGGAGAGAGACAAACAGGGAAGCCACTCATGACTTTTCACACATCCCAGTACCCAGGGATGAGGAGCCGCCACATCCTATTAACCCAGAGTCTCAGTGTGTACATATTCCGAGGGTTCTGTCCAAGTGGTTTGGATAGTTCTGAAATGCTGCCGGTTTTACCGATCCGAGGATGATGTCACCCTCCCAAAGGTCACTGGCTCATTCACTGAGACTTTTTGCTGTTGTTTGTTTGGGGTAGTTGTCCAGTTAGTTCTGTTCTTCTACTACAGCACCAAATATGCTGCCACTTCTCCTTTTACAACAGGAGCTGTGTTCACTGCTCCAGCTTTTTCATTATATAGGAGATGTTCTTACAGGAGAGTCCAGGTATCCGGGCCAGGCATCTCAAGCATTGTCAGATCCCCCAACCCTGGAGCTCACAAACCCAGCACCCACCTAGTAAGTGGGCTCCAAGACCAGGCGACCCAAGTCCCTTCGGATTCCCCATCCCCAGGGTTCATAAAACCAACACCCACCTAGAAGGCAGGCCCCAGGATCTGGGTCAAGCGACCTACACCCCACCAGTTTCCCCTGTCCTCAAGACTCGGGAACCCAACCCCCATCACACAAGTGGGCCTCAGGACCTGAGCCAAATTACCCGAGCACTGTCAGATCCCCTGTCCTTGGGACTCAAGTACCCGGCCCCCACTGGATCCAAGCTGGCATAATTCACCTTACCTCAGCATTTGCAATCTTATTGCACAGCCTGACCCAGTCTAGCCTGCTCCCTGTTTCAGCTCCTGCTGGTGGGTGCTGCAGCCCAGCCCAGCCCAGTCTGATTGTTGTCCCGGTCCTAACGTGAACTGGCTGGTACTGTGGCCCGATCTGGCTCCTCCTGCCCCCTACTCCTGTTCTCAGATCTGCCACCGGGTATTATGTGCTGACCCAGACGGTCTGTCACCAGATCTGACTCACATGCATGCCTGGCATGGTCTAGGCTGCTCCTTGTCATGCTTCTTGCGCTCACCTGCAGCGACTGCATTCCAATAAAAGAGTTTCCCAAGCTCCTCTATAGAGTTTCCTCCCAGTGGCAGTTCTCGCACATACCAGTGGGTCATTGGCCCAAGCTGACTTTGTCTACCTCCTGTCCTGACAAGAACAGTGGCCTTGCTCAACTGGCCACATCCATTCTGGTCCTCGTTGCTAAGTGCTGCAACTGGGTCCACACCCAGACACAGCTCTCACATAATTCAGTGGGAGACAAGACGTAGACTGGCTTTTTCTACACTCAATCTGGCTCTCACGAGCACCAGTGGGACTGCAGTCAAGCCCAATCTGCTGCTCCATAGTCCCAGTGCACACCCATGCCGGTGCAGTCTGTGGCCATGTACAGCCAGGCCTGCTGTTCTCCATCCTACTCTCGTTCTCAGCAGTGGGAACCCCAACCCTCTTAGCTCCCGAGCAAGACCTAATCCTATCTGCAGTTTTTGGGTAAACCAGCAGAGATTGCAGTTCCACAGGTGTGAGTCCACATTGCCCCCACAGAACCACTTCTATCAGAACCACTCCTTTTACTTTCGTTCTCCCCTCCAAACCAATTTGGGTCAGTCCCCTACTTAGATACATATGTCATGGACTTATCTATGGAAGTCCCTCAGTTGTAATTCCTAACCTGGGCATAAAAACCACAGGTCATCTCTCACTACCACCTATGTGATCCCATCATCCCTCTGAGGGTGCGCTGCAGGGCAGCCCAATGGGCTTTGATCAGCAACTTTGGCACCCAAGCCACCTGGGCTCTTCAGGGGGGAGCCACGCAGCCCGCCTACAAGCACCCATGCGCGTCAAAAGACCTAACCTCCAGGATGGGGTGGTCCTAGAGGCCTGCTGTGCTTCGCTCCTCTCCTGGGAGCCAATGTCCTCAGCTGTTCTTAACCAGGAAAGGTCCGAAAAGCTTCCAGGCAGTGGTCCTGAAGGCACACCGCAAGCCCCCCTCCCTCAGGGCAGCCAAGCAGCCTAGATATTTTAATAGTGTTTATATCGATAGTATACAAAATTACTTGAAAATACAGATTCATTTAGTACATGTTCAATAAAGAATTCTCCAGAAGAAACTAGACTATAAACACAGCACAATAAACACCTAACAGTCCTTCAGTATAATTTCCCAAAACTAAATGGATACCAACTCTTCCCCTTTAAGGGGAAAAACAAAAATTACAGTAAATGAGGGTTATAAAGGACTTGCCCCTAATACAACTTTAGAAGAGAAACTTAAAACCAACTTACTCCAACTGCTCTGGGTTCAGCACAAGGATCTATGCCCTACCAAGAATAATTTTGTGCACTCCAAAACAGAAATATTAACAGAAACTCAATACAAACCTCAGTGGCATAGATTTTGAAGAGCATCCAGGAGATATACCAAGTCATCAGCAGGAAGACTCCACAGAGCCAAACATGGTAGAGCAGCGAGGGATTCAAGAGGCCACTCACAGTGTCAAGAGGCCTATGGGACCGCCTGTGAAAGCAGAAATTGCTAATTTAATTAATGACTGAAACCTGTGGGAAAATACAATGTAAAGCATTCAGAGATTTGAGACTCTAAGAAACAAATCTTACTTCCAAATAACAGTGTAAATACTTTGTTCATACATAAGATTCATTTATTTTTATTTGGATGGCAATATTTACAGAAAAGGCAAGACAAAGAGAGAAAGATCTTCCATCTGCTGGTTCATTTCCCAAATGGCCACAATGGCCACTGTGGGCCAGTTTGAAGCCAGGAATCTGGAACTTCTTCTGAGTCTTCCTCGTGGGTACAGGCGCCCAAGGCCGTGGGCTATCTTCTGTTGCTTTCCCAGGTGCATTATCAGAGAACTGGAGCAGAAGTGGAGCACCTGGGACTTTAACTGACACACATAAGGGCGCTGCAGACATTGCAAGTGGAGGTTTAACCTACCACACCAGGGCACCAGCCCACAATGTGGACACTTTGATTACCCTCCTTGGGGCTGAGTGAAAGTCTGTCACTGCTGTTTTATTGTTTAATACTTAAAACCACTAATCATGACTAGCACTTCTGGAACAGAATTGATTTTCATATATTAAAAACAATTCCAAATGTTATTGCAAAATAGTGATCTTTACTTTTTTAGAACAATTTAAGAAACTGTCAGAGCAGTAAATAGTACAAATACTGCTATTTTACCGAAATCTCAAACAGATCAATGAGCAAAATCATCATCCTAAACAGTACAAGTACCTGGGAAGGCAGGCATCTGAATCCGAGAGCCGGCCAGGGCACATGCAGCGCTCCTGTCCCACTATCAGTTTTGTCCCTGGCCATCTAATACTGGCTCCATCTCCATTTGACTTTTAGGCTAAGATTTCCAACAGCATGTATTAGGAGTGTCCAGCATAATGGGAACTTGTAATTGTGCCATCTTCCACTGCCATCTTATAAGCGTTGGAATGAAATGGATCAGAAATAGTTAAAACTCAAATCAGTGCTCTATATTAAATGCAGGTGCCCAAACCAGCTGAACCCATTGCACAAGATAATAACTCCAACAAAATATGTTTTATCTTATCATTTTTATTGGAAAGGTAGATAAACAGAGAGAAGGAAATACAGAAAAAGGTCTTCTGTCCACTGGTTCACTCCCCCAAGTGGCTGCAACAAGGGGAGCCAAGCCAATCTGAAGCCAGGAGCTTCTTCCAGCTCTCCCACATGGGTGCAGGGTCTCAAGACTTTGGGCCATCCTCCACTGCTTTCCCCGGCCGTAAGCAGGGAACTGCATGGGAAGTGGAGCAGCCTGCACACAAACTGGTACCCATAAAGTGAGGATTTAGCCACTAGGCTTTTACACCAGGCCCCAAAATATTTCTTGAAAGTTATTAGACAGACTACAGCCTGGTACTATGTTGTAACAGAAAAAAGCACCATCTATGATGCTGGCATGCCTTATAGACACCGGTTCATGTCCCAGCTGCTCCACTTCTTATCCAACTCCCTTTTAATATACCTGGAAAAAGCAGATGGTTCAAATGCTTGGGTCCTGCACCCACATGGCATACCTGAAAGAAGCTCCTGTCTCCTGACTTCAGAGCAGCCCAACTCTGGCCTCTGTAGCCATTGAGAAGTAAATCCCAAATGGAAAATCTCTTTGTGTCTCTTCCTCTCTCTGTATCATCTTTTAAATACATAAATAAATACTTTAAAAACAATGTTATTTGATGAAACTTTCATCCAATAGCATTAATTTCTCTTGCCATTTGATTCAGCTTGAAACCTGAATATAATAAAGGGCTGGCATTTTGGCACTACAGATAGTCTCCACCAGTGCACTAGTACACCATATGGGTGCCAATTCAATTCTTGGCTGTTCCACGTCTGATCCAGCTCTCTGCTAATCTGACTGGGAAAGTAGCAGGAGACGGTCTAAGTGCTTGGGACCCAACACCCACAGCACTGACCACTTTGGCCAACTGGGGATAGAATCAGCAGACAGAAGATTCTGTCTCTCCTCCTCATCCCTCTCTACCTTGCCTTTTTAATAAATAAATAAATAACAATATTTTAAAATAAATCTGAAAGTGATAAAATGATTTATGCATTTAGTTTTATACTTAGCAATTAAGGAACTTGAAAAGTGAGAAATAGAAATCTATATTGAGAAAAAGGAACTCATCTCTTAGCTACTCATCCATACCAATATCCCCATCCCCAAAAGTGGACATAGTGAATTCTACATGAATACAAAGCTTCCCAATGGATTACAGCCACTTGGTGTGAATGAGTGGATAGAACACCTATCCTCTCTACCTCCCCCTGCAATTCTGACTTTCAAACAGATAAGTAAATCTTTTTAACAACAGATTTGTTGGTGTTGTTGGTGTTTGTAGTATGGTGTGATGTGGTACAGCATGTAAAGTTGCCAATGGTAACACTGGCATCTTGTACAGGTGCCAGTTCATGTTCAGTTGCTCCAGTTCTGATCTAGCTTCCTGCTAACATGCCTGAGATGGCACAGGAGGATGGCCCAGGTGTTTTAACCCCTGCTACCCAGGTGAAACATTAGGATGAAGCTCTCCTGGTTCCTGGCTTCAGTCTGGCCTAGCCCAACTACTGCCGCCATCTAGGGAAAGAACCAGCACATGGAAGATTTCTGTCTCTCCTATGTAAAATTTTCAAATAACTAGATAAAGCTTTCAAAAACAAAGGTTCTCATAGGAATAATCAGTAATTTAAAACAAACAATGAGAGAAACTGACATTCTTTTTGGGAAAATACAGATAAAACGTTATGTACTAACTCACTGGGGACAAGTAGAACACACCCAGTGCTACCACACAATTGCCACTTGTGAACTTCAACTGCCCATGGGGTTTTGCAAAATGTTGGCTTCCTCATAGGCAAAACTCAAGTGGTACCACAGAATGACTGAGAACATGGGCTGTGCTGTGACATAGGAGGTTCAGCTGTTGTCTGCAATGCCGATATACCATGAATACAGAGACAGTCCTGTACCAGCAGCTCTACTTCCACTCCAGCTTCCTGCTAATGTGTCCTGGAAAGCAGCAAAAAATGGCTCAAGTACTTGGGCTCCCGACACTCAGGACGGAGACTGAAATCAAATCGTAGACTCCAGCATTCAGCCTGGCCCAGCCCTGGCCTCTAAAGCCATTTGGGGGAACGAGTCAGCAGGTAGAAGGGATCTCTCTCTTTGTAACTCTTTCAAATAAACATCCAGTTGTATATAGTATAAAAGAGTCTCTAACAGATTAGCATTGCTTATTTCTGGGAAGAGAAACTGGGTGACTGCAAACAGGGAGTCTTTTTACATATTTTTGGAACTGTAAAGCATATGCATTCAGAAATGAATACAATTGGGCCCAATACAATGGCATAATGGTTAAAGTCCTAGCCTTGCATGCCCTGGGATACCATATGGGCACCAGTTCTAATCCTGGCAGCCTGCTTCATCCAGCTCCCTGCCTGTGCCCTGGGAAAGCAGTCGAGGACGGGCCAAAGCCTTGGGACCCTGCACCCGTGTGGGATACCCAGAAAAGCTCCTGGCTTTGGATCTGCGCAGCACCAGCCGTTGTGGTCACTTGGGGAGTGAACCATCAGACTGGAGATCTTCCTCTTTATCTCTCCTCCTCTCTGAACATCTGCCTTTCCAATAAAAATAAATTAATATTAAAAAAAAGAAATGAATAAATTTTTTTCAAAAATTGGAGTGGTTGGGACTGGTGCCGTGGCCTAGCAGCTAAAGTCCTGGCCTTGAAAGCACTGGGATCCCATATGGGTGCCAGTTCTAATCCCAGCGGCCCTGCTTCCCATCCAGCTCCCTGCTTGTGCCCTGGGAAAGCAGTTGAGGACGGCCCAAAGCCTTGGAATCCTGCACCTGTGTGGGAAACCTGGAAAAAGCTTCTACTAGCTCCTGGCTTCAGATCAGATTAGCTCTGGCCACTGCAGCTGCTTGGGGAATAAATCAATGACGGAAAATCTTCCTCTCTGTATATCCTACTTTGCAATAAAAATACAATAAAAATCTTTTAAAAAAATTAGGAGTAATGTTTGGCACACGAGCTATTCCATCACTTGAGATATCCAAATCATCTCCTGGAGTAGCTGGTTCCAATCCCAGGTCCACTCACAACTTTTGTACTCTGCTAACACGCACCCTGGGAGGGAGTAAATGGCTCAAGTAGTTGGATCCCTGCCACCCTGGGAGACAGCCACTGGGGGAGTCAATGGACAGACAGAAGCTCGGTTTCTGTCTCCTTGCCTTTTAAATAAAATAAAACATAAAACAAAATACATAAAAACATCTGGAAAGCAGCAAAGATCTAAAATGGACAGAAACGGTGGGTCTCAGGACAGGGCATCTCATGCCTGGATCCCGGACGGACGCCATGGGCACATGGTGAGCCGTTCCCCGGCCTGCTGGGTTCCAGGGGCTGCTTCCTTCGGGGTGAGTAGACCGAGGGGGGAGGCCTCTGGGACTGGGCAGGTCCGGCACCCACCCGCCGCCTTCATGGGGTGGTGAATGGGATTTGGGAGGGGCGCGACCTTGGGCCTGGGAATTTAAACCTCCAGCAGCCTCCCGGCAGCTGGTGGGTCTCAGGACGGGGTGTCTCATGCCTGGATCCCAGACGGCCGCCATGGGCACATGGTGAGCCGTTCCTGGGCGGCCAGTGCGCCACTGGTGCCAGGCTCCGCCTGCTGGCTGCCCGGCCGGGGAGCTCTGGGGATTTGGTTCTTTGAGTCGCTGCTTAATTAGCTCCATGTTGAACCCATTGTGATTCTCGGACCTGAAACAGGCAGTAACTCTTCCTTTGTAAAACTTGTAATCACTAATAATGCTGGGCACCAAATACCAGTCCATGCAGAAGCCTGGGCTTGGGGCTTGTCCTGCAAAAGTAGCTCCAACGGCTGGCTAATGTGTCAACAGGTAGGGAACAGAGTAGATCTGGTACGACTGAGCAAACCTTAGCCCACAAGTAAAACTAGAAACCAGGAGGGAGCAAAGGTCATTCCAAGCTAGGCTCTTGTACCTACTGGTCTGCGGGAGCCAGGGACGCTAAGCCACAGTGTCTAAGGCAGAGTTCGGGACAGGTGAGGAGCTGTGCCAAGCTGAGTCAGAGCAACCACTGGCATGCGAGTGATCTATGGCTGGGAACAGACCCGGTTGGGGAGCAAAGGGGACAACCCTAGCTGGGCTGAGGTTCCCACCAAGAGGCGCGTGGCCTGGAAGGGGGCTGCGTTCTGATCTGGATACAGTTGTAGTCTCCCTTGGCACAAGTGTGGACTGGAATTGGATGCACCGAACCGGGCCAGATCCCGACTCCCCCTGGTGTTCTGGAGGACCAGGGCAGATGTACGATGGACTAGGCAAGGTCTCAAACCCCTACTGAGCCATGTGTGAGCCATACGTAGGTATGGACAAACCATGGCTGGGCTGGAACATCCAACAGCAAGAACCAGATTGGGTTGAAGGCCAGTCAGGAAAAGCCACAGTTCCTGCTATGACAGGAGGTGGACTGAGTAGGGTTGGCTCATGGACCCACTGGTAAGCATGAAACCTGGCACTGGGAGAGGTTCTGATGGAGGAGCCTGGGCAACTCCTCTGGCAGGACACAGACCCGGCAGGTAAACGCAAGCAACATGATAGGTAACAGCCCAAAAAAGGCCATGGAAAGCTACCCACTGGCATACAATTGGCAGACGTGGGGGGCAAGACCAGGCTGAATCTGTCCACGTCATCCACTGGCAAATCCAGGCACCAGTGTGGGTCGAACCAGGTTCGGTCGCAACAAAGACTAGTGCACAATACGGAATGCCGAGGTGAGGTTGCCTGTACCGGAAGGGACCGCAGCGTCCAACCAGCCTGAGAACAAGAAAGGAAGTGGGCAGAGCCAGCAGGGGAATAAGGGAGGGTTCCTTTGCAGGACAGCTACTTCTGCAGGAGAGCATGGGCTGGGATGGGGGCAGACCAGACTAGGCAGAGCTACCACACCTGTGCGCCTCAGTGGACTAGATCAGGGAAAAGCCGGGCTCGGCGGATTATTCCTACTGGTGCAAACAAAATTAAAGTGGGCGAGGTTTGTTTGGGCAACATCAACTGGAATCTGGGAGTGGGAGAGGCCTGGGAGGGAAATAGTGGGCTCATCCCTCTTGGGTTACCACTTCCACGGGAGGACATAAAACTAAGACAGCGGCTGGGGTGGAATGGGGTGTGGGACAGACTGGATTACTGCTACACTTACTGGCAAACCAGGGTAGGGGCGGGCCTGGTGGGGGTTATTGTGGGTCGCTCCAACTAGGCTGCAGCTCCCACTGGTTTAGGTGAGGGCCAAGTATGTGCTGGGCAGAACCAGGCTGGACTGCAACACCCATTGGTTCCAGTGGAAGTTGGGAGTGAAAACAGAACCAACCCAGCAATTACAACCACCAGCTGATTGGAGCGATAGACGGTGCCAGGCCCTGTACTTGTTAGCACATACAAGAAGTTTCTTTGGAGATCTTCCTAATCTAAAAGCTGGAGTCAGAACCCTAACGAAGAAAAGAGAGAAGACAGAACGGGTCAACCAACCATTTCAGCTATGATGGACTATGTCAATCAGTGGATTTTTCAAAGACCTCATAGTGCTTGGAGTGGCAAGATTGACAGCGATTCATAACTGTTGCAATATCAAAACCACTTGAGCAAGAACCTCAGAGCATGCCCTACATCCGGGACCTGGGGAGGGTGGGAAATTGGATGGGCCTTCTCCCTTATTACCCCCCTTTAAACATGAAGGTAACAATATGGAAAACATACTATTATTATCCACTTTCCTGTAGCCCTTGAACCTTCTTACTCTAACTAACTATGTAAAGAATGTCAAAATAAATTTTATTAATAAAAAATAAATAAATAAAAAAATAATAAAAAAATAAATAAATAAAATGGACAGAAACAATTACAATCAGACTCCTTATATATCACTTACTCATCTATATGAAGGTCCATGGCAGTACTAATCCAGGCTTTAGGAATATGACCTGCAGGGGAAAATATCAAGATAGGAACATAAGAACGTAATGTAACAGACCTTAATACTTATTTGTATGAGATTGCAGAAATGCCCACAAATAAAGACCTTGGTCCTGTGCCAGACTGATGAGAAATAGGTACAGAGAGAACTTTCTAAACACAAGTAGTTCTTGCTCTGTTCAGTTTTGCTATACATTTATTTTAGCTACCAGGCTTGGTTAAAACAGCAGACCCCCCGGTTTCTGTGTTTCAATCTCAGCATGTATGACCCATGAGCGACTAAGCGACTGTGGGTGGCACTCCCTCCCAGCTGCCCAGAGCCAAGAGGCAGCTGACAGATGTGTGCCACCATCTGTGACTGATAGCATCACTGCTCTGTCTGCTGACTGCCACTCACAGGTGTTACTCAGAGAGAAAAGCAGGCAGTTATGTTGCCTCCTTATTGTCCAGGATAAATCCACCATAACACTTCAAGAAGCTGAAGTGTAGAGAAAACTGGACAAAGAAAAAAAAAAGATGAATATACAGCAAAGGAGTAAAAAGTGATACTACTGAAAATGAAAATTCCCGACTTCAATATAAATAGGTGCCAGAGTTAGAGGAGAAAAGGTTCCCACAGGAACGTGTCGGTTTGAAGGTGCTACTCCAGGGAGTGGGCAGGCTGAGTGCCATGTGACACATCAGAACCAGGTGTCAGCATTAAAGGAGAGGGATATGCTTACAGTAACATTACAATCAAGTGTGAACATTAGAAGGTTAACTACAGGATGAAAATAGTGAACAGGATGACCAGTACACAGTAAGAACAATTTTATAAAACTATACTGACAGAAAAAATATGATCATAAAATTGTACTGCCCAGCGCTGTTTTGTCTGATTCTGTGCTGTTAATCAAAACGTCTTTATTACTAACCATGATCCATGTTGTACCTCAAATTTATGGTAACTGTGCTAGTATCATATCATAAACACATGAAAATGATCCAATGACAAAGTATTTTCTTCCCTTTTTAAAAAAGTGTTGATTTTTTATGGTGGCAAAAAGCTACAGTTGGCCACCTTAGCCACGTGGTGATTCAATGATGCACCCACTGTCCAACAGATCTCTAGAATCTAGAATTTCCACTTGCCTGCAGAATAACTGTCCCTTCCTCCTGGCTCCCAGGCTCCAGCAACCACCACGCTGCTGCCTGTTTCTGTGAGACTGACTGCTTCAGGTACCTCACACAAGCAAAACCAGGCAGTATTTGTCCATTCATGACTAGCTGTCACAGTTAGCAAAACATTTTCCAGGTTATCTGTATTATAGTACATGATAAGCTTGCTTTCTTTTGAAAAGCTGAGTAATGGTGCATTGTTATGCTAAGTATCTTATTTTCTTTAACAATGTTTTCTCTTAACTAAATACATGTTCTCTAATAAAAATGAGGCAGGTGGGCTAGCAACATAGCTGCAACTGTAGAAAACACAAGCACAATCAAGATAACTTTGTAACTGACAATTTCTGAGCTATGAGCTAATAATAACACTGGCAAAAAGCAGAAATTCTTACCAAGAAAATAATATACAATGCAGAAATTTCTAGTCAGGAACAGTGACTCCACACAACTATGTTTAAGTAGTAACAGCAGAGATCTCCTGAAGCGCAGAAACTTGTACTGCTGCGGATGAAAGAAGAGCAGGATCAGATGACACACTCCGCAGCATGTTAAAGCAAACAGTCCCTGCACCAACAGACCAGTCACGGCTCAAGTGTTAACTGGTTCTGATGCACAATTACTCAGCGTCTTTCTACATAAGCCAACATCTTGCTCATCAGAAGAAAATGAATACCAAGTTTGGTGCAATGGCCTAAAGTGAGGCCAAAGCCCTCACCTTGCATGTGCCAGAATCCCATATGGGTAACAGTTTGCATCCCTGTTTGTGGCCTGGGAAAGCAGCAGAGGACAGCCCAAAGCCTTGGGACCCTGCACCCACATGGGAGATCTGGAAGAGGCTCCTGACTCCAGACAGGCTCAGCTCCAGCCATGGAGGCCTCTTGGGTTGCGAACCAGTGGATAAAAGATCTTTTTCTCTGTCTCTCCTTCTCTGTGTAAATCTTTCCAATAAAAATAAATTAATCTTAAAAGAAAAATAAAAATAAAATGAAAATCAATCAATCCTTAACACTAAGGACAATGGAAGTGGAGAAAGCTCAAAAATACACACCAACACAGGAGTCCCCACTTGTCTCACATGTTCCAAGATCCATACGGAAGCCTGAAGTCATGTTTAAAGAGCATGTTTCCTTCCCACACATACAAGCCTAAAATAAAGCTTAATTTTTTTAATAAGTTTCTTTTTTTTTTTACTAGAAAGTCAGATTTACAGAGAGAAGGAGAGACAGAGAGAAAGATTTTCCATCCGTTGGTTTACTCCCCAAGTAACTACAACAGCCAGAGCTGAGCTGATATGAAGCCAGGAGCCAGGAGCTTCTTCAAGGTCTGCTATGTAGGTGGAGATCTGCCATCCTCGACTGCTTTTCCAGGCCATAGGAAGGGAGCTAGAAGAGAAGTGGAGCAGCCAAGACACAAACCGACACCTATATGCGATCCCAGAGCATGTAAGGCAAGGATGTCATCCACTAGGCTACTGCGCTGGTCCCAAGGCTTAATTTTTCAATTACGTGCAATAACAGATTAGCAAAAGTAATCAATAATAAAATAGTGCAATATAATGCAATATAAGTAATTCACAACTTATGATTTATTTCTGGAATTTTCCACTTAATATTTCAAGATTGCAGTGAACCAAGGGTCTAAGTAAAACTACAGAAAGCCTGCTCCCAATCCCAGCTCTCACACACAACACTGGGGGCTGCAGTCTAACAGGGACACATCCTTAGCAGGCCCATTTCCATCCCTAGTTCTCACACACTAGTGGGGCTGTGGCCTAGGCCAGCACAGCCACTTCCAGTTTCTGCTCTTGCTGGCAGGTGCTGCAGCCTAAACCAGCCCAGCCAGCCCTCAGGCCCAATTCTCACAAGCACTGGCAGGTGCTGTGGTATGGCCTAGCCAAGGCAACTCCAAAGAACTCCTACCAGACCTGCTCCCCAAAAGGCTCTTGGTAACACAAGCCTGGTCGATTTGGCCCCAAGCCCTGACTCATGTGCACATAGGTGTGTGCATGGCTCTGGTCCTCTGAATTCTGCCATCTGATTCATCCCATCTAAGCTCCCTCAGTTATATACAAGTGCATAGGCCTGGTCCATGGAAGCCCCTAGAAATCATTTCACACATGTCAAATAAGCCATCAGTTGTCCCCATTCTGACTTGTTCTGAGATCTCCTTTTCTAGACTATGGGCTTCCTCGCCTCTACCATGCATACACTGGCTGGACACAATGATGCCCAAATCAGAAAACTGCACATTTGAAACAAGGTTTATCTGCTGTTCTCTCCTTCTAACTGCCACCCTTGAAAATAGCATTGAGTGCTCGCTTAGGCAGCACATATACTAAAATTGGAATGAAAATAACATTGAGAAAAATTGTTGAAAAGAATATAAAGAAACCTAATGAGTCAAAGATGAACTTCCCAAATTCTGGCTTTCTTTTGTGCTTAAACCAGGACTAATTTGCCTTGAGGAATTTCAGGAGCTAAACAGCAAATAATGAGGTATCATGTAGGTGAGACATCTTCCTCCCACGCCTGCACATGCCTACAGTAACTTCCTAAATCAGCCCACAGGAACACCAAGTCATAAACTCTACACCTTCAATTACACTGGCTTGTCCAAATATTTCCAAACCGCAAAACGTGGGGAGTATTCCATGCAGTCACGGATGCTACCAACTTCTCACTGGGCATAGTTCCAATTTTGTTCCTACTGCAGCTCTCATCTCAACCATTATTCATGAAGAGTCACAGAGGCCAGGGGAGTAGGTACACAGTTCGTTACGTGTATGGAAAACATCTAGTAAACTCCCCTCTGGCTTCCAAGCTCAAGTGTATTTTAATTCCCCGCACAATTCTTGTGGTTTGGTCATGACCCACACTTGACTGAATATGTACATTTAAGTGCTCTGAAATTTTATCAGTGAATGTTTTTTTTTAAAGATTTATTTTTATTATTTTTTTTAATTGGAAAGGCAGATATACAGAGAGGAGAGCCAGAGAGGAAGATCTTCCGTCCGATGATTCACTCCCTAAGTGAGCGCAACAGCCGATGCTATGCCGATCCGAAGCCAGGAGACTCTTCTGGATCTCCCACGAGGGTGCAGGGTCCCAAAGCTCTGGGCCGTCCTCGACTGCTTTCCCGGGCCACAAACAGGGAGCTGGAAGGGAAGCGGGGCTGCTGGGATAGAACCAGCGCCCATATGGGATCCCGGGCATGCAAGACGAGGACCTTAACCACTTGCGCCACCGCGCCGGGCCCTATCAGTGAATATTTTCAACAGTCTTAGTGGCATATTGTGCCAAGCCTTGCCACAGTGTCCATTTCTTTGATCTCTTTTCCATGCTAACATTCTGCTTTTCCCTATCATTTACGATTCAAAATGTGACATGAGTAACAGGATCAGTTTTTTAAACACTTATTTATTTTTATTGGAAAGATAGATTTATAGAGAAGAAGAGTGACAAAAACTCTTCCATCCACTGGCTCATGCCTCAAATAGCTACCAAAGGCTGGAGCTGAACCAAAGCCAGGAGGCTGGAGCTTCTTCTGGGTCTCCCAAGTGGATGTAGGGTCCCAAAGCCCTTCCAGACCACTAGCAGGGAAGTGGGTGGAAAATGGAGCAGCTGAGCCATAAACTGGCACCCATAAGAGATACCAACACTTGCAGATAGAGGGTAAGCCTTTTGAGCCACCCTGTTGGCCTCAGAATCAGTTTCGGTGGTATGAGTAAGATTAGAGAAAAAGCCATGAACAAATGAGCTACTAGTAAATTCATACAAAATGGATAGCTCTTGGGGCTGGCACTGTGGTAGAGCAGGTCAAGCCACCACCTGCAATGCCAGCATCCCATATGGGCGCTGGGCTGATTCACAGCTTCCACACTTTCGAACAAATTCCTGCTAATGAGCCTGGTAAAGCAGCAGCAGATTTCCCCTAATTTTTTAAAGTGAATAAATAAATAAATAAATAAATAAATAAGTCTTTAAAAAAATGTGGGCTCATGCTGTGACGTAGCAGGTTAAGTGTGCAGTACCAGCTTCCCCCTATGGTCACTGGTTCAATTCCACTGCTCCGTTGACTATCCATTTACTGGTGTGCCTGGGAAGGTAGGGGAAGTGGCACAGGTCTTGGACTGCTGCACCCACATAGGATACATGGGAAGAGACTCCTGGCTGCAGACCGGCCCAGCTCTGGCTGTGGGAGGTCGGGGGTTGGGGGAAGGGGACACAGCAGATGAAAGACCTTTCTGTCTCTCCTCTCTCTGCTAGGTTTTTTTTTCCCTGAAACACCAAATTTCTCATAAGTTACATGAAAGAAGTAGTCACTGAATGTCATATGAAACTACATATGAAAACTCTTACCCCCAAAATGTTTCAGGTGTACATGTCCATGTAAATGTATACCAAAGGGACCAGAAGAACATACATAATGTGGAAACAGTGATTATCTCTGATACAAAAACAGATGCGTCAGCAAGTGGTCAAGGGTGACCCTAAATCCACAGCTCGAGTATTTTAAAATAAGCGTATTACAACAAACTCTAGGAAAGCTGGCTGTCAGCCCCAAAAATCACGGTGGTGACAGTAATGTTTATCACTGCCTATAAAAGCAAAAAATAAAACAACAATTCAAAAAACCAGAGGCTTTTAAAGGCAAATGCTCCCCGGTCACCCAGGCTATTAAATAAAGTAAAAACCAAAAATATTCGATGGCAAGCTTTATGGCACAGAAGGGTTAAGTAATCCCTTAGGATGCCAGCTCCCACCTGGATCCCCTCACTAAAGCACCTGGGAAAGCAGAGGAAGAAGAGGAAAACACCCCAAGTGCCTGGGTTCTTGCTACCCACAAACCCGCTATCACAGCCATTTCGGGGAATGAACCAGCAGATGGAAATGCTGTGTGTGTGTCTATGTGCACGCAGGTCCATCTGTTTCTCTGCCTTTCAAACAGATGAAAGCAATCATCTTTTAGAAAACACACACATGATCCCATGCTGTGCACTACGGGTCCACTAAAAGGTTAAACCATGTGGTCTTCCCTTCCTCCCTCTCAGGCAGGCAAACCAACCCTGGGTGGTGTACCAAGAAATCTGACGGATGGGAAACCACAGTAACAGGAGGTAAATTACTTCAACTACTCCTGACAAACCCTCACCTCCCCTACTTCACAGTTGCTTCCACCGCACTGCGCAGCCAAGCCTCTGCTGCAGCTCTGCCCAGCTGGAGAACAGGATCCGGTTGGGCTACTTACCACCACCACACGCTCAGCACAAGACATACCCCAAACACACATTCTGGCCAAATTTAAAGTTCCATTTTCTAGGGCAGGTATTAATATAGGCGTGAAGACACACACGTTCCACATTGGAGCATCTGGAGTCACCTGACAGTCCTGACTCCTGAATCCAGATTCCTGCTAAGGCAAACCCTGGGAGGAAGAAATGGTGGCTCCAATAGTTGGGTTCCTGCCCCCTACAGAGAAGAGCTGCACTGAGTTTCTGGCTCCCAGCTTCAGCCTGGCCTGGCCCTGCCATGTCAGCATTTGAGAGGTACATCAGAAGATGGAAACATGCGGCCCTCAGTCTAAATGTCTGTTTCTCAAAGAAAAAAAAAAGCAGAAGCCAAGAGGAAGCTGTGCTGTAGCAAAGTGGGTTAAGCTGGCTTCTGTAGTGTCAGCATCTCATATGGGTATCAGTTCAAGTCCTGGGCACTCCGCTTCCAATCCAGTTCCCTGCTAATGTGCATGGGAAAGCAATGGAAGATGGGTCAAGTCCCTGGGACCCTGTCACCCACATGGGAGACCTGGAAGAAGCTCCTGGCTTCAGTCTGCCCACCCCCCACCAAATTGTGGCCATTTGGGGAGTAAACCAGCAGACAAAATATCTCTAAACAAATCTGCCTTTCAAAACAAATAAATATTCTGCCATACAGTACATCATCACTATAGAATATTCTTTGGAGATAAAAGAATACATTGAAATATTTACCAAAATTAACCATAAAAAACATTATTGCAGAGGCCACTACTTGTGAAGCAAGCATTCCCTTGTCTAGTGCTAGTTTAAATTCTAGATATCTTATTTCCAATCCAGCTCCCTGAAGCGCCTGTGAACGCAGAGACAATGGTACAAGTAATTGCATCTCCACCATCTAAATGGGAAATCTCGACGGAGTTCCAGGCTGTTGGCTTAAGCCTGGCCCAATACTGACTGCTGTGGCCATTTGGGGAGTGAACCAGAAGATGTAAGATCCTGTCTGTCTTCTCGCCCTTCTCTCTCTGTCACTCTTTATCCTACTGCCTTTTAAGTAAACTTTTAAGATTTTATTAAAGGGGATATAATCACTTAAAAAAATTTTTAGAGTGGAAATGTTATCAATTTGACATGACATTTGAGAAGCAATACATTATCAGCACTGACACCTACTGGTGACAATGGACTGCACATCTGTGATAAGAAAGAGGCGGTCACATTTAATTAGGTCACAGAAGTCCAGCAAGCAACTTCTGGGTATCTCATCTTTCTGTTCTTTGTTGCTATATTTTTAAATTTTGTTTAGATCAAAGGGAATTTACCACAGACACTTCTGTCGAGGACCTTGGCGTTGTCTCCCTGAGTACTTTTCAGGTAGCAAATAAGCTGCCATCCTACTTTTAACTCATCCCCACAAGAGTGAAGAGCTTCTACACAGGAACTTTCTTTCATACACTCACAGACTTTTGGGAAGTAAGGGACAGACCCTCATCAGTGAGCGCCACTTCCTCACAACAGGTATATTTTCATTAAATCGCTCTCACAGAAGCAAGAGGTGTATAAAAAATTTAAACCAGGACATCCTAGTCCAACACATCCTCATACAGGACACTCTCACTGCAACACATCATTTGCTTACCCAGCTTTTCCTCCCACCACACTGGGTCCTGGTGGGGTTTTTATTCTAACTCCCAGGCCTCAGCCTGCTACGACAGGAGTGAAATGAGCAGCAGCTCACGTGGAAGAACTGGGGAAGAGGTGGGGAAGAGCCCTGGTGTGAGGGAGCCATCTCAACTACCTTGTTCTCTCCTGCTACAGGAGGTGGCTCTGAGTGCCAGGGTCCACTCCCACAGGTAAAGGGTTTTAAAAATCAGGGTCTGGTGCAGTAGGCTAATGGTTAAACTCCTCATCTTGCAACCACCAGCATCCCATATGGATGCTGCTTCATGTCCCAGCAGCCCCGCTTCCCATCCAGCTCCCTGCTTGTGGCCAGAGAAAGCAGTCAAGGACAGCCCAAAGTCTTAGGACCCTGTACCCACGTGGGAGACCCAGAAGAAGCTCAAGGCTCCCAGGCTCCTGGCTTTAGCTCCGGCTGCTGTGGTCACTTGGGGAGTGAACTAGCAGACGTAAAATTTTCCTCTCTGTCTTTTCTTCTCTCTGTAAATGACTTTCCAGTAAAAATAAGTAAAATCTTTTAAAAAATCCAACTGTAAGGCTATACCAGACCCTTCAAACCAGCTGAAGCTGCTGTGTTTACACACACCCTGCCTTGCTCTGCGAGACAGTAACAGACATGCTCTAAAATTACCTGCACATCTGCATGCTTACGAGGCTAAATTTAAAAAGGTGATTGTCGCACAGAGGTACTTTGCATGAAAGCCATCACCACGACAAGTGCACTATCTGGCAGGAAACGAAAGGGCAGAGCAAAGCAGGCATCTTAGTGATGAGCAAAGGAAGGACAGTAGCAGCACAAAAAAGATGTGAAGCAGATGGGCACTTGGCACAGCATTTAAGAAACTGCTCGGGACATTTGCATCCCCAAAAGAGTACCTGGATTCAAATTTTGGCTCCAGTTCAAATTCAAGCTTCTTGCTAATGTGTATCTTGGGAGGAAAAAGTGGTATTCGCTCAAGTACTTGGACCCAAATGGAGTTGCTGGCTCCTGGCTCATGGCTCTGGCAGGACCCAGCCCTAGCTATGGAAGGCTTCTGAGGAGTGAAACAGCCAATGGGAGATATTCCTCTGTCTCCTTCTCTGCTTTTCAGAGCAATAAAAATTTAAAAATCATTTAAAATATGCTAAAGCCTCTTGAAGACAAATCCTCTCTCTAAATGGCATTGAGAGTAGCCCAGCCTTGGCTGATCAAACCCACATTAACCAAATGAGGCCACTTGTACACTGAAGCCATTTTAGCTCAAATTTTGGCATAAGGTCATGCTCAAATGCTATCTTACCTGTATGATAGGAAATGGAAGGTAGTTCATGTTGTTAACAAAGTACAGGAGGCTGTAGCTGTAGCCCATAAACGCTCCAGCCAGCAGGAAGAAAAGATGATATTCATTTAAGCACGTCTGCACAGCAGGATGATCTAAGCTAAAAGCAAAAGTCAAATTATTAATTCAACAGTTGGGGGGGGGGAACACATATGACTATTTAGTGTCAACATTTATGGAAAGCAAAGGTCTAAGCTATTCACTTATGAAATCATCCAGATTACAGCAAAATGATTAACTTTGAGCAAAAGATCACAAAGAAACCTTCCATACAAGCATAATAATCTGACTTTAGGGGCCAGCATTGAGGTAAGAGTGGGTATGGCCACCGCCTGCAACATCAGCATCCTATATGAGCTGATTCATGCCCCAGCTTTTAAGACTTCTGATCCAGCTCCTGCTGACACGCTTGGGAAAGGAAGTGGAAAATGGTCCAAGCATTTGTGCCCCTGCTAATCATATGTGAGACCCGGAAGCTCCTGCTTTCTGGTTTTAGCCTGGTTCTGCCTTAGCCATTGCAGTCACCTGGGGAGTGAACCAGTAGATGGAAGACCTTGCTCTCTCTAAATCTTTCAAATAAATATATATTTTAAAAAAACTGACTTGGCCTGTTCCCCTGGAAACCCAATATAAGTGAGAATGTCTGCCATAACAATAAAGAAAACCTTGTCTGAACTGAGCAGAACAAGACCTATTTCCACCTGATAGGGATTTCCTAACTTGGGGCCTCTGTGTTCCCTTAAAATGGAGCATTTCCTTCTGGGAAATGCTGGATGCCATGCCCATACAATTGCTCTAAGACACGGGATCTTTCAGGGCACAAAGCCTTTCAACAGGGAGTCCCACACCTGTCCTATGTGGTCTCCTCCTTGTAACAGACTCATATCATAGGCAAGCAGATGGCTCTCCAACGGCCACCGGAGCTGCTTCTGGGGCTCCTGCTCATGAGGAGCTCACAATGATTCCTAGTGGACCAGCTCTGGTTTCATACCCTAAATGCTGAGTTCAATCCAAGAGGGTCCCCTGGTGGACATCGTCATAAGCCGCTTTACCTTACACCGTTTTGAATTGTAAGCATAGGAGCTTATCTACCTGAGGAACTTCAAGCTTTTAAACTCCTTTGACAGTTTCCTGAGACTACAAATGATAAGACATCTGGAGGTGTATAGCATCAATACCCCATAATTCAACAGGATTCAAATTCTCATGAGTAAGTAGTTACGGGACCACCCCTATGATGGAGCACTATCACAAGACAGACTCCAGACTGACTGTTTCCTGCATCCTGAGTTATAAGATGGTGAAGAGATTAATTTTGCTTAAAATTCTGACTGTGAAATCATCAGCAAATGTGTTAATAATCAGCGTTAGAACAGACATTTGGCGCAGTACTTGAGACACCACTGGGAACACCTCCATCCTGCACCAAACGCCTGGTTCAAGTCCTGACTACTCAATTCAACTTCCTGTAATGCATCCCTTGGGAGACCGCAGATACAGTTCAAGTATTTAGGACTCTGCCACCCATAGAGAAGAACCAGACTAAGCTCTGGATTCCTGGCTTCAGTCTAATCTACATCCGGCTGAAGGTATCTGATGAGTGAACCAATGAGCCAAATCTCTCCTAAGAGGTACAGCTGCCTCTGCTCCCCAGAACTTCACTGCCATCTCCACTGAAGACAGGTATAAAGAATTCAAGATTCATTTAAGATGAACAGTTGTCATTTTCCTACTCACAGACGGCCTTTATTATTCAGTGTTTATCAGCATTTTTTCCCTAACAAAAGGAAGAAAATTGTCTTATATAAGGGTATTTCAAAAAGTACATAGGAAACTGGGGTTAAAAGATAACTTTATTGTCTTGTTTAAAAAAAAAATTGAAAATCAGAGACCACTACTGTGAAGTATCTGGCTCAGTTGCCACCTGTGCTTCCAGTATCCCATGTGTGTACCAGCTCAAGTCCCTGCTGCCCCACTTCCAATCCAGCTCCCTGATGACATGCCTGACAAAGCAGTGGAGAACAGTCTAAGTGCTTGGAGCCCTGCCATCCACATGGGAGACCCAGATAGAGTTCTAGGTCCCTGGCTTGAGACTGGTCCAACTCCAGCCATTGTGGCCATTTGGGGAGTAAAGCAGCGATGGATGAGCTCTCTATTCCCATCTCTCCCTGTGACTGTGACTCTGCCTTCAAATAAGTAAATCCTAAAAAGGAAAATTGAAAGGCATAATTTCTTCATAATACCCGTCTTTCCATGAATCGTGTGAAAACCAGATGGGGTCAAAAAAAAAATCAAAAGTCAGGGACAACAGGGATCTTAAGACTACTTCAATAATCCTTCACTATTTTGTTTTCATTATTTTAAAATAATTTTTCTTTATTCTGAAAAGCAGTGTTACAGAGAGACAAGGACAGACCAATGGAGAGATCTTCCATTTGCTGATTCATTACCCAGATGGCCACATCAGCCAGAGCTGAACCAAGCTAAAGCCAGGAGCCGGGAGTTTCTTCAAGGTGCCCCACACGGGTGCAGGGACCCAAGGCCTTGGGCATCCTCTGCTACTTTCCCAGGTGTGTTAGCAGAGAACTGGACAGGAAGTGAGCAATCAGCACATGAACTGCACTTCAGGTGGGATGCCAGTGCTTTAGCCGGCTATGCCATCACATCAGCAATGGATTTTAAAGTCAAAGTATAAACCTGAAATTATATCAATGCCATGTGTTTTTTAAAAATTGCTTTAATTCCAAAGTTACAGAAGCATTTTGATTCTATTATTTAAAATTATTTTATATCTTCTCTCTGCACATACCACCCTTCCATCACACTCCACACTGACTGCCACCTCCCCCTAAGGACATGTATGAACCCTCTCTGGTTTCTCATTTCCCAACTTCCTTGCACATCTATCTTCTTCCTCTTACATCCACGGCGTCCAGGCCTTTAGCTCCTATTGTTCTCTCCGTGGGTTTACAGTCTAGGTTTGAATCACTTTCACAAATTCAGTTAAACCTTGCATTGCACCGTGCACATCAGTTTTGCTTTTTAATTTGCTGACTCCAACTAACATAAACACTACAACTAAAGCATGTGAACATACCTCTTCCTCAGCAGCCTAAAAACCAAAGAATGTCCAGAAACTAAATCCCTCCTAGGACTTGGCAACAAAACCAGGCTCCCCAGGTGAACATGTGTACTCTTACCTCTCGGTGCCGGTGCAGGGAACCACAAGGAAGCTGTGCTGGCCCCTGGTGATCACGGCAGCACACCACGCCACGACCATCCCCAGGGCAGCGTGGACGAAGGAATGCAGGAGCTGCTGAGGGTGAACAATCTTCCCAATCAGGGCCAGCCTGGAGCAGGGAATGGAAGGCACGACTGCAAGGGAAACACACAACTGTGGGTGACAGCGTGCAGCACGTCAAGTGAGAGGATCTGAATGCACCCTCTCCTCACACAAACACCAGGGCAGGAAGAAACGCACACTGCCAAAAACAGCACAGAAAAATTTCCAGTAAAATAATTTGAGAAGAAAAATCAATAATAAAAAAAAAAGGTACATACACAAGGAAAACCAAAAACTCTAGAGACAAAATCTAAGGAAAATGTGATTAGCATTTTTGATTAAAATTCCCTGAGAGCTCAAAGGTGTCCACCCTAACCCTCGCTGACAACATAAAAAAAGAAATAATTCATGAAAGGAAGACAGCAGGTAAAACTGTTGCTTGTGATACTGGCACCCCACATCAATTTGTTTCTAGACCTGGTTCCTCTCCTGATCCAGCTCCCTGCTAATGTGCCCAGAAAGGCAGCAGAGGATGGCCCAAGTGCTGGGGCCCCAACCATGGGAGACCAGCAGGAAGCTCCTGACTTTGCTCTGGTTCATCCCCAGCCATTGTAGCCATTCAGGGAGTGAACCAAAGGATGAAAGAGCAATGTCTCTCTTGCTTACTCTCTCTTCTCACCTCTAACTCTGACTTTAGAATAAATAGAGAAGAGCCAAGCACCTGCTATGAGGGAACAGGAAAGCAAAGCAAAAAGAAATCCATCAGCGTACCCACAGTTAGGGTCTGAAAGGCTGTGCCTGACTTCACAGAAGAGCACTGAAGAGCTAAAAATGGGAACAAACAGGTGTCAGAACGCCTTGTCATTGTGTCTTAGGGACAGACCCAGGAATTAGAAAAGGCACACGAACAGGAAAGAACAGTAAGCTTTGTCAAGGAACCAGTGGATCTCCTAAGCAAACCCAGTACTCTAAAGCTTTTCGGGAAGTCACAGAATTACCCACTTTTCTAACTGAAATTAAATCACCTGGCCTTGACATAGAGCCCTGTAAAAGGATTAAGATTTATTTATTTTTATTAGAAAGGTAGATTTACAGAGAGGAAGATCTTTCATCCACTGGCTCACTCCCCAAATGGCCTCAACGGCCAAAGCCAAGCAGATCCAAAGCCAAGAGCCAAAAGCTTCTCCTGGGTCTCCCACATGGATTTAGGGGTCCAAGGACTGGAGCCATCCTCCACTGCTTTCCCAGGTCATTAGCATGGAGCTGGACTGCAAGTGGAGCATCTGGAACATGAACCAAGGCCTACATGGTGTGCTGGTGCCCCAGACAAGAGGTCCAGCCTGCCATACCACCATGCTGGCCCAAGGAATTGTTTTTATAATACATCAGGATGAACACCACCTATGAACTATTTAAAAACTTTTATTTTAACTGCACTAACGCAGACCTTAATCAGATGCATCATTTGATCCATTTTTAAGTGCAGCTTGGGGACAATAAATACATTCCCAGTGTTATGCAACAATCACCATCACTCATTTCCAACTTTTCTGTCTTCCCCAACTGAAGCTCATCAAGCAACATCCCAAATCCTGTCACCACCATTCCTTCTGTTCATGATAAATGACTACTCTACACAGCCCTGTGAGTGGAATCATACAGTACTTTTCCTGAAAGTTCTAAATTGAACAGAGAAAACAACACCCAAATGAATTGCAATGCATATCACTCAGAACATATGATTTTGTACTCTTTTAAATTCCAATACAAGGGCCTGGTGTGGTAGCCTAGTGGCTGAAGTCCTTGCCTTGCCTGGGCCAGGATCCCATATGGGTGCAAGTTCGTGTCCCGGGTGCCCTGCTTCCCATCCAGCTCCCTGCTTGCGGCCTGGGAAAGCAGTCGAGGATGGCCAAAAGCCTTGGGACCCTGCACCAGCATTTGAGACCTGGAATAGACTCCTGGCTCCTGGCTTCAGATTAACTCAGATCCAACCATTGAGGCCACTTGGGAGTGAAACAGCTGATGAAAGATCTTCCTCTCGGTACATCTGATTGCCCAATAAAAATCAATAGATCTTTAAATAAATAAATAAATTCCAATACAAAGCACAGCTTAGTATACACATCCACATATACAATGTGTTAAGTCTATCCTCAGTAAAATACATTCACATTCTCTTTTATATATACATAAATTCTCATATATATATATATATATTCACATTCTTAACATGGTTAACATTAGAAACTTACCTGCATAGAACTCCACATTGAAAATGCTTATTATTATTATTACCACCGACAGCAGCAGAAGGTAAAAGATGATATAGGAACTATACAGGTCACTGAGAGAATCTGAAACATAAGAAATTAATTAACAAAGTTTATTCATTCATATTGTCCTATTCCATACATTGCAATGTAGGAAGAGTTCTTGGACACCAAAAATACCTTTCATTTTAAAAATCACTGTTCCTGGGCCTGGCATGATAGCCTAGTGGCTAAATCCTTGCCTTGCATGCACCAGGATCCCATATGGATGCCAGTTCATCTCCTGGCTGCTCCACTTCCCATTTAGCTCCCTGCTTATGGTCTGGGAAAGCAGTTGAGGATAGCCCAAACACTTGGGACCCTGCACCTGCACGGCAGATCCAGAAGAAGCTGCTAGCTCCTGGCTTTAAATCAGTTTAGCTCCAACCACTGCAGCCACTTCAGGAATGAACCAGTAGATGGAAGATCTTTCTGTCTCTCCTCTCTATGAATCTGCCTTTCCAATAAATTTAAATAAATGTTTAAAAAAAAAAGAGAGAGAGAGAGCCCACAGTATTCTTTAAATGTCCAAAAATTACTCTAGTTTTCATGGACTTTCTTTAGTAAAAGGCGAAAGATTTATACGATCTGAAGAGAAACCAGAGTATGACTTTCAATCATTTAAAAAAATAATTTCTTCAAGAAGCTGTTGGCAGCTTTACTGGGACAACAACTCAAAAATTACATGTTGGGGCCCAGCGGTGTGGCCTAGCGGCTAAAGTCCTCACCTTGAAAGCGCTGGGATCCCATATGGGCGCCAGTTTTAATCCTGGCAGCTGCACTTTCCATCCAGCTCCCTGCTTGTGGCTTGGGAAGGTAGTCGAGGACAGCCCAATGCTTTGGGACCCTGCACCCATGTGGGATAGCCGGAAAAAGTTCCTGGTTCCCGGCTTCGGATGGGCACAGTACTGGCCGTTGCACTCACTTGGGGAGTGAATCATTGGATGGAAGAACTTCCTCTCTGTCTCTCTTCCTCTCTGTGCATCTGACTTTGTAATAAAAATAAATAAATCTTAAAAAAAAAAAATTACAGGTTGTAATTTAGACCTTGTTCTGTGTACTCCAAATCATGTTAGAATATCAGGTAAAATATTACCATATGCAAGTATTTCATTATGTGAAAAAGAAATACAATGGTTAGTAGTGTATCAACAAAGAATTTTCTTAAAATGCAGATGCCATTTTTCAATTCTCTTCTTAATAACCACAACTAGCTCTTTTAGCTAAAATTAGAGTAATAATTTTGGAAATAATACAATCTATAAATCATCTGACGAGTTTAACTAAAAAAACACGATGTTCCTGAGGATGCTAACAGGCACATTTTTGGGGAGCCCAACAATCGATATTCCATCTCAAAGTTCAACATATGTAAATATTATGCCTCAAAACTTCAACAAGAGAAGCAAAATGGACTGAATAGACTAACACTCACTAATGAGATGAACTGTTATTCTTACAAGTATTGGGACCAAGGCCGGTGTTGTGGAGTAGCATGGTAAACCACCACCTGTATCATCGGCACCCATACGGGCACGCATTCAGACCCAGATGTTTCATTTCCAATCCAGTTTTCTGCTAATGTGCCTGGGAAAGAAGCAGAGGATGCCCCAAGTGTTTGGGGTCCTATACGCACGTGGGAATCCTGGAAGAAGCTCCAGACTCCTGGCTTTAGCCTGGCACAGCCCCAGCCACTGTGGCCATTTGGAAAGTGAGCCCACAAATAGCTCTCCCTCCTTCCCTCTTCCTCTGTATCAATACCTTTGCAACAAATAAATATATAAATCTTTAACTCAATCAGAAAAACTAAAGGTTCTGGCCTTGTGACACAGTGGATTCAAGATGCCACCAGACATCCCACATGTTTGCTGCTCAAGTCCTGGCTACTCTGCTTCTGATCCAGTTCCCTAATGCGCCTGGGAAAGCAGTGGAGGACAGTGTAAGCTCTTGGACCCCTGCCCCCATGTGGGAGGCCGGACGGAGTGGCTGGCTCCTGGCTTCAGCCTGGCCCAGCCCCAGACCATTACAAACATTTGGGGAAGGAACAAGTGAATGGAAGATCCCTTGATGTCTGTCTGTTACTCAGCCTTTTAAGTAAACACATCTTAAAAAAAGAGAACAGGTACACTGAGAAGAAAATGGCATAAATCAATCCAACCTTGAGAGACATCATTACTAGGACTGAAGAGTCCCTGGTGATGAAATGGAAAAATATTTTATCCCCAGTGCCAATTCTAAACATCTGGTAAGAGCGCCCAAATACAGTCTGGAATGTGGTATCAATGGACACAGGCAGGTGGCTGCAGAAAGACTTGTTGCTCCTGTACCAGCAGATGCTGTAACTTCACTTGCACCCTGGGGATCATTCAAGAAACGATACAGATCAATAACAATTTCATGAGCCTGGGCCAGCATCAGGACACAATGGCTGTCCCACATGAGGATCACCTCAAAGCGTAGGCTGCTCTCCCTCTGACCCAACTCCCGGTTAACGCGCCAGCAAAGGCAGCAAACAGAAGGTGACAAAGAATGAAAGATGGTAACGCTGCATTTCAAATAAGTAAAATCTTCAAAAAAACAAAACAAAACATGACTTCAACTCTCCCTGCATTTCAAAAACAGTGAAAACTAAATAAATAAAAGGCATGGTCACTATGTGTGTACATATATTAAAAAATATATTCAGATGGTGCCCGACATATAGTAGATAGGCAATAGCATCTTCCACTGTCTTTCCCAAGGCCATTAGCAGAGAGTGGGATCAGAAACAGAACAGCCAGGACTCAAACCAGCACCCATTTGGGATGCTGGCATCACAGGCAGCGCCTTTACTTGCTATACCACGACACTGGTCTCTCCAACAATGTTTAATTTTTAAATGTCAAGAGTGGAGCCCACATCTTCCTCAATTTCTTCATCTTGAATTAGTTTCAGAAGCAGAAACAGACATCTGGAGAATTCTTATCTGCTGCATTATTTCCCAAATGCCGCCCAGGGCCCAGGAAGGGGTAGAGCCTGCAGCTGAGGCCAGGCGCTCCAGCCAGGTCTCCCATGTGGCTGGCAGGGACCTAACTACTTCAGCCAGCACTGCAGCCTCCCCAAGCATTGCAGGAGGAAGCTGGAGTGAGGAGCAGGAGGCTTCAGCCCCAGGCACTCACTGCACCCCCAAGCCATAGGCCTGATTCTAAGAAGCACCTTCGTCTTCCTCCATCTTCTCATCCTCACCAACGTTGGTGTCTAACTCTCTTCCTTCATCCTCAATTCTTTCTTCCTCCTATCTTATAAGTTGCAATACAGAAATGAGGTATTCTTAATTTCAGACTTTTAAAAAAAAAATACATGCAACTTTCAATAAGTAAGAACAACAGGTCTCTTGTTAGACACCCACTATGATGGAGCAGGGGTTCATGCAGGGTCAAGGAGCTGCTTGGGAGGCCTGTGCCCACACTGGAGTGTCTGGGTTTGAGTCCTGGCTCTTCCACATCTGTCTAGCTTCCTGTTTATGTGCACCCTTGGGAGGCAACAGATGACAGCTCGAGGCCTTGGGTCCTTGCCACCATGTGGGAGATCTGAAACAAAACCTAGACTCTTGGCTTCACCCTCACCCAGACCTGACTGGTGCAGCTATCTAGAGTGAACTAATACATGGAAAATGCTGCTATAGTGCACTAAGCCTCTGTCTGTGGCACCAGCATCCCACTTGGGTGCTGGTTCATGTTCTAGCAGCTCCACCTCCAACCCAGCTCCCTGTTAATAGCCTCAAGAAAAGTTGGGGAAGATGGTTCAAGTCCTTGGCCCCATGCACTCCCTGGGAGATCCAGAAAAAGCTCCTGGCTTTGGACTGGTCCAGCTCCAGCATCTGTGGCCATCTAGGGAGTAAACCAATGGATAGAAGACTTGTCTCCGACTCTCTTTTGCTCTGTAACTCTTTCAAATATCAATAAACTTTAAAATAAAACAACAAACAATATCATTAAGGCTGCCTAAAAAAAGATAAAAATTACAATTTCATCTTTTTGGGGTACTAATCATCTTTGTCTTATCATCATAGGAGTACTAACTTTACATAATAAAAAGATGGTTTGTGTGACACTGAAGTGTCTGATGTAACTACTCTGATGTAGAATCTGGGCAGTCATTTAACAAGACAGTGTGGGAAACCATGCAGTCCTGACGTGAAGCAGGTCTTTGGGTCTGGCCACGGCATCCTCACTTACCTGACAGCCATTGCACAGGGTGGAGTAAGTCAGCGCTGCTGAAGAGCACAAACGCAGCAGTGCAGGCGGGGAGAAGCAGCACGGACCAGATGATGCTGCACACTACCCTCCAGCCCAGAACCTGCAAGGCAGCAGAGCAGCTTCTCAGTGGGGGAAGTCAGCCAGGCCATGCGCTGCGCAAATCCCAGCTCTACACGTGGGACACTACCCCACACCAAGGACGAGGCAGCTCAGGCGGCTTACAATGCTGCCCTTTGGCTGGGCGGCAGGTGCAATATCTACCATCACACTGTTCGGAGGATGAAGGTGCCTTACTTACACAACTGTATCTGACAGCAACTAATAATTGTGCCTCCAGGTCTAATTCACATCAATATGTAAAGGCCGAGTACATCCCAAGCGAACCATCTGTACTTTATACCTACCAGTATTATTAGAGATGCCATCCTTATAGAGCGACTTGCGCATATTAACACTGTTTTCATGTCTGATTTGTCAGTGCCTACTATAAAGGAGATACAACAGCAGAGACCCGGGGAGGGGGGTGCTTCAGAAGGAAAGTTACAGTTGTCTCCACGTTCTGAAAGGGAACTGTTTCCTGTTAAGTAGCCCTGAGGGGGCCACATGCAGACAAGGGACACAGCAGGTAGGTGGCCGTCCACCAGGATGACCAAGCCAATGTCCCAACAAAAGCAGGGGAGGTGGAGAACAGCCTTGGAGGACGTGGACGACACAGAACAGACGCTCCTGTAGCTAAGAGTGCAGAAGAGGCGGCAGCACGCGGGGGCAAAGCCCTATAGGGGTCTGAGGTCTCCGCAGAGGCCAGGCGGCGCTCTAGATACAGCAGCGCCTAGCTCAGTCCCACGCCAAACACGAGACTCCAAACTCGAACCCCAACCCCATCCTCTAATGAAGGTCAATTCTCCCCAGTTTTGGACACTCACTTCTTACTCTCAACTTCTTACTCGCAACTAACTTGTTGGTATCTAACTTGTTGGATACACACTAGCCATGCTGCTATAGTATTCATCTCCTGCCCACTCTGCCTCAACTTTCCCTCGGGTTGCCCCTCACGAATAGGGCGCTTCCACGAGCCCGCCCCGCCCCCCAACTCTTCAGCACCCCAAAGGGCCCCGTCTCCACGCGCGCGGCCCACGCCGCCAGGGCGCAGGCGCGACCGCAACCCGCCCGCGCCACCCACGCTCGCAGCGCGCCACAGGGTCTCGCACTCACGCGCCACAGGATGTCCCGCGGCCTGCCGGCCAGGGGCCCACTCATGGCCGTGACCATGGAGACGGCAGCCCCTACTGTAAGCAGGGCCGCGGACAGCGTGCCCACCCGCCGCCGCAGTTCAAAGCGGGGAAGGCCCCCAAAGGACCCTTTTGGGGCTGCCTCAAAGGCTGCCTGCGCAAAACCGGGCACAATCCCTGACCCATCCCTTTGGGACTTCGTCAGTACAGGCTCAACGGGCCAACACTGCCCAGCGTTCACGTCCGCCACAGGGGGCTGTGACTCCAGGAAACGCCCTCTGGAATCCAAAAGGTCCCTTCGCAGCAAAGACCGGCGGGGCGCCAGAAATTGGGGGCGGCGCTGCATGCTGGGAACTGTAGTCTCGACGGCTCGCTGGGGTCCAGGACGGAAAGCGTTGCATTCTGGAACTCGTAGTTTCAAAGAACAGCATGCTGGGAGTCCAAATCTTCCTGGTAGTGCCATGAAGCATTTAGGGAATGGTAGTCTTTTTTCCCCCTAGATTTATTTATTTTTATCGCAAAATCAGATATATATACAGAGAGGAGGCGAGATAAGAAATAGCTTCCGTCCGATGACACTCCCTAAGTGACCACAACAGCCGGGTGCTGCACCGATCCAAAGCCAGGAATTCAGATCCTCTTCCAGGTCTCCCATGCTAATGCAGGGTCCCAAGGCTTTGGGCCATCCTCAGCTGCTTTCACAGGCCACAAGCAGGGACCTGATGGGAAGTGGAGCTGCCGGGAATTAGAACCAGCGCCCATATGGGATCTGGGCACATTCAAGGAGAGGACTTCAGCCACTAGGCCCCACTGCCGGGCCCAGAATGGTAGCCTTTTATAAAACCTGGCCGCAGTATTAACTAATCTGAATTTGGCCCATTCAAACTACCTGGGAGAACTACTTGCCCTTTTTTCTCATGATTTTTTTGTTTGTTTTATTTTTTTTTTTAGCTGACTAAAAGCGAATTCCTAGGATACTGTGGCCCTGTCACAATACATGCTCAGCACTCTCTTTTGAAATTTTTCAGATCTCCCTCGAAATTTTGGATTTAACTTCCTAAGAGGTGATTCCTATTTCTATCTCTGCCACTGATGAACTGGAACATCTGGGTTGTCTCTGAGCCTCAATTTCTTCATTTTTAATGATCAAGGTTAACTTGGCACACGGTTGATACTCTGAGGACATAATAACTACATTTTACAAATATTGTTTAGGATGAATTTCCTGCCAGTAGAAAAAGAAGCCTTTCACCAATTCTAGGGCCACTGAATGAAGTCTGTCTGATTGCTTTGTGTGTCAGGGAGATTCCTGGCTGAAAACTGCTGTTAATGCTGCCCTCCAGCATTCGCCCCCCTCCTCTAGGAAAACAGAAGAAACTCAAAGGCTAGTGACCTCACTGCGATCCCAGGGGCTGCTCTGTACAGCCTGCTACTAATGACTTGGTGATGTTCACTTACGAAACCATGCTCATGTCAAGCATATTGGAAGTACTGAAGAACTATCAGGGGCTAGCACTGTGGTGTGCAGATTAAGCATCCGCCTGCAGTACCAGCATCTCATCTGAGCACTGGTTCAAGGCCCAGCTGCTCCACTTCTCAGGAAAGCAAAAGATGTCCCAACTGAACCCACATGGGAGACCTGGAAGCAGTTCCTGGCTCGAGACTTTGGACTGAGGCCATTTGGGGAATGAACCAACAGATGGAAGATGGCTCTGTCTCTATTTCTCCTTCTTTCTCTCTGTAATCTGCCTTTGATATAAAATAACATAAGAACTAACTTGGACCACAGCTGCTAGATCAAGTGTCCATTGTGAGCAGACCTGATGAGGGGTAGAGACAAGTGCTAAGGGCTCTGTAACACATCTTCAGCTCCTTGCAATCCCTGAACACCTGCTTTCTTAGTAACAGAACCCCTCATTTCTAACGGGGCCCACAGCGACAATTCTCAGCCTCCCCAGCTGCAGGAATGAGGACCCTAACAGGCAAGTACCACACTCACAGAGGAACGCACTGATGGCTTTCTTGTCCCTTTGGAAGTCAGTCAGCACCTAAACGGCTCTTGGGAACTCTTCATTTGTTGTGCATAACCTGTTACAGTTTACAGCCTCAGAAACATAAGGGGCAGGGAGGGGCCGCAAACAGCCCTTTACTCCCCATTATTTAGTTTCAAATTCCACCCTTTTCTTTTGTTTCAGACAGAAGGCTGCTAACTCTTGATAAAATGTGATGAACCATTTACAAAGGACAGCTGTCCACTGCTCACCCACACCTCCCGCTCCATTCTGCCTCTAGGCCTGTGTTTGTGATTGACTCTACAGCTTTAAGTCCATGTCCTCCATGCCCGCCTGTCCTGGCAAATGCCCTCTACAAATCATGCAATTCTACCACTCTTGGGGCACAGCCAAGCCTCTGCAGTGTGATGGCAAAAGCGCTGACTGTGCAGCCAGCACTTCCCTGAAGAAGAGATGGAGATCTCACATCAGGTGACACTTCACTGTGTAGGGGACACCAAAAGCCACATCAGTCAAATGTGCTTCTGTAAATCTACCTTTCAAACAAAAATATAAAAAAAAATATTTTTAAAAAAATTAAATCTATGGGGCTGGTGAACTGGCTCAACAGGCTAATTCTCTGCCTGCTATGCATTGGCATCCCATATGGTTGCTGGTTCGAGTCCCAGCTGCTCCACTTTCCACCCAGCTCCCTGTTGATGTACCTGAGAAAACAGCAAAAACATGTCTCAAGTTGTTGGGCCCATGCATCCACATGAGAGGTCCAAAATAAGCTCCTGACTCCTGGCTTTAGATTGCCCCAGCTCCAACCATTGAGGCCACCTGAAGAGTGATTTAGCGGATGGAAGATCTCTCTCTCTCTCTCTCCATATATATATGAATATACATATATATATATTTATAGATCTGCCTTTCAAATAAAGACAAATAAATATTTTAGCAAATTCTGACCACTTTATTATGGCAAAGCGTATTTGTGGAGAAATGTACCAAACCAACCAACTTAAAAGCAGTTGCAGTTATTCTTCCTCAAGTGTGGATATGTTTCCAATCATTATAGCAGCTACTCCTCCCACCTTTTTTAGATGGTGCATGTGGAGGACTTCACAGGACGAGCAAGGATGTGGGTCACAGCCATGGGCAGCAGGAGAAAAATTTGCAGAAAGGGCTCCCAGGAGAGAGACTGGGACGTGCAAAGGGCCCTTGAAGATGGTAGAAATGCCTGGTACAGGAAGGCTTGGTTCTGACTTTGAACTTCGAAGGTTCCTGCAGGGCAAGGCTCCTTCTGTGAGGCCCAGGGACAGGGGCAGGCCCTTCTCACAGAGTGGGCTATGCCCAGAGGAAAGCCACCACAGGCAACGGGCCCAGTGAACAGGAGCTTGTCTGTGTCGGCTGCTGCTCTGCCTGGCATCATGCCCAGGGTATGGTGGGTGCCTGGGATATGTTTGCTGACAAGATTGCTGGAGTGCAAGTCAGCACTGAACAGGAAGTTTGCCAGGATGACCTTAAAAATTCCCTGTGGCCCCAAGTGTCTTTGCATCTCCCTTCACCTGTGTGGCCAACCCTCAGTGTCTAAGAGTGTTTTGGTAGCTGTGTCAGGAACACACAGGGCACTAACTCTGTCCAGGAGAGGCCAACAGGAAACAGGCCAGCAGCAGTTCTGGCCAGGGAGAAGCACAGTGGCCAGAGAGCATGAGTTTAGAACAGAAAGCATCTTGTGGTGTCCTTGTTTCTCTCAATATATTCTAGCCAGGAAATCACCTCAAGGAGGCACCCTTCATATCCTAAGAGAATTTCCTAAAACTTCTGGGTTAAATTAGGCCATACATGGATGTGTTGTTTAAACCCAACTCTATACTCGTGTGAGATAAAAATTCAGATGTTTATTTTAACAGCTAGCACTTTACATCCAATGTCCAGCAGCCTCCATGATGATACAGAAAAAATTTGAGGTTAAATGCAGACAGACCGGGGCTGAGACTGTAGTACAGTGGGTTCAAGTCCCGGCTGCTCCACTTTCAGTCGTGCTCCCTGCTAACGTACCCAGGAGTACAGCAGAGAATGGGCCCAAGTGTTTGGGCCCCTGCTGCTCACATGGGAGATCAGGATGGAGTTCTGGGTTCCCGGCTCCAGCCTAGATCAGCCCTAACCATTGTAGTCATTTGGAAAGTGAACCAAGAGGAAGATATTTCCCCCTCTTTCTCCTTCTATCACCCTAGATTTCCAATAAAATTTTTTAAAAAATCTTTTTAAAAACGATTTGTTTATATTTTAGGGGGAAGGCAGATTTACAGAGAGAAGGAGAGAAAAAGATCTTCTATCCACTGGTTCACTCCCCAAATAGTCACAACAGCCAAAGCTGAATCAGTCTGAAGCCAGGAGCCAGGTTCTTCTCCCAGTTTTCCCAAGGGAGTGCAGGGGCCCAAGGACCTGGGCCATCCTCTGCTGCTTTCCCAGGATATAATCCAGAACCTGGATCAGAAAGTAGAGCAGCTGAGATACGAACTGGCGTTCACATGGGGTGAGATGCTGGCACTCGGAGGTAAAGGATTAGCCTGCGGAGCCACCATGCCTAAAAAAAAAAAAAAGACAGACAGTCTATGAGGTATTTATTTTTGCAATCATTAGGTTCAGCTGCCTAGCATTAAGTCACCAAAGATAAATTTTCAAGTTCCCCAATAACCCCAGAGTTCACACTCCCAGCAAGGCCATCCACCTGATTCCAAGAAAGGTCCCTGGAAGGTGGGTTGGGTGTTTCCGGTGTGCAGGACAGACCTCCCGGGGTGTAGGTCATCCGAGGCAGGTGGGAGGCAGATGGACACACCCCAGCATTCCCAACCCCTGTCCCTATCCCTACATTTCATCCCAAGTCAAGGCATCATCAACGAGGGTCACAAACGGGGCAAATGAAAGTCTCAACGACACATATGCTGGATGCTGCCCTCCACGCATGTCCATGAAGCAGGTGTGCAGGCTCTAGATGAGGAGGCAGGCGCCGTGACATCCAGGGCCCTGCTGGCTGAGCTCATTCTGCTTCACTACAGAGGACACCAGGGCCCCAAACGCCATGCTCCACAGACAACACAACTGGAAAATAAAAGAGAAACTCTAAAATTAGGGAGTGCCCCCTTACAGGCCAGAACTAACTTGTGTAGCTGCTATCTCTAACTCTCCAAACCTTCAGCCCTGGGCCCTAAGCAAAGATACTCAGCTGGAAGGCGATGTTTTTGAATGTTTTGCCTAATTTCCTTGGAAACCCAGCGCCCTGTGCCCCAGATTCCAAAGCTACCTCCCCTGTTCTTTCTCCACATCTCTGTGGCAGCAGCTTGTCAGGTGTCATGGAAAGTGGATATGGAAAGACACCGGAGGTGTGGAAACTGGAAAACTCTTGCTAGTAGTGGACAACAGATTAAAGGTAGTTTGTTGCATTATAGGAATTTTTAATTTTTTTCTTTAGATAACAGAAGATTTAAAAAACCCAACTTAGTGAAAGATGTATTTATTTATTTGAAAGTCACAGTTACCGGGGAGGGGAGGGTGGTGTGGTGGGGAGAATTTTGCAAACCATTGGCAAGGTAGGAGCCTCTTCCAGGTTTTCCACATGGGTGCAGAAGCCCAAACATTTGGTCCATGTGGAATGCTGCCACTGCGGGTGGTAGCTTTAGCTACTGTACCACAATGTTGACCCTTCCAAAAACTTTTAGGTGGGAGAGTGACCCAGGTAAAGACATGGTCAGATTTATAAAATTTTGAAACTCTCATGATTGTATATAGGATGAATTAGAAGAAAGAAAAGAGGGGGTGATGCTGTGACATAACATGCTAATCTTCAGCCTACAGTGCCAGCTGGAGGCTGGTTCAAGTCTCAGCTGCTCCACTTTTGATCCAGCTCTCTGTTTACAGCCTGGAAAAGCAACAGAACATGGCTCAAGGACCCTGGCTTGGGACCCTGCAATCATGTGGAAGACCCAGAAGAAACTCCTGGCTCCCAGCTTTGGACTGCCAGGCTTTGTTGCAACAGCCATTTGATAGTGAACCAGCAGATGGAATCTCTCTCTTTCTCTCTCTATCTCTCCCTCTCTCTGTTACTCTAACTTTGAAGTAAAACAGTTAAGTCTCTAGAATAAGAAGGAAAGGAAGCAGAAAAAGAAAAAGAGGTGGAAAAATCCATCAGGTTATTATTAGCAGAGTTCAAACGTGATTGGCTCCTGAACACCAGATATGGTAACAGAAGGACCAACTTCAGAAATATCTCCAAGGAGAAGGGGCAAGTCTTGCTGTTGGTGACAGGGAGGCATCCACACTGATGAATGGCTTAGTGGATTTCTTCATGAAGCCACCAAATACTGAGAGAGAACACAGGAACCAGGCCCTGCTGCAGGCTGTGGGCAGCGACATGCCAACTCTCAGAGAAACGCAGGTAAGCAAAGGAAACGGTTGTGAGGCCAACAGGCTTACTTCCAAGGCTAAGTCACCGTGAGGGGGAGTCACTAAGAATCAAGTCTCTCTGAAGTCAGCGACAGGAAAGCATCAGGAGGGCTTGCTACAGGGAAGATGGGCTCGTGTGGCATGTCACAGGTTTGGGGTCACTGCTGCTAGGCTTTGCTGGGAATTTGTAAGAGACAGGAACGTGGAAGGAGCCGGGGTGGGGGCAGAGGTAGGTAGTGTTAAGCCCAGAGATGAAGGAATGGGGCAGAGAAGGGCTGTTAATGCATGGCCTTCCTCCCACTTAAGAGAACAAGCCCAGAGCCAGCACCACATGAAGAGGTCAGTGCATAGCCACACCGCAAAGGTGACAGAAAGCCAGGGTGGAGAAAAGGGGCACACAGCCAGCAAAACCCCCTTGCCATGACCCCTGTGGCACCATGGCAAAGCAAACTAATCTTCTGCCTGTGATGATGGCATCCCATATGGGTGCCAGCTCATATCTTGGCTGTTCCACTTCCCATCCAATTCCCTGCTTATGGCCCGGGAAAGCAGTGGAGAATGGCTCAAGTCCTTGGCACCCTGTACCCACATGGGAAACCAGGAAGAGGCTCTTGGCTTCTGGTTCCTGGCTTCATAATAGCTCTGCTCTAACCGTTGAGGCCATTTGGGGAGTGAACCAGTGGATGGAAGATCTCTCTCTTCTTTTAAAAAAAAAGATTTATTTTTTTTTATTACAAAGTCAGGTATACAGAGAGGAAGAGAGACAGAGAGGAAGATCTTCTGCCCGATGATTCACTCCCCAAGTGATCACAACAGCTGGTGCCACGCCAATCCGAAGCCAGGAGCCAGGAACTTCTTCCGGGTCTCCCACACGGGTGCAGGGTCCCAAGGCTTTGGCCCATCCTTGACTGCTTTCCCAGGCCACCAGCAGGGAGCTGGATGGGAAGTGGAGCTCCCGGGATTAGAATTAGAATTAGAATTAGAGCTCCCGGCGCCTGTATGGGATCCTGAGGCGTTCAAGGTGAGGACTTTAGCCGCTAGGCCATGCCACCAGGCCTGGAAGATATCTTTCTGTGTCTCTTATTTCTGTAACTCTGCCTTTCAAATAAATAAATATGTAAGTCTTTTAAAAATAAAATAAATGGCCTGGCACAATGGCTCAGTGGCTAAATCCTCACTTTGCACATGCCAGGCACTGGTCCAAGATCCGGCTGCTCCACTTTCCATCTAGCTCCTGCTGAAACATTCCCCCAAATAGCTGCAATGGCTAGAATTGCGCTGATCTGAAGCCAGGAGCCAGGAGCCAGGAATATGCGTGTAGGCGCCCAAGCACTTGGGTCATCCTCTGCTACTTTCCCAGGCCATAAGCAGGCAACTGGATGGGAAGCAGAACAGCCAGGACATGAACAGGCACCCAAATGGGGTGCCATCATTTGGAGGCAGATTATTAGCCAACTGAGCCATTGTCTGGTCCTTTGCCCTGACCACAGTGCAGTATGACTCAGTCCTCTGGACAAACATACCTGTCCCTGCCACCAGGAAGGTGGGGTCCCCTGTGGATGCCATCCTTCAGAGTCCCACTCCTCAAGCCAAGGCAAGGTTTCCCAGGGAAGGCCAGAGCAGAAGCGGTAAGTTAATGGAAGTGGACAGAAGGAAGTCAGATCTTCTTTCTGTTTCCGTGACAGGCAATCTGCTGCCTTCCAGGGCCTCCAGGGCCCTGTGATGTCAAGGTTCCCCACAGGAATCACTGCAAGCCAAGCCCTCTGTGGCTCTGACACCACTGGGAAGGTCATGGGTGGGATGGGATGCCAGTCTTTGTCAGGGAAAGCTGGGGGTCCCATAGTAGCAGTGGAAGGGACAGCCAGGTCGGAAGTAAGCATCACCCAGGCCCTGGACAGCACCTCTCATTGGCACAGAGACGGCCACTTCTGCCAGGCAAATGTGAAGAAACCATTGGCAGTGCAGACACCCGAGGGCAGAGACCCGAGCAAAGCCCGGCCATGTCAGGTCTGGTGTCGCTCAGGACCCGAGGCCTTCCAGGGCTCCAGGATCCAGGTTCTGCTTGTCGCTGCCAGCTCTGTTGAGATGTGCGGCCACAGCCTTCCCAAGCAAAATGTACAGAAGGTGAAACTGGGAGACACCCAGACCCCTGTTGCTGCCCATTTCCTTATGCCCTGTCCCTCTCCACGTTGTGTCCACAACCCCCTAAACAGCCCACGTCTTCACTTTTCCAAAGCTGGAGGAAACAGAAGAATCCATTTTTTTTTTTTGACAGCATCAGGAAAGGCCTCCTATCCTGCCTTGAGGGTCCGAGTTCACATGATGCCCGCCTCCCATCAGAAGGCCTGCCCCTACTGCTGGTCACAGAGTCACTCTGTTCTGTGTCTCCATGGGGTCTGGGCGACAGCTGCTCATCTGTGGTGCTTCCCACACAACATGGCCACTCTCTGCTGAATGTTTTATCCATTGGATGGAGGTTCCTGGACCTGAACTATGTGGCCCCCTCTTCTTGAGCATGGGTGAGGCCTGCAACCTGTTTCCAATCAATGGCACATGGCAAAAGTGACAGGTATCCCTGGAGTGTACATGCTGCATAAGTTGCAACTTCAACCCTGCCGAAAGACAAGTGTTGACTGAAGGAAGTCTTCCTGGGAAGGGGTCCGCATGGCAGGCCCCACCAAGGGCTCGGGCTAATGAGATGCTAGGAATGGAATCCTTCCAGCAATCATTCTAGCTTTCAGAGGAGAGCCCGGCCATGGCCAATCCTTTTATGGCTGCCCTGTGACAGAAGCTGAGGGCCAGGAGCAGGCAGAGAGTGCCCAGGTTTCTGGCACCGTGAGAGTGCATGCCTATAAATCTTCAGGGACAGCAGCGGGTCACTAACAGAGCATTCGCACCCCTCACTGAGAGGATATGCCAACTCGGGGCACTGCTGAACTAAAGCACCGCCAGACCAGCGTGGGAAGGTTCCAAGGAAAAGTCAGATCTTGGGCCCGGCGCGGTGGTGCAGTGGTTAAGGTCCTCGCCTTGCAAGCCCGGGATCCCATATGGGCGCCGGTTCTAATCCTGGCGGCCCCTCTTCCCATCCAGCTCCCTGATTGTGGCCTGGGAAAGCAGTGGAAGACGGCCTAAAGCTTTGGGACCCTGCACCCGTGTGGGAGACCTGGAAGAGGCTCTGGCCTCAGATTGGCATAGCATCGGCCATTGCGCTCACTTGGGGAGTGAATCATCGGATGGAAGATCTTCCTCTCTGTCTCTCCTCTCTGTATATCTGCCTTTCCAATAAAAAAATAAATAAAATTAAAAAAAAAAAAAAAGAAAAGTCAGATCTATAAGGAACTGCCAATCATGGTAGCCTGGGAGTTTTAATCACTAAAAAAAAAAAAAAAAGAAAGAAAGAAGTGGGAGTGGGCGGTTGATGCAGTGCTTAGAACAGTACTTGAGACATTAAGCCCCTTATCAGAGTGGCTGATTCAGGCGCTGGCTCTGTTTCCGATTCAACGTCCTGTCAGTTCGCACCCTACAAAGCAGCAGGTGATGGTTAAAGTCCTTTGGTCCCTGCCATCCATGTGGGAGACCCAGGTGGAGCTCCTGGCTTCAGCCTGCCCCATCCCTGGCTGTTGTGGTCATTCCGGGGAGTGAAACAGCAGAATGAAGATTTATCTATTATTCTGCCTCTCAAATACAAAAGAAAATAAATAATTTTTTAAAGTTTTTGAATAGAAAAGTGGGTAGCCTCAGAAGGTGGTTGCTGAGCCCTCCATTTAAAGGGCCTGTTCTAACTTTAAGAAACAGGTCATCTCCAGTGTGTGGGTCGAGCCAGGTTTGGTCGCAACAAAAACCAGTGCACATTACGGAATGCCAAGGTGAAGTGACCTGTACCAGACGTGACCACAGCGCCCAACCAGGGAGGGAGGGGGCAGAGCCGGCAGGGGAAATGTGGGCGGGGGGGGCCCTGCTGGACAACTACTCCCACTGGAGAGTGTGAGTTGGGATGGGGACAGACCAGACTAAACAGGGCTACAACATCTGTGGGCCTCATGTGAGCTAGATCAGGGAAAAGCCAGGCTGGGCTGACTGTTCCTACTGGTGTAAACAAAAATTAGAGTGGGTGAGGGTTGGTTGTGCTTTGCCACAGCATCAGCTGGCAGAAGCTGGCACTGGAGGCTAATTCTGCCAAGTTACACTGCAGAACCACCTGCAGAGTGCATGATCTGGGAGTGAGAGTGACCTAGAAGGGAAATAGTGGGCTCTTCCCTCTTGGGTTACCACTCCCACTGGAGAGCATGAAAACCAGGACAGGGGTTAGGGTGGTTAGACAGAAAGGTAACCAACAGCATGTGTGTGAGCTGTATAGTCAGGCTGGTTGGGTTGAGCTAGGCTTCAATGCCCACTGACATGTATGAGAGCTCAATGGGATGTGGAACAGACTGGACTAGTCTGCAGCACATACTGGCAAACCAGGGTAGGGGGCGGGCCTGGTGTGGGTTATCGTGGGTCGCTCTGACTGGGCTGCAGCTCCCACTGGTTTATGTGAGGGCCGAGTATATGCTGGGCAGAACCAGCCTGGACTGCAACACCTGTTGGTTCCAGTGGTAGACAGCGCTGGAAACAGAACCGACTCAGCAATTGGAGTGATGGACTGTACCAGGCCCTGTACTTGCTAGTACACACAAGAACCTGGTCTGGGAACACCTCAGACAAAGTTTTGATCTCCACAATTGAACTGCCTGACACAGAACCCTAACCTGAAAAGACAGAGGACAGAATAAGTTAGTCAACTCCTCAGCCATATGTTGGCAGTGAACAACTGGACAAACGGAGACTCTAAGATGGACTACATCAGCCAGTGGATTATGCAGCGACCTCATCATGCTTGGAGTGGCAAGATTGGCAGCAATTCAGAACTGTTGAACTATCAAAAACCATTTGAGAAGACCCTAGAAGCATGCCCCACATCAGGGACCTGGGATGGGTGGGAGACTGGGTGGGGCTTCTCCCTTTATCTCCCTCTTTACCCCAGATACGTGAAAGAAACAATGTGGAAACAATGGTCTTACCCACTTTGCCATAGCCCTTGAACCTTTTTGCCCTAATTAACTACGTAAAGAATGTCAAAAATAAAGAAAAAAATATATATTAAAGGGCCCCCCTCCAAAAAAGAAAGAAATAGGTCATCTCGGTCAGCTCACAAAGCCCAGCCCCCTCATCTATACAAGGGACTTCAAAAAGTTCATGGAAACTAGAATGAGAAGCCATTTATTTTTATACAAAACATTTTTAAGTCCATACATACACAAGATATAAAGTTCATGGAAAATGAATATTATGAAAAGACAACACAAGGCCTGGCATGATGGTTCAATGGCTAAATCCTCATTTTACAAGCACCACAATCGCATATGGGTGCCAGTTCATGTGCTGACTGCTTTGCTTCCCATCCGGCTCCCTGCTTACAGCCTGGGAAAGGAGTTGAGGATGGCCCAAAGCCTTGAGACCCTGCACCTGCGTGGAAGACCTGGAAGAGGCTCCTGGTTCCTGGCTCCTGGCTTTGGATCAGCTCAGCTCCGGCTGTTGCAGCCATTTGGGGAGTGAGCCAGCAGATAAAGGATCTTTCCAATATCTGCCTTCCAATTAAGAACAAAGAAATCTTAAAAAAAAAACAAAAACATGAATTTAATTTTTTTTTTAACTCTGAAATACTCTTTCAATTCTTCTCTTGTCCCAGGCTTCCCTCACTATAGAATGAGGAGAGAATGCATCCAACACAGTAGCCTAGTGGCTTAATTCTTGCCTGGCATCTGCTGGGATCTCAAATGCATGCTGGTTTGTGTGCCAACTGCTCAACTTCCCATCCAGCTTCCTGCTTGTGGCCTGGGAAAGCAGTCAAGGATGGCCCAAAGCTTTGGGACCCTGCACCTGCCTGGGCACCTGGAAGTTCCTGGCTGCTGGCTTTGGATTGGCTCAGCTCCAGCCATTGCAGCCACTTGGGGAGTGAACCAGTAGACAAAAAAATCTTTATCTCTCTGCTCTCTGTAAATCTGCCTTTCCAATAAAAAATAATAATCTTAAAAAAAAAAGAGTGAGGAGGTAAGTCCTTACAATTTGTAAGAGCCCTGATCTCTTGATTGCAATGTCCCACAGTTACACACCATTGGGAGGACAGGAAGCATGGAGGACAGCAGACTTTGACATTTGACATGGGTTCCCTTACAGTCCATTGCCAGAACACTCTTACCAACAAAGTTGCTGGGAGTGCCTTAATCCCTCATGTGCTATCAACTAGCAGGGCTGCAACCTGAATTGCTCAATGAAGAGGGGTAGGATTGTCCCTATTTGCTTAACAGCCAAAATTTAAAAAAGAAGAAGAAAGAAAGAAAGAAAGAAGGCCAAGGCAAAGTCAGTGGGAATCATAATATTTCAGCATCAATGACTGGGCCCACTCTCACGAGACGACACCTGTGGTTTGACTAATGAACCCCTCAGGCAAGTGCCAGCAGCTTCTATGAGCACCATCTCTAATATTTACCACATAGATATGGTGCCCTCAGTTTATAGGCAAGCTGGTCCAGGCTCAGAAAGATAAACCTCCAGGCACAAGGGGGCTAGAACATGCTAGAACATGGCAAACTGAGACTTAATTTTCCTTCTGTTTGACTCCAAAGCCCCTGAGAGACAGAAGTTTGGGCAGGAAGGAAAAAAAAAAGCAAAAGTTCTTGTGCACAGTGAGATCCTGTGTAGGCTGTGGCTGCTGAAATGTTCACACCAGCTGTGTGATGGGTTCCAGAGACACACAGGCACGTCCATTCCTAGTGCCTATGGGACTGACTGGAGATAAACAGGGAAGGGCAGTGCAAGGTGTAGCAGATCACAAGGTGAGTAAGGACCAGGGCAGGACACTTGGACAGGTGCCACAGCAACGAAAAAGGTGACTATGTCTGCCAATGGCTCCAAGCTCAGTACAGCCGCACCTGGGTATGCTCAGGTAGAACGAAGAGGTAAGGAAGAAGCTGTGGAGTTGGGTCTTCCTCCTGCATTCCAACCCACTGAGTTAACCAATGCCAGTGGAATCACCAAAAGAAACCCCCAAGAATCAGAGCAACATGAAATGTTAATAGGCTTGGAGAAGCCTGCTCTGGATCAAATAGGATTTGGTGTAGACTTTTAGACCACCCATGGGGCTGCTGTTGTAATGCTAGAAAGAACAGGGGAGTAGAAGCAAGGAGACAGAAAGACCAAATGCAGGAGTTCCCTTACAGGAGGAGCTATCAGCTTCCAGTGCGTCTCCCCTGCCCACCCCATCTCTACAGCCAATAGCACATCAACCAGCAAAGAGCCTTTAACAAGAAGGACAGGTGTGTGGAATGCACATGCCAGCTGTTCCCCACACAGACAGGTCCCAGGTCCTGCCCTGTCTGTTCCACTCACTGATGGCACAGGGCTGACACATCTGCCCCGGCTCACCACACCACACAGCAAGAAGAGGAAACCCCAGGCTCTTACTTTCCCGTTAGCTGGACTTGGCTGCTGCCACCGTCTGGTTTGGAGTAACTGTAGCTGTTGGGAGATGGTCCATCTCAGGTGCATCAAAAAAGTAGGCCTGTGGGAGGAAACCCCAAGAGAGTGAAACACAAAGGGACAGTGGGATGTTTTGGATACTACCCTAACAGCACTGATGGACTTACAAGGCCCACACATCCTCCCTGCCCTATCTGTCATTACGCTGAACTCCAGCGTCTGCCTCATGCACTGAGCTGAGTCTCTTTTTCAAGAGTTCTCCTTTCAGCTTAAAGGAAGCTTTATGGGAAGAGAAGGAAAAAGAGAAAGAGATCTTTTGCTGGTTCACCCAAATGACCATAATATCTGCAGCTAAGCCAGTCTGAAGCTAGGTACCTGGAGCTTCTTCCTGGTTTCCCACATGGGTGCAGGGTCCCAAGAACTTCAGCCATCCTTCACTGCTTTCCCATGCAACAAGTAGGGAGCTGGATCAGAATTAGAGCAGCCAGAACATGAACATGTGCTGACACCACAGGCGGACACTTAACCTACCACATTACAACACCCCACTCGGCTGCATCTTATTCAAATTAAGGAACCATTTTCTGAGCATTTACTATATTCATATGGCATGATTCAGCTTCACAACAATCCTATCTGATAGCTCTGACTGTCCTCATTGGACAGGTGAAGAGGCTGAGGCTCAGAGAGGCTGTCCCTTCGGCAGGTGCATGTGGATCTGATAGCTTTGACTGTCCTCATTGGACAGGTGAAGAGGCTGAGGCTCGGCGAGGTGGTCCCTTCGGCAGGTGCGTGTGGCAGAACTCCCAGGGCATCTTTTACACCAGCTGAGTCTCTCCTCAGGGGCAGAGGATGTGTCTTTCTTTGTTCTTGTGTCACCACATCTCACACAGGGCCTGGCACGGCATGTAAACACATGGTACTTCAATGTACCCACATGGGAGACTCAAATGAAGCTCCTTGCTCCTGGCTTCCATTGTGAGTATTTGAGAGTGAATCAGTGGATGGATGATCTTTCTCTCTTCCCTTTCTCTAACTCTGTTTTCCAAATAAATAACTCCTTATTTATTCAGAAAGGCAGAGTTACAACAGAGAGAAAGACATCTTCCATTTGCTGGTTTACTCCTCAAATGGCCACAATGTCTGGATTGGGCTAATCTGAAGCCAAGAGCTTCTTCTGGCTCTCCCACGTGGGCTCAGGAGCCCTAGCATTTGGACCATCTTCTGCTGTTTTCCCCAGACACATTAGCAGGGTGCTAGATCATAAATGGAGAAGCAGGAACATGAACCAGCACCCAAATGGAATGCCAGCGCTGCAGGCATAGGTTTAAACCTTAGCATTAGCCCCATAAAGTAAATCTGAAAAGATCTGAAGGCTTCTTACCTGTCTCAAAATATAATTTTTATGGTAACCCAGGCAAAATACCAATCCTGCTGGCTGTTCTATGGAAAGACAACCCTGTCTGGTGGTCAAGGACTGCCCTTGGCTATGGGTGCCAGGAAAAAGTTACAAACCCAACCCCAGTCCTGTTTTTCAACCAGCCAGCTCTGCACTGGCCAGGAGAGGGCAGCAATGCAACACAGTGGAGCTTTCTCTGCATTCCTGCTCCAGGAGTGCAACACCCCTTCCCCAACACTTGTCCAGAGGCCACCTCTGGCTGCAGAATCTCTCTAGCTCCTCAAATTCCCAGAGCAACTGGTGACACTTAACAGGCCTCCATCCCAGGGCCCCTCCATTCAGCTTCTAACTGTGGGCAGGGAAAATCCAGTCTCTAACTTCAGGAGAGGGCAGAAACCACACCACCCACGTGAACCCCAGCTCTGCCTCCAGTTCTTGCAGGTGCATGGAGCCAGGTAGCCCTGGGATGCAGGAACGGCGTCTTCCTCTCAGGCCAGAGGGGGAGATGCTCATCACAAGGAACAAGGCAAGGGGTCCAGGTCTGGGCAATTCACCCACTCCCAGTTTTCATATCTGTAAAAGGAGAGGCCTGGAAAAGATCATCTCAAAGGACTGTTCCCCAGACAGGTGTTATTTCTCTAACACTTTAATTCTACAAATGCTTAACAACTACAGCTACCACAAGAAAGTAGTGGTTGTGCACCAGGTACATACACACTCAGTCACTGATCCATGGAGAAATCCTGCTGCAACTATTCTCCCATTCTAACGATGAGAAGACAGAGAGTCACAGATTCTCCCAGGCTACACAGCTGTGCACTTCTCCTGGGACTCCCACCTGATTGTGCATGCTCTTCTCGTCCCTAGGACAGCCTGTCACTTGGCGTCTAGTCTATGCCCAGCCCAGGTCTAGGCACTACGGAGGCTTTGGGACTGAACAGGTGGCCTTCCAAGGGCAGGGGCAGGGTGCAGGGCCCCTTTACTCTCAGCAGCGCCCACCACCAGCCCGACCAACCAAGTCCTGCCCTCCAGGTGCTTCCCTAACCGAACCCACCAGGAATGTTTGTGTGCAATCACTGAGAACTTGTCCCACCATCACCTGCTGCAGCCATGGGACTGTCACACACCTCACTGCACCTGTCTGCCTTCTCCTGGGGAGACGGGGGATGCCACACTGTCTGCTTCAGCCAGCACCTCCCTCCATTGTCAACTCCGCTATGGCCCTCCAATAATACCAACACTGTCTTCCACTTGTTAATTGTCCTATTTGTCATATGCAAACATCATTTAGTCCTCGCAACATTAACAATCTTACTGTAACATGCATGACCAACTCCTTTTCTGCTGTTATAAAGTAAAAAAGTAGGAGGGAGGATACAATGAGGGCCAGGAGAACATCTCTGTAGTCCAGTCTGCCCCATTTCTGAGTTCCTTGCAGGATACTGCTTCCTGCTCTCCACCCAGCTTCCAACCCAGTACAGAGGAAGCAAAAGGTTCAAGAGGGAATTGGGGAAGTGCCAGTAGAGGTAGCAGGGAAAGGGCCCTGGTGTTAGAGTGGGAGGCCTGAGCCTTGGCCCATGTGTGAGTTGTGTGCCCCGGGGCCACTCTCCCAGGATACAGGGCAGCATCCTTGCAAGGCCCTTTTAGCCATAGAGAAAGAACACTGCCCACTATTAGCATCCTGTGCCACGGCAGGGCCATGGTCACAGACAAACCCAGAGACACATCACCTGACGGCTGTGATAGGCATCAGGTCTCACTCTTGCAGTTGCACACTGTATGGATCTAGACAAACTTACGAGGGTGTTCAGAAAGTTTGTAGAAAAGTGGGCCATTATGGCACAGCAAATTAAGCTGCTGCCTGCAGTGGTAGCATCCCACTTGGGCATCAGTTCAAGTTCTGGCCACTCTACTTTCAATCCAGCTTCCTGGCAACGCATCTGAGAAAGCAACCGAAGATAGTCCAAGCAACTGGACCTCTGCACCCAGATGGAAGAGCCAGAAGAAGCTGCAGGCTCCTGGCTGCAGTCTGGCCCAGCCATTTGGAAAAGTGAACCAGTAGATAGAAGATATAGCTTTCTCTCTCCCTTTCTCTGTCACTCTGCTTTTCAAATAAATAAGTAAATCTTTCATATATGATAAGTGTTATTTTGATGCAAACAATTCAGCAGTCTACACGTGGCTTTATCACAGGGTGCATTACACACATCTTTGAAGACTGTCCTACAGCTATCTCAATGAGTCTCACCCAAATCTACAGAAACATAGAAGTCTCTGACAGACAAGGAAATCATGGCTCACAAATTAAGTCATTTACCCAGTTTATAAAGCCAAGTGCCTCCCAGACCTGGGTTCCTTCTATTTCACCATTACACGGTCTTATGGAAAGTCCCTGAGAGGGCGAGCATCACGATATAGCAAGTTAAGCCACCATCTCTGACACCAGCATCCCATATGGGAGCATTCATTCAAGTCTTGTCTGCTCCACTTCTGAGCCATCCCCTTGATAATGTACCTGGGAAAGCAACCGACAACAGCCCAAGGACTTGGGTCTCTGCCACCTGCACAGCAGACCTGAACAGAGTTCCTGACTCCTGGCTCTGGGAATCATACAGGCAAATGAATCAAAGCATGAAAGATTTCTCTATCACTCTCTGGTACTCTTTCAAATAAGTAAGTGAAATATTCTTTCCAACAAGAAGTTAAAAGAACCTGCTACAGGTACACAATGGAATGGGTTCTTAGCAATGATAATGCACTCCTGCAGTGCTGTCCAATCTCCCCTGTTTTTCTCCATCCCAGGAGAACTGGACCAGCAAGAACTTCTCTCTTGCTTTCTTTTCTTCACTCAACTTATTATCCAGGTACACACACCATGGGGAAAAGTGGAGCCAAGAGCCAGCAGCCACCAGTGAAGGTGACAGCACGAGAGGGTTGAGGTCAACAAGGAGTACGACTCTCCCACAGCAGACACAGGTGCTGGGGAGCACAACAGCATGCAGAGGTGAGCAGGAGGGGAACAAGGCAGAATCCAAGTGCCTGAAACCTACCACGGCACTCTTGCGCATCTAGACTAGAGTCCCCTCTCAGCAGCTGGGGCCCATGAAAGGAACATGTAAACACAGCCTATGTTTTACAACTTAGAACTTCCTAAAAAAATGATGTATTGGGCCTGGAGCAATAGCCTAGTGATTAAATCTTTGCCTTGCATGTGCCAAGATCCCATATGGACACCCATTTATGTCCCAGCTGCTCTACTTCCCATCCAGCTTCCTGCTTGTGGCCTGAGAAAACAACTGAGAATGGCCCAAAGCCTTGAGATCCTGGACTTGCGTGGGGAACTTGGAAGAAGCTCCTGGCTCTGGATTGACTCAGCTCCGTTGTGGCCACCTGGGGAGTGAACCAGTGGACAGAAGAGCTTTCTCTCTGTCTCTCCTCTCTGTATATCTGCCTTTCCAATTAAAAAAATATGATTAATTTTATAAAAGATGTATTTATTTATTTGAAAGTCAGAGTTACAAAGAGAGAGACAGACAGCTCTTTTGTCCACTGGTTCACTCTGCAAATGAACATAATGGCTAGCACCGTGCCAGACCAAAGTTAGGATCCAGGAGCTTTCTCCTGGTCTCCTATGTGGTTGCAGGAGCCCAAACACTTGGGCCACCTTCCACTGCTTTTCACAGGCACAATTAACAGGGAGCTGGACCAGAAGTAGAGCAGCTAGGACATGAACCAGTGCCCACACAGGATGCTGGCATCATAGGCAGCAACTTAACCTCCTAAGCCACAATGCTTGCCCACAACTCGGCTCATCTTTTGAGATCCATTCAGTGGCTAACCATCAGGATCGTATTCATGCATTTAATGAGACACAGTCATCCCTACAAAAGCCTTATAGAAACACTGACTCCCACAACTGCAAAACTTGACCAATGGTCTTGACATTTTGACTATGACAAATTACTAATGGTGGACATTTCCTAAGTGCCCCAAGACGTCTTCCTTTCCTTTATCAGTGACTTTAACATTGCGGGCTCCGCTATTCTCAAAACCCAACAGGGCTTGTTAAGGCCATGGGCAGCAAAATCAGTACAGAAGGTGGAAAACCATGTCTCCTTAAGGTCTAAAGGACAGAAGCCTGACTAACAGATATCTGTGAGACAAGTTCTATGGGAAGTGCTTGATATATGAGATTGTATTTGATCCTCAGAACAATACTACATGGCAGGAAATATTAAACCCATATGAGGAAATTGCATAACAAACCTGGTATTCTATCTGGGCCTCACCCAAAAGCATAACCTTCGCTAAAAAGAAACCGAAACACAGAAACTCAAAAACTAGTTCAGATGTTGTTCCATTTAAAAATAACTCCACTTGCCCACTCCTGACTTCAATCTCCAGCTTTGTAAGTATGTAACTATAAAACTCAAAGATCACTAGGAAGATATTCAAGGTAGAATCTTCCTAATCCTGGTTGGCACAATAGCACAACTGGCTAATCCTTCACCTTCAAACACCGGTATCCTATACGGGTGCTGGCTCCTGTCCCAGCTGTTCCACTTCCCATCCAGCTCCCTGCTTGTGGCCTGGGAAAGCAGTCAAGCATGAACCAAAGCCTCAGGACATTTTTATCTGCATGGAAGACCAGGAAGAAGCTCCTAGCTCCTTGTCTTGGATTGGCTCAGTTCTGGCTGTTGTGGCCACCTGGGGAGTGAACAAAAGGATGGAACATCTTTTTCTCTGTCTCTCCTTTTCTCTGAAAATCTTTCCAATAAAAATAAATAAAATCTTTTTAAAAAATCCTCCTATCCCAGGCACTCACACCTCTTGGGACTAGGCACTGACCAGTTGACAGAGATGAAGCAAAACTAGAGACTGCAACCAAGCTTTCATGATTTTACTGCCTTGCGTCTATCACAGTTCATTTAAAGTGATCTCTGCTTCTCAGAGTCAGTTTTAAGTGACTCATTCTAACAGTTTGAGGTCTTTCAGCATGCACGTGAACAACACACTGACAGGGGCAACATTCTGGTGAACAGATTAAGCTGTAGCCTATAACATCAACATTCTCAGCATCCCATATGGATGCCAGTTTGAGTCCTGATTGCTCCACTTCCAATCCTACTCCCTGTTAATGCACCAAGGAAAACAGCAGAAAATGGTCCAAGCCTTTGGGTCCCTATTATCTGTGTAGGAGACCTAGAGGAAGCTCCTGGCTTTGGTCTGACCCAGTCCTAGCTACTGTGGCCATTTGGGGAGCAGAAAGAAGAGCTCTCCCTTCTGTTTCTCCCTCTCTCTGTAGTTCTGCCTTTCACATAAAAACAAGCAAATCTTTAAAAAAAAAGAAAGAAAGAAAGAGAGCAAGAAAGGAGGGAAGATAGAAAGACAGAAAACTCAGCAACAGAACCTGGGAACGAGACCGTACCAGGCAGCCCACTGAGAGAAGCATATGCAGCAACACAATCGTCACGATGGTGGCCAAGGCGATGCGCCGGTTATCCTCGCGAACAGCTGGCCAAAACGTCATCGCCAGCACAGACCCCGAGATGCCCAGGGCGATCAGGACCAGAATCCAGCGCACAGCTCTCTGAGGGATGATCCACAGGATCTGAAAGAAGACAAAGGCTGGGAGGCAGGGCTGCTTCGAGTCATATCAGAGGGCCAGCGAGGTGGCTAGAGGCACCCCAGTCAACCTGCCACTCCACCCCTTCTGCCTTGCCAGCTGAAGGGCAGCCCCAGCCCTTGCTGAACCCAAGGCCTCCACAACAGGGGCCCTAGGGTGGGGCAGGCACCTGGCTGCTCAGCCCTTGCTCACTCCCAACTCTTGCTATCACACAGGATACTCACCGCTGTGGGGATGTAGATGAACAGCGAGTACCCATAGACACACACGATCTCCAGGAACGAGTAGGAAACGATGTTCACAACCTTGCTGTTTCTCCACAGCAGGAAGCCCCAGAGTGCCAGGGGGACCAGCCAGGCATAGGCATAGATGACTGTGGCCGCTATGGACACTGAGGACACCAAGACACCCATTTCAGCCTCCTTCCTCAGAGCACTTCCCACACCTGCCATCCTCAGGTCCCCAGCCTGGGCTCGTGACCCTAGCCTATATCTCACCCTGAGCCAGCCCCGAAGATGACATGAAGCAAGGACTCTAAACGCCTGCTGCATGAATGAGTCTTTGGCACTCAGCATTGTGGTGATGACCAAGGGTCTCTCACGTGGTGGTCATCAGTCCTTTAATGACAACTAATGTTTGGAAGGAATTTGAATTATGTGACTAAACTACTTCAAAGGATCATGTTGCAATATACTGAGCACTTCAACCAGGGAAAAGCCAACTGTCCCCTTCTCATTATGGCAAGAGCAAGAGCAACACTAGTTTCTTTTAAAATTGATTCTATATTTCATTTTTTCTGAAGGATGAATTTATTTAGCTGGAAAGCAGAGTTAGAAAGAAAGAGACCTGCAGTGCCCAGGACTGGGCCAGACTACAGCCAGGAGCTTCATCCGGGTCTCCCATACAGATAGCAGGAGCCCAAACACCTGGGCCGCCCTGAGAGGGCCAGCAACTGAGCTACTGGTCCATACACAACATCACTTCCTGCCACTGAAGTGCCCAGCCAAAGAGGGCAAGGACAGATAAAGACCCTCTGGGGTTCCAAATCATCAGGCAGGGCAGGTCACTCTGTGTCAAGCCACCAACACACGCACCTGACCAGAGGTTAACACACACCAGCCAGAGAGCTACTCACCTGTCTATCTTCCCTCACTTGGCTACTGAGCTACTTGAAGGAGAGTTCCAATCTCACAGATAACGTTCACTGAGTTAAATCCAAATCAAGTTATCTGATGGAGTCTGGAGTCTGACTCCTCGAGGCAGATGGGAAGAGAAAATGGATAGGAAAGGGAAGGGAAGGGAAGGGAAGGGAAGGGAAGGGAAGGGAGGGAGGCGGGGAGGATACACAAGTTCTCTCACACACTTAAACAGATAGCAATAAGTCACACTCATAGAACTCTTCTGTACAAATGCTAAACTCCTTACATGTTCTAACTCTTTTTTTTTAAAGATTTATTTTATTTTTATTGGAAAGGCAGATATACAGAGAGGAGAGACAGAGAGGAAGATCTTCTGTCCGATGATTCACTCCCCAAGTGAGCGCAACTGTCGATGCTATGCTGATCCGAAGCCAGGAGCCTCTTCCCGGTCTCCCACGCAGGTGCAGGGTCCGAAAGCTTTGGGCCGTCCTCGACTACTTTCCCAGGCCACAGGCAGGGGGCTGGATGGGAAGGGGGCTGCCGGGATTAGAACCGGCACCCATATGGGATCCTGGGCATGCAAGGCGAGGACCTTAACCACTGCGCCACCACGCCGGGCCCAAGATTTATTTGTTTTTAATTGGAAAGCCAGGTTTTCAAAGAGAAGGAAGGACAGAGTTCAGAAAGATCTTCCATTTGCTGGCTTACTCCCCAAGTGGCTGCAATGGCTTGATCTGAAGCCAGGAACCAAGAGCCTCTTCCAGGTCTCCCACAAGGGCACCACGTCCCAAGGCTTTGGGCCATCCTCCACTGTTTTCCCAGGTCACAAGTAGGGAGCTGGATGGGAAGTGGAACAGCTAGGATATGAACCAGCATCCATATGGGATCCTAGCACATGCAAAGCAAGGATTTAGCCATTATACTATAGGGCTGAGCTCCTAACTCTTAATTTCTATAATAGCCTAAAGTACAAGCACTATTATTTCCATTTTATTAAGGAAAACTCTGAGGCCAAAAGGAATAAAACAACTGCCCCAAAAGGTAGAAACTAACGAAGGAAGGATCTTTCAGCCACGGCTCTAGCTCGAGGGTCAAGTTCTTCCCCTGGCTACCTGTAGCCTCTCCCCAGGAGAGTACACAGGGAGCAAGGCAGGGCTTGGGGGAAGCACTCAGTGTCCTACAAGCTCACACGTATTCCTGGGTGACTGTCACTGCCACATTCCAGCACTGTTATTTTAACTATTCAAATCCTACACAACCAGGAAAGGAAACTTTAAAATTAGAGGGGCCAGCATAATGGCTCAACTGGATGATCCTCCATCCCCTAAGTACCAGCATCCCATATGGGCACTAGTTCATGTCTCGGCTGCTCCTCTTCCCATCCAGCTCCCTCTTTGTGGCCTGGGAAAGCAATGGAGGACAGCCCAAGGCCTTGGGACCCTGTAGCTATGTGGGAGACTCCAAAGAGGCTCTTGGCTCCTGGCTTCAGACTGTCCCAGCTCAGCTCTGTGAACCACAAGATGCAAGATCTTTCTGTCTTTCCTTCTCTCTAAAAATCTGCCTTTCCAATGAAAATAAGTGAATCTTCAACAAACAAATAAAACCCCTAGAACGAAGTGGTAGAGATTAGGCCCAGTGGTTAAGATGCAGTGAGGACTTCCTGCACCCCATGTTGGAGTATCTGATTCCTAGCTCCAGCTTCCTGCTGTACATGCCCAGGGAAGCCACAGCGATGGCTCAATAGCTGGAACCTGCCACACATGGGGGAGACTTGGAGCACCATGTTCCCAGCTTCAGTGTCTTTCCTACTTCCTCCCAGGATTTATGGGTATGTTGGATGTGACCAGAGGATGGCAGCACCGTCTCTTACAAACAAAACAAAACAACAAGGATGCCAATTTCCAAGCCTGTCACCAGGACACACCTATTTCTGCTTCTCTCCTTGGAACCCTGTCATTGGCAATCTTCCCTTTGGCGAAGCTGCTAATGGAGCAAGCTTTGGCATAAACTATCAACTTTCCTGGGCCCATTATGTGCTTCATCATTAGCAGTTAGAGACTCTGCCAGCTGGTTGGACCATCAGAACTTCTGTGACAATGCCCCTATTGTTTCTAACAGGAATAATGCTACAAAGGAGGCCTTCATGCATACTGCTTCTATTTATTTTATGCATTTTTCTTAGAATAGATTCTAAGTGCAACTGGGCTTGCCCTATGGCTTTCCAAAGACTGTGTGGGCTCACAACATAGGGAATGGACTTAACACCACTGAACTATACATACTATGTTATTGTATTTTATCACAGCTGAAAACAAAATATGTGGATTAAGAGAATCTAAGCCAGTAGCTGTGTTGGAGCTCTAAACAACAAAGGGGGAGACCTCAGCACCAAGAGATGGCCCAAGAGCTCAGTGTGTGGGGCTGGCAAGGTGCACAGGCAGAAGCCACGACCTGCAACATTGAAATCCCATCTGGGTGCTGGTTCAAATTCTGATTGCTTCACTTCCAGTCTAGCTCCCCTCAAATGTGCCTGGAAAAGCAGTAGAGGACAGTCTAAGATGCTTGAACCCTTGCTACCCAAGTGGGAGACCCGGTTGGAGTACTGGGCTTCTGGCTTCATGCTGGTCCAACACAGCGTGTTGTAGGCATTTAGGGAGTGAACCAGCAGACAGAAGATCTTTCTCTCTCTTCTGTCTCTCTCCTACTCTATGGCAGGATCTACATGAGCCATTAACCAACCTTTGCGGAACTCTGGCACATAGTGGTATGTCTTCTCTCCCAGATGTATTAGGAAGTTGGAAAGATTTCCACTAATTGCTATGGCGAAGACCAGTGTGGCACAAATCCAAAAGGGGCCTGCAAAGGAAAGCAGAACATTCAGAAACAAGAAAATGAAGCTCTCTGGTGTCTCCAGAATAATTTATCTCCCTCTCTTTTTTCATGTAGACAAGCAAAAATTAATTTTTAGATGTCATCAGCACTTAGTTTACGGGGAATTTCTTTGTTAAAAGGTAACAGCACAACTCACTAATTAGCTGCCTGAAAGACCGGGGATTAGCATCCAAAGGACAAAACATCTTCCCCAGTTAGGTGACTGCGGACACTGACTTGTGTGGCTAGCGGCTTGCACAGGAGGCTCATCACACACATTCACTGCCACTTTGCATTTGTATTCCATCAGAACTCAAGAAGCAAAGATGAATTCCCTTACCCCAACACCACCCAATGCCAAGACCAAAGAAAAGTGAGTTAAATCAGGTAGGTCCTTCTGCAGGGTAAACAAAGAGCAGGGCACACACATCACAGCACAGAGCTAGCTTAGACTAGTCAGCTGGTCCAGTGTGTGTGTGTGTGTGTGAGAGAGAGAGAGAGAGAGTCAGTCTCTTTTTTTCTTTTTTCGGTGACAAAGTAACACCTGTACATAGCTCAGTATTCAAGAGATACAGACAGACTACACAGAAGAGTGGTCTCCCCTTGCATCTCTGCGCCCTAAGAGCTGCTTCCCTTCTCCTCACACCGCCCCCAGAGCTTGTCATGGCAACCAGTTTCTGGACTCATGCCAGAAACATTCTAGCCACATACAAGCAGACACACATCTATGTGTGTGCACGTGTGTTTCATACAGAAGAGAACATGCATTCTATCCTGCCGTGCACCATTCTGCCTTGGACTCCACAGAATCTAAAGACCCTATCACTGCCTTTCCTAAGGATCAGCAGATGGGGACTGGCACTGTTGTAAGTAAAGCTGCCTGTGGTGCTGGCATCTCATATGGGTACTAGTTCTAGTCTCAGCTGTTCCATTTCTGATCCAGCTCCTTGCTAAAGAGGTGGGAAAGCAATGGAGGATGGCCCAAGTGCTTGGGTCCCTGCACCCACATGGGAGACTAGAAAGAAAGTCCAGGCTTGTGGCTTCCACCAGGTCCAGCTCCAGCTAATGTGGCCATTGGGAAATGAGGCAGTGAATGGAAGATGGACCTCTCTCTGTCTTCTCTCTCTCTTCCTCTGTCTGGAACTCTGCCTTTCAAATAAATTTCTACAAATAAATCACTTTCAGTGATGGCCTTATGACTGTTTGTGAGGAACTATATTGTTGTGATAATATGGAGGGAGGAAGGGTCGGGAGGGGGTAGAAGAAATCCCAGCGCCTAAGGAACTATATTATAACAACAACAACAACAACAACAATAATAATAAAAGATTGAAAAATGTAAATCCTTAAAACATTATTTAAATAAAAAATATGGGGGCTGGAATTCACAGGGTTAGTTTCCACCTGTGACATCGGAATCCCATATGGTTTGAGTTTGGCTGATCCATTTTTTTTTTAAACATTAAGAGGATGAGGAACATGTTTCTTTTCCTTTTTTTTTAAAAAAAGATTTATTTTATTTTTATTAGAAAGGCAGATATACAGAGAGGAGGAGAGACAGAGAGGAAGATCTTCCATCTGATGATTCACTCCCCAAGTGACCACAATGGCCAGTGCTGCACTGATCCGAAGCCAGGAGCCAGGAACTTCCTCCAGGTCTCCCACACGGGTACAGGATTTCAAGGCTTTGGTTTGACTGCCTTCCTAGGCCGCAAGCAGGGAGCTGGATCGGAAGTGGAGCTGCTGGGATTAGAAATGGCACCCATATGGGATCCTGGCACGTTCAAGGCGAGGACTTAGCCGCTAGGCCATGGTGCCAGGCCCTGATCCACTTCTGGTTCAGCTCCCTGCTAATGCACCTGGGAAAGTAGCAGAAGACAGCCTAAGTGCTTAGGCCCCTGCACCCACACAGAAGGCCCTGAAACTCCAGGCTCCAGCACTAACGCCGTGTGGAGGGTGAACCAGAGGACGGAAGCTCTCTCTTTCTCTGTTCTCTGTAATTTTTTCAAGTAAATTAAAAAGTAAAATAAATAAATTAAAATCTTACAAAAGACAGATATAAGAAATCAACCACAAAAAATAAACATTCAAAAAGCTTTGTTAGATGCAAAACCAAAGCTGACTTTATGCTGTATTGATGGGCTGAGATGACCCAGCCACACACATGCAAGCCGCCCAACGGTAAACTAGTACAAAACATCAGATAGCAGTGACAGTTACCAGCACCCACTGCCCTCGAGGTCCCAGGCGAGAGGCTGGGGACACAGCACTGCCTCAAGCACAGTCAAACATAGGCATGCTGGGGAGAGAGACAATAAAGTACCTAATCGGGGAACTGGCATTGTGGTGCAGCAAGTAAAACTTCCGCCTGTTAAAGACATACAGTGGGGATCCAAGAGCGATCTTGACAGCCTTGGTCATATGCACAGGGCAGGAGGGGACCCCAGTGTGAAGCAGGAGGACAGGAGGAGGCTTGTATCCCAACCCTGAAGACTCCTGGATCCTCACCAAGGACTATCAGCATGGACACCAAGGACTATATCCCAACGGCCAAGGAGACCATGGGGAATTGGAATGCCCTCGTACGCTGAGAACTCTGAGGTCATCGGTTCTCTATCAGATCTCCCACATGGGATGGAAGAAGCCCAGATCCTTTCTCACAGGATCTAATGTTATCGGAACAACAGCCAGGAGCCCTGAGCAGTCCTCAGAAACATAAGAATGGTAAACTTCCTTCGGGATTCGGGACAGGAGCTTTTTCTGGTCCTTACCTAGTTACAACTTTGGCTCCCCACCCTCTCTTGCAATGACCATCAGAGTCACTCTGGAGCCCCGCCTCCAAAAAAAATTAGATCAAACAGACAGAAACCAATAAGGAAAGCTTAGAACAGACAGGAAACAGTCAGCTTGAACTCCCATGTACCTTACTAGATAGGTCACAAAGATTAACTATTCCTCACTAAGATATTGAAGATTTCTCCGCACACCCCTCCTAAAACTGTTCTGCTCCTCAACTGTTCATATTTGGCATGTTTGAGTTATAAGCCTGTTTGGACTATCTTAAAATTCGCAAAGTTCAGTAGAAATCACACTTGAATACTATATGCTGCTAAATATAAAAATGAAAATAGACACGAGACAGCTGAATAATACCCTATAACCATTTTAAGGTATATAGCATCCAGTTGTGTATAAATTAAAATTGAAATGTCAATGAAGTAGTCACAGGATGTGGTTAAGTACTTGCATTTTCTAACATATTGGCCACTCAATGCCTTGTCTATTAACTTCATGATGTTGTAATCTGTTGTTGAAGTTGTGTAGTGGCTTCTCATTGGAGGGGATCATATTCTGCCAGCTCTACTTTTGAAAAGACCAGGGATGGTCTCCCAATGAAACTGTTGAATTTACCTGAACAATAAGATGCTGGACTTTCAAAATGGTCCATGCCCACAATGAAGGAATCAGGACTGGATATGATCTGTACTACTGCAACAATATGGAGGAATTCATTATGGGTAGAGGGGGAACTCAATAGAGAGGCCTATGAAACTGTCATAAAATGAAATTTAAAAAAAAAAACCCTCCACTTGTGGTGCCAGCATCCCATATGGGTGCTGGTTCATGTCCTGGCTACTCTACCTCCTCCCCAGCTCCCTGCTAATGCACCTGAGTAAAGCAGCAGATTCAAGTGCTGGAACCCAAGAAGGACTTGGCCCAGCACTGGCAACGGCAGCCATTTGGAGTTGCAGGGAGTGAATCAGTGCATGGAAACTCTCTCTTTCTGTAACTCTACCTTCAAATAAATAAGTAATTCTATAAAATAAACAAATTTTAAAAATCTAATTGCAGACTCGGCACAGTAGCTTAGCATGTGCCATTATCCCGGTGGCCCAATTCCCATCCAGCTCCTTGCTTGTGGCCTGGGAAAGCAGTGCAGGTTGGTCCAAAGCCTTGGGACCCTGCACTCATGTGGGAGACCTGGAAGAGGCTCTGGGCAGCAGGCTTCAGATTGGCGTAGCACCGGCCATTGTGGTCACTTGGGGAGTGAATCATCAGATAGAAAATCTTCCTCTCTGTCTCTTCTCCTCTCTGTATATCTGACTTTCCAATAAAAATAAAATAAATGTTTTTCTGGTCCCAGCGCGGTGGCCTAGCTGCTAAAGTCCTCACCTTTAATGCACCAGGATCCCATATGGTCACCAGTTCTAATCCTGGTGGCCCTACCTCCCATCTAGCTTCCTGCTTGTGGCCTGGGAAGGCAGTCAAGGGCAGCCCAAAGCCTTAGAACCTTGCACCCGTGTGGGAGACCTGGAGGAGGTTCCTGGCTCCTGGCTTCAGACTGGCACGGCAGCGGCTGTTGCGTTCACTTGGGGAGTGAATCATTGGACAGAAGATCTTCCTTTCTTTATATCTGATTTTGCAATAAAATAAATCTTTTAAAAAATAAGATAAATCTTTCTCAAAAATATAATTGCAAGTTTTCACAGATAAAGTGATATTGAAGCTGGGGTCTACAGAAGAGCAGGGAGGGGCCTGCGAAGTGATGTGAGGCAGGGTGGGGGAGGGGGCTCTGAGGGAGACAAGCAGGCTGGGAAGAGAAAACAATGTGAGAAGAGATGCAGAAGCCAGAGAAAATGGTTCCCAGGCTAAGGAAGTTTGAGGCTGCAGAGATGGAAAGAGCCAGAGAGAGAGCAGAGCCCTGCCAGCAGGTGGTAATTCATCCTGAGGCCAACAGCACAGCTGTGCTGATTTACACACTGGGCCAGGACTCTCTGGGCACCCCCATCCTAAGCAATGGAACTATCCTGGTGCAGGAGCAGCCGGTGAGGAGACCTGCAGGTGGCCTGACAGGTGCTCACGCTTGCCCACCCACGCTCTCTGCCTCCAAATCAGTAACTCACCATCAGGCAGAAGCAAGAAAATGCTCCCGATCCTTAGCATGCTTGTCCCCTTGGCTGCGACGACATGTCTCCAGTTTAGAGCCCTTCTGTGAACTCCCCCCATAGCCTAGGACCCAATCCCAACTGTGCCCACAGATACAAAAGCCCACCATGACTCGGGTTCTGTCCCCTCTCTGACACCCCACAAGAGGCCTGGACTCCAGAGACAGCACCCACCCCTCCCCAGGACCAGCACGTGGCTCTACACCACCTCTCTCTGCCCCTTTTCTTCCTAATTCCTCCTCTCAATACAGGGTAGAGATGGACAGGAGCCTTAATATAGTTTGCCTCTGTTACTGAAACCTCCTATTATATATTTTGTATTATGAGATAGTTCTAATGGGCTTGCATTGTGGCATAGTGGGTTAAGCTGTCCCCGATAATGCCAGCATCCCATATGTGTACTTGTTCAAGTCCCCACTGCTCCACTACCCAAGTAGCTCCCTGATAATGTGTCTGGGAATGCAAGAGAAAATGGTCTGAGGAAAGAATGAAAGAATAAGTGAGGAAGGAAGGAAGGAAGGGAGGGAGGGAGGGAGGGAGGGAGGGAGGAAGGAAGGAAGGAAGGAAGGAAGGAAGGAAGGAAGGAAGGAAGGAAGAGGAAGGAAGGAAAGAAGGAAGGAAAATAAGGAAGGAAGGAAGAAGGAAGGAAGAAAGGAGAAAGAGCAAGCAAGGAAGAAAAGATGGGAGGAAGGAAGGGAGACAGGAAGCCTAACATAATGAAAAAGCAGGGGCTAGGGTTGTGGCAGAGCAGGTTTAGCCATGGCCTGCAACACAAACATCCTATGTGAATGCTGGTTCAAATCCTGGCTGCTCCACTTTCCAGGGCAGCTCCTTGTTAATGCACTTGTGAAAGCAGCAGAATACTGCTCACATCGAACTCTGCCACTTGTGTGGGAGACCCAGCTCCAGGGACCGGCCTAGCCCAGCTCCATGGGATCACCCAGGGAGTGAGTCAGTGGACAAATCTGTTCTTCTGCACACAACTCTGCCTTTCAAACAAAGAAAGAAATTTCTTTTTTAAGATTTATTTTTATTGGAAGGCAGATCAGATTTAAGGAGAGAAGCAGACAGAGAAAAAAATCTTCCATCCACTGATTCACTCCTCAAATGGTTGCAACACCTAAAGATGAGCTGATCCAAAGCCAAGAGTCAGGAGCCAGGAGCCAGGAGCCAGGAGCCAGGAGCCAGGAGCCAGGAGTCAGGAGCCAGGAGCCAGGAGCCAGGAGCCAGGAGCCAGGAGCTAAGAGAGTCTTTCAGGTTTCACACGTGGGTACAGGGTCCCAAGGTTTTGGGCCAACCTACACTGCTTCCCCAGGCCACAAGCAGGGAGCTAGATGGGAAGTGAAGCAGCTGGGGGATGAACCAGCCCCATATGGGATCCCAGAGTTTACAGAGGAGGATTTAGCCATTGAGCCATTGCACTGGCCCTAACTAGAGAAATCTTTTTTTTTTTTAAAAAAAAAAAAGATAACAACCCCTCCCGCTCCCCTCCAAAAAAACAAGTTTTCAGGTCGACCCACTTATACAAACATTTCATGTCCTTCCTGTATGTTTTTTTAAAATTACTTATCTGAGAGTCAGAGAGACAGAGAAAGAGCGTTCAGCTACTGGTTCATCTCCCAGTGTTCACAACAGCCAGTTTTGGAAGCAGAAGCCAGGTTTCTCACATGGAGTGACAAAAGTCTTGAGCCATCATCATGCCTCCCGGGGTAGAACCCTGGCATCCTAGCTGGAGCCGGGAATCCAATACAGACCTTCTGAGTTGGCACCCATTTGTCACCCATTAGGCTAGAAGCCTGTCCGTCCTCTCTGCTTCGAACATCTCATCTTAGCAGTGGTCACTAGCAACTCCACATACTTACTAGCCTTGTCCATCGCTAAGCTCAGTAGATTATAAGCTGCCAAGGGGCAGGTGTTCTTGTCTGTCTGTTGCATCAACTGAATAAGTGAGCAAAGTCAAGGCAGCTTGCTTAGGTTGGTAAAGTGGCGGCCACCCCTATCTTGCATTAGTTGTATTTCCCTGATGAGAGGCAAGGCTAAGCATCCTGATATAGACCTGTTGACCATTTGGGTTTCTTCCTCTGTGAATTCTGTTTTTCCCTAAGAGATGCTTGCTTCATTCCTGGAATCTATGAGTTCTATACCTACACTGTTTCTCCTCCATCAGTTATGTGCATTGCAATTATCCCTTCTGGTTTGTGGCTAATGCATTTATCTCACATTACTTCTGGGTTGTTTTGTCGAATACAAACACTCACTTGTAGCTGAACTGGAATGAAAATCAACAACTTTCGTCCCAAGACGGCATGCCTTTTCTATCATTTTTTCCCTGACTACCTTCCTCTAACCCTCTACGTAAGGCCCTGCACTCTGCTACAGAACACTTGACCTTGAAACGCCTCCTTGTGTCATCTTGTGTCTGAGCTCAGGAGGCTGCTCGTGTCAGCAGAAGCAGCAAACTCTGAGTTCAAGCCCTGGCTTGATTACGACAGGCAGCACAGCCCACTGAGGCTGAGCTTCGGTGTAGGTTTGAGGACGGAGCTCATCCACTGGCCAACTGTATAAACCCAGGTGGGTGAAGCAGCTCTCTGTGGCACAGTGTATGCATCTATGAATTAGGGCTGTGGAGGGGGCATCTGGCCGAGTTGTTACAATGCTGGCTAGGACAATCAAGGCCCACACAGGAGTACCTGGATTGAATTCCCAGCTTCGCACTAGTGTGGACCCTAGGAGGATGATGTTTCAAGGACGTGGGCCCCTGCCAACGCTGGGGAACTTGGGTCTCATTTTCAACCTCCCTGGATGTTGTGGGCATTTGGGAAGTGAACCTGAAGATGAAAGCATTCTCTCTGTATTAAATTCATAATTTTTAAAATAGAGCTAATCATTAAAGATAGAAGGGGATGATAATAGCACCTGCCTAGAACATGGGATGTGATGAGGATTACCTGGTCCATGCTACACACAGCATCTAGCACACAGCAAGAACCTGTATGTGTTCTCTGTGTAGCTAGTGCTGTGCCTGTGGGTGAGCCGTACCTGACACTTGGTTCCCTCTTTTGCGTGATCAGGCTGCCTTGGATTATGAGAAATAATATAGTATGGAATCTATCAGTGCTTATCTCCATGCTCGGCACACCTAAGGTGTTCAACAGGTGTCAGCCTTTGCTCACACCCCAGGGCTGTGCGCTCTGGCCTTGCTTGAAATCCTCAGCCTCACACCACAGGGCTGAGCACAAAGTAAAGCCCTCCATTAAAGGGCAGTGTTGTGACACAGAAGGTTAAGTTGCTACTTGCAATGCTAACAAGGCGGTTCCAATCCTGGGCGCTCTATAGACAGCAAATGATTGCCCATGGACTTGGATCCCCATCACCACACAATAGACCTGGATGTAGCTTCTGACTCCTGGCCTCAGCCTGACCCCATCCTGACTATTGTGGTCTCTTGGGGGAGTGAACTAGCAGATGGAAGAACTCTCTCTCTCTCTCTCCCTCCTTTACTCTGTCATTTTTTTTATTTTTCAATAAATTTTTAAAAATTGTTTTCAGTACCTGCCTGGTGCCAAGTCCTCTGCCTGGTACCACAGACATGGTACCAGCTCAGCCCAAGCCACTGTGACACAACACCCACCGTTTCCCTTCTTTTTTGAAATCTCTGAGACATGCACACACAGAGAGCAAGCACTCAGAGTCATATCAACAGCTGAAGCATACACACCCAGGTACTCCAACACAGCACACAGGTGAATCACCCACCGGACTCTACATCCACCCCAACCATAGTCTTGTAGGAGCTTGATCATATCATGACTGGCACATGGTAGCATCTCACGCATCTTTCACTTCTTTTCATCAACAAGTAGAATGGTGGCTGAATGTCCTTGAAGGCTGGGCATACCTAGTCATGAACTTTACAGAGCCTCAGCTGCCTCACTTGAAAAGCAGAGCTATTCTTTGAGGGGCTGCCCCAAGAATGCACCACCACCTAGCACAGCCAGGTACCACTGCAGCACTGCACACCAAAATGCCTGCTGTAGTTAGCTTTCTCCTTCCTCAAAACATGCAAGGTCAAAGCTGTTGGGCTCCTGCCTCCAGTGCACCGGCTGGGTCTCCTGTCTTTTCTCAACCAGCACAAAGGTTGAGGATACCACCATCTCACAACCCTATGCACCATTCCCAATTCAGACTCTGGGTGCCTATGACCAAATGTTAGGTGAGCTAGCTCAATTGAAGACACTGCTGGGACACAGCACATCAAGGGGAAAGTGTGAAATTGCCTCCTCTGGTCCCCAGCCCCCTACCAAATCCCCTGTAAATTAAAGCCACCAATCCTCATATACTGCCCACTGTGAAATTCTCCACTCTTCAGGCAGCCCAAACATCTCCTGGCCTTCAGTGGCAGCAGGCAACACACATACCATAGAGATCAGGGTTGCTGCGGATGTACAACCTCACAAAGTTTTTTCCAGGAATCGGTAACAGAGACCCTTTAATTCTGTCGAAGACCTAGAAAACATGGTAGTCCACGTTAGGCTTTTTCTTTTGTATGAGGAATGTAATAAATTCAACCACTGCCAAATTCCACATGCAAACCATCCCTTCTGTCTGACCACTTCCGGTACACAAAGCCACTCACTGCATCTGAACACTGTGGAAACAGCTCAGCTACCCAAAAAGGCCAGGGCTCTGCAACTCTACAAACCTGGTACGTGTCCACATCGAAGAAGGTTTGGTAGTATTCAAACGTCCAGAAGGGGGAGCTCTTCTTCTGTCCGGCAAGTAACTGCAAGAGGTTAAAAAAAAAAAAAAACAGTGAACCGCGACACAATCTCCTAACTGCAGAGAGAGGAGGATGGAGGGAACTAATGGCAAATTAAAATGTCCCACACACCTGCATCCAAAGACCAACACCCAACCCAGCTACACACAGGAATGAACACATCAGACCAGCAGGCTTCAAATCCTGGGCCCCCTGCTATGGGGAAACTTCAGTGAACCCCAAGGCTCCTCTCAGACCCATATTCCCCTACCTAAAAAGATTGGCTAGGGCCGGTATTGAGCCTGGGACGCCGGTATCCCCCATGAGTGCAGTTAGGGTCCCAGCTGCTCCACTTCAGACCCAGCTTTCCACTCATGTGTCCGGGAAAGCAACAGAAGATGGCCAAGTGCTTGGGTCCCTGCCACCCATGTGGGAGTTGCAGATGAAACTCCTGACTTCAGATGGGCCCAACTCCTAGTACTATGGCCATCTGGGGAGAAAAGCAGAGGAGAGAACTGTTGGTCTTGCCCATGCTCTCCGTAACTCTGCCTTTCAATAAACATAGACATCTTAACAAAGAAGAAGAAGAGGGAGCAGAGAATGGCCCAAGCGCCTGGGCCCCTGCCTCCCACGTCAGAGACTGGGATGGAATTCCTGGCTCCTGGCTTCAGCCTGGCTCAGCCCTCGCTGCTGGAGCCACCAGGGAGAATGGAGCAGAAGATGTCTGTCTTCCCCTGAGTGACAGGCTCAGGTGGGAGTGTCTGACTCAAGCACTGCAGGTGCACCGGGTTCTGGGCAGTCAGTCATGATTCAATTCATCAAATAGCAGCAGAAACAGTTTTTCTGAGACCCAGCAATGTACACACGGAAGCCCCCCTCCTCCTGAGCCTGTTACTGTGAACCCACGCAAGCCCACACCTGTTCTCCTTGGAGTTCTCCTCAGCCCATCTCAAGGGCCCATCAAGCCCAGCCCTGGCACAGACAACCCTACTTCTCATCTGTCTCAGGAGCTATGGACTCTGATTCATTTTCTTGCCCAGCCACAGGCTTCTGCACCTTACCTATCTTTATGCCTGGTCTTACTGTTTAAACTCTTTCAACAGCTCCCAGTAGTTGTCAAAACACAGTGCATCCTTGCGGCAAAACCTGGCCTACTGGGAAACCTCATCTCCTGTCTCGACCTACAGTTTGCTTCCAATTTAGGTGAAGATGGGAGGTATTCCTGGGCGTTGGTGTTGTGGTATTGTGGATTAAACCACTACCTGCCATCTTGGAATCCCATGAGCACAAGTTTGAGTCCCAGGTGCTCCATTTCCAATCCAGTGCCCTGCAAATGTTCCTGGGAAGAGTGCAGAGCATGGTCCAGGTGCTCGGGCCATCCCACCCACGTGGGAGACTCAGGGAATTCCAGGCTCCTGGCTTCAGCTTGGCCTAGCCCCAGTTGTTGCAGCCACCTAGAGTGACCCAATGGGAGGAAGTCCTTTCTCTCAATCTCTCTTTTTCTATAACTCTGCCTGTCAAATAAATAAGTAAATTTTTTAAGGCAGTGTTGGTGGTATTCCTCCTCTGTGCCACATAATTTCATGCCTCTGTGACTTCAGCAACAAAGTTCTCTTTGCTAAGGTCACCTACCCTTCACCCTGACCCCCCTCCATTACTCCCCTCTGCTTGTGCCCATTGCACAGACCATAAGGATGCACGTGCCTGTTTCCCCCTGAAAGGCAGAGGCACGCTGTCAGTCTCTGCTGCCACCGCCTGGCACTGTATTGGACATACAGTAGGTGATGAGCAAATGCATTAACAAGTTGTTTTTTTTTTAGAAGATTTATTTATTTTTATTGCAAAGTCAGATATACAGAGAGGAAGATCTTTTGTCTGATGATTCACTCCCCAAGCAGCTGCAATGGCTGGTGCTGTGCTGGTCTGAAGCCAAGAGCCTGGAGCCTCTTCTGGGTCTCCCAAATGGGTATAGGGTCCCAAAGCTTTTTGGGTCATTCTCAACAGCTTTCCGAGGCCACAAGCAGCGAGCTTGATGGAAAGCAGAGCAGCCTGGATTAGAACCAGTGCCCAGATGGGATCCTGGTGCATGCAAGGTAAGGACTTCAGCTGCTAGGCTACTGTGCCAGGTCCCATGAACAAGTTTTAAAACATTCATGCCAAAGTGCCTATTCAAATCCAGGCTGCTCTGCTTTGGCCCTAGCTCCCTGCTAATGTACCCAGAAAGGCAGCAGCAGATGGCTCAAGTGCTTGGCCCCAAGCCACCCACAAGGGACCTGGATAAAGTTCCTGGCTCCTGGCTGCAGTCTGGCCCTGCCCCAGCTGTTGTGGCCATTTAGGGAGTGAACCAGTGAATGGAAGATTCTGCCTCTTCTTCCCTCTCTGTCACTTTGTCTTTTTAAATAAACAAATCTTTCAGAAAGAGGGAAAAAAGTTCAAAGACAAGTTCCAACCTCAGTTTTGTCAGAGTCATCATTTCCCAGTAACTCGTCGTCCTCCTCTCTCCCCAGGCCTCCTGGGGGTCCTGCATGGTCGTCTGGGGTCTCAGCAGGCTCTTTAACACTTGGGGCACCAGCAGGGTGGGCTGCTAGAGAAGCGGCGGAATCGCTGAATTCTGGAAGGAATTAGAGCACAAAGCCTTAGAAAAGTTCTGCTGCCAAATTCAACACAAGCCGTCCAACTCAGCTCTGCTGCGGACCCTCTCTGACACAGGCCACAAAAGGCTTCGAAACAAAGCCCCTTCTAGAAGTCAACCCCACACAGAAAAAGGACTGCAAAACCACAGGAAAACGGATTTTAGTCCCGAATCAGCTCCTTCCTAACCATGTGAGCCTAAATAAGCAACATTCTTCATAAACCTCGGTGTGTCCACCTGTAAAATGGAGAGGCCAGTTAGGTCAAAGAACTTGGGGAGAATGAGGAATTTTATCTAAGTAAAATCCTTAGCACGGAATCTGGCTCAACCAAAACCGCCCTCCTGATTTAGTGCAAAAAGAAAAAAAAAATTTTTTTAAGATTTATTTATTTTTCTAAGATTTATTTTTATTTATTTGAAAACCAGAGTTATAGAGGGAGAGGCAGAGAGAAACAGAGGTCTTCCATCCACTGGTTTGTTCTCCAAGTGGCCACAAGAGCTGGACCAGGCCAAAACCAGGAGCCTGGAGCTTCACCCAGGTTTCCCACATGAGTGCAGGGACCCAAGGACTAGGCCCAGCCTTTGCTGCATTAGCAGGGAGCTGGGTGGAAAGTAGAGCAGCTAGGACTCAAACTGGTGTCTATATGGGATGTTGACACTGCAGATGGCAGCTTGATTAGCTATGTCACAATACTGGCCCCAGCTAAAAAATTTGTAATGGAACTTACTTTTTTCCCCAGTGAATTCTATGTAACCACTATACAAAATTTAAGAACAAAAATGAGGGTGGGAGTAATAAACTAAAAATCCTTCTGGGTCCCACCACATAGAGGCAAACACCTTTAATATTTTTGCTCTATTTTGCTTTCTTTACAGAGTGAGACTTGTGCACAGGACACTCTATTATTCATTCAACAAATACCTCCCATGTGCCCACAGGATGCCCCGTATCGCTCTGAGAGGTGATCACACTACCAAAAAGCATTCTGTGATCTGCTTTGTCTACTGGGGATCACCTAGGGGGAAAAATGTCTTCTGGTTGAAGCAGTGTTTGAAACACACAAGGAATGTGGGTGTGCGGGAAGCTGGAGGTTACCTACCAATATAATTAGCAGGTCAAGCAGCACAGACACTTGCAAGGCTCTGGAACCACACTGCAGCGCCACTTTCCAAAAGGACCTTACTGATTTACATCCCCCAGTAACAAGCGCCAGAACCCTCCACGTAGTGTTGCTGCATTTGTGCGAAGCTCCCATTCCTGGCATGGCAAGAGCTGGGGCCCTCACAGAACTGAGTTCACACTGACTGCCTCAGCTACAGGGAGGTCTTCTGGAGAAAACCAAGTGACTAGAATCGGGTGGTTACTATGTAACAGTTACTCAAGCCTCAGCTTCCAGCACTGAGCATCACAGCTCCAGAGCTCCGTGACCTCAGCCACTCACTCCCCTCCTCCCTCTCTGTTTCTTCAGGTATAAACTGTGAGGAATTCCTATCTCAGAGATATATGCAAGAATGATAAATACTTTGGTGGGGAGCAGTGCGGTAGTATACAGGCTAGTCCTCCACCTGCAGGGCTGGTATCCCTTAGGGCGCTAGTTTGAGTCCTAACAACTCCACTTCCCATCCAGCTCCCTGCTAATGGCATGGGAAAATAGCAAAGACTGGCCCAAGGCCTTGGGCTCCTGCAGCCATGTGGGAGACCTGGAAGAAGTTCGCGGCTTCTAGCTTTGGTCTGGTCCAGTTCTGGCCATTATAGCCATTTGGCAAGTGAACCAGGAGATGGATGAGCTCTGTCTCTCCCTCTCTCTCTGTACTCTGACTTACATATTGTTATAGCTGCCATTTATTAACTGGAAAAGGCACTAACTTTTCAAAACATGGCCATGACTTTGCTAGAGAGAATCAGAACAGGGAAGATCCACTCAAATTGCATACCCTCAAAGCAGCAGCTGACCGGTGGGATGACATGCCAGAGCAAGGACAGGGCCACCCTGCTGTGGTCCAGGTTTGGGCCAAATATTTATTTCTTGATTTCTGCCTCTTACTTAAATGACATTTCAAGTATAGACACCAACACGACATAAGCAGGTGGTAAGGTTTATTGAGAGTGAGGACTACAGATATACATGGCCCATGTTCATGGAGAGTGAGCCAGGAAGGGAAACAGTAATGCACAGATGGCTACCTTCCATCCTCACAGTCTATCCACAGGAAGCAAGGGAGGAAGCGGCTGTGCGAGCAAAGTGCTTGAGAGATGAAAAGAGCAAGCCCCTCCCCAGCACGGGCTTTTAAGAGGGCTTGAGAGAGGAGTGGTTATGCAATAACACAACACCACCCCTACTTAAGTCCCAGATAACAATGGGTACGTGCCCTTTGACATACAGGTGGACAAAAAGAATTATACAGGCAGGGGAGTTGTGGCTTCCAAACTAGCAACTCTGTGAACTGGTTGCCTACCAAGTTCCTATCAACATGAGAAATAAGCTCAGGGGAAGCCAAGACCTTGTCCAGAAGACGGGTTTAGCAAAGCCTTCCGGGGACGAGGCCACCTCAGAAGGACAGCCAGAGGTGCTGAGGACAACATCTCATGCCAAGAGGCCAAGCCAGAGGGACTGCAGATGGCACCCCATGGTGATTCTGCACTAGCTGGACTCTCTTGCCCGTCTCTGACCCGAGGGCAAGCAAGGGTCCTGAATTCTACCAGCCACCCTCTCTGCTTAGGCATCCTGGCATACCCAAAGCTACCCTGTGCCACCTTTCCTCTCCTACCATGATCCTGGCAGCCACAGGCTCCTGAACTCTACCTTCCTCATGTGACAGCACCGTTCCTCCAAGGGGAAGCTTCCTGTGACACCACAGCATCGTTGGCAATCCCGCACCACTCCTGTCTCCTGCCCCACAAGCCTCGCTTTGTGCCAGCCTCCCTCACCTGTCACCCAGAACGCAGGACCCTCTTCCACCCTTTGCAGCACACGGCCTTGTGCCTCAAGGACTCTACAAGTGGGGTTCTCTGCCCTTGAACTTTCTCCCACTACACTCCCAGACAGGATGAAGTGACATGAGTCAGCACTGTGGCGTAGTGGATTAAGTTGCTACCTACAATAGCAGTGTCCCCTAAGGGTGTTGATTTCAGACCCAGATGTTCCATTTATGATTCAACTCCGTGCTTATGCCCTGGGAAAGCAGCAGGTGATGGCCCAAGTGTTTGGGCCTCTGAGTGCATGTGCAAAGACCCAAAAGAAGCTCCTGACTTCAGACTGCCCCAGCTCCTACTGTTGCAACCATTTGAGGAGTAAACCAACAGATGAAAGATTTTTCTCTCCCCTCCCTCAAACTCCATTCCTCTCTTTCTCCCTCTGTGCCACTCTGTCTTTCAAATAAACAAATCTTTAAAAAGAAAAAAGGGGCCTGACACGGTAGCCTAGAGGCTAAAGTCCTCGCCTTGTACATGCTGGGATCACATATGGACACTGGTTCTCCTCCCAGCTGTCCCGCTTCCCATTCTGCACCCTGCTTGTGCCCTGGGAAGGCAGTTAAGGACAACCCAAAGCTTTGGACACGGTACCACATGGGAGACCAGGAAGAGACTCCGGGCTCCTGGATTCAGATCAGTGCAGTTGCAGCCACTTAGGGAGGTCTTCCTCTCTGTCTCTCCTTCTCTCTGTGTATCTGCCTTTCCAATAAAAATAATAAAATAATTTTTTTTAAAAAAAGGATGAAGTACAGAAGAACATAGCAAGGCAGCAAGCATTGTGCCTATAAGCCGGAGGACTGTCCCAAAGAGAAACAGCAAGCACCGCGAGCTGCACGTGTGCAGTGAATGTGGTATGTAAGGAACACGAGCCTGTGTGGTTAGGACAGGGAAAGGACAGGAGCAGCAGAACTGAAATCTTGTGTAGTGGGGGCAGGACCACGTGGGGCCTCCAATGTGAGGTGGGAGCTGGCAGAAGATTCTAGAAAAACAGCAAGACTGGACTTGGCTTTCAAAGGATGATTCAAGGGTGCAGTGTGATGGCTCAGTAGCTAGATCCTTGCCATGCATGCGCCGGAATCCCATATGGGTGCCAATTTGTGTCCCGTCCCAGCTGCTCTGCTTCCCACGCAGCTCCCAGCTTGTGGCCTAGGAAAGCAGTCAAGGATGGCCCAAAGCCTTGGGACCCTGCACCCACGTGGGAAACCCAGAAGAAGCTCCTGGCTCCTGGTTTCAGATTGGCTCAGCTCTAGTATTATGACCACTTGGGGAGTAAACCAGTGTACTGAACATCTTCCTCTCTCCTTCTCTCTATAAATCTGCCTTTCCAATAAAATAGATAAATAAATCTTAAACAAACAAACAAAAAAGCAGAGCTATTGATCATCAGTCAGCAGTGCACATGTATGACTATTAGCTTAATGCACCAAGTTTGCCTGTGAACAGGGACTTAAAAGCAAACAAAAACTGCGACCGACGGAGACCCCCAACGAAAGAGGTAAGTGGGAACATGGACCGGGTCAGAATCAGTGCAGCACATAGCCTTTTTTTTTTTAATGAAAGGTTTTGTTTTTTAAATTAATTAACTTTTATTTATTTATTTTTAAAGATTTATTTATTATTACAAAGTCAGATATACAGAGAGGAGGAGAGACAGAGAGGAAGATCTTCCGTCCAATGATTCACTCCCCAAGTGACCGCAACAGCCAATGCTATGCCGATCTGAAGCCAGGATCTAGGAACTTCTTCCGGGTCTCCCACACAGGTGCAGGGTCCCAAGGCTTTGGGCCGTCCTCAACTGCTTTCCTAGGCCACAAGCAGGGAGCTGGATGAGAAGTGGAGCTGCCGGGATTAGAACCAGTGCAGATATGGGATCCCGGAGCATTCAAGGCGAGGACTTTAGCCACTAGGCCACGCCGCCAGGCCCAGTACATAGCTTTTTATGTGTAACTTTTTAGTGAAAAGTGGAGTAGAAGTAACTAGGCAGCAATAGAAGCTACATGTGTGCATAACCCTTGCCTCCATAACGTGACTGAAAACAAAACTAAAAGTAATAAGAAGAATAAAAGTTGCCCGATTAAATAAATACAAGATTTCCCAGATTTTTCCAGTGAGGAAGACGAGGATGAGATAGAAGAAAAGCAGTTAAGAACCACCCCATGCCACCTTACTCTTAAATCTGATCAATGACATTCCTGAGTGTTCGATATTCCCTGGAGACCTCATGAATTATAGTTGCTTTCCCCAATTATACTTAGTCAAGAAAATAATCAGCCTACATATGAAGGTTTAAATTGTAATGCCATCACAGCTTTTAAAAAGGCTTGTGTGTCCCATGGACCCACTTCTTTATATGTGTGGGAATACTTGAATGGTTGGAGAAGCAAACCAGATCCCCTATGCTTTTGAATAGTGGTAATAGTGAAAATAGGGCCTCCTCCTTCTCAATATTTACAATGGGAAATGTGGGGGAGTGATATGCCTAAGGAAAAACTGCGATCCTTAGGACAAGCATGGCGACAACTCCCCGAGGGTGGTGATCTTACCGTATGTTGGTTGGAGAGAGGCAATGGACTACTGGGCAGCAAACCCAACTACAAGTTGTGCTCACCCATGTACTGGATGCAACGCTGTGTGCCTGGCAAAAAAAAACTGACATTGGGGCTGAATTTGCAGGCAGTTAGGGTCTCTGGTCCCTGGTGAAGTTGCCTTTGTAAACTATAAAATCTAGCTTCTCCCCCATTTCTTGCCCTTCCAAGAACAGGTTCTTCCTAGCTTCATCCCTCAGTCCTAGCTTACGAAACAGAAGGGGATCTGGAGGACAGTTGATTCGATCTGTAGGACAAAGCAGATATTTTCAAGCAAGGGTGTGGCGACAACTGATGGGATCTATAGACAGGCTTTTGGGAACTTCGATACATCAATCAACTCCCTCTTGTTGACATGTAAATTCCAACAAGGCTCTTCTGTGAGCCTCTGTCCATAAAAGCCTGATGCTGCTAGCAAACGTACATGACTCTCTCTCCAGGCATCAGATCCATCACTGCCAGACAGTGAACAGGTCCTGAAAGCAGGTGGAAAGTGCGACTAAGATGGCGACCTCTCTGGGTCCCAACACCTACAACAGGCAGAACTGGGAGGATGCAGACTTCCCTATTCTGTGCCAGATGTGTCTGGGAGAATATCCGAATGACCAAAGAAAAGTATGGAAAGGAATGCAAAATCTGTGCCAGGACCTTCACAATGTTTCACTGGTGCCCCGGGGTCGCATGCATTTCAAGAAGACTGAGGTGTGCCAGACCTGCAGTAAACTGAAGAATGTCAGACGTGCCTCCTAGACCTTGAGTATGGCCTGCCCATCCAGGTTCGTGATGCAGGACTGCCTTTTAAAGATGACATGCCAAGAATGTCAACAAAGAATACTACACACAGAATATGCAGAGAGAAATTTCTAACTCTGATGGGACACGGCCTGTTGGCATGCTGGGGAAGGCCATCTCCACCAGTGACATGCTGCTCAAACTGGCCCAGACCACCCCTTACTTCAAAAGGAATCAGCCCCACATCTGTTCCTTCTGGGTCAAAGGAGAGTGTCAAAGAGGAGAGGAATGTCCCGACAGGCATGAGAAGCCTACAGCTCCAGATGATCCCCTTGCTGATCAGAAGAGCAAAGACTGATATTACGGAATCAACGACCCTGTAGCAGACAAGCTCCTCAAGCAGGCTTCAACGCTGCCCCGTCTGACCCTCCAGAGGACAAGACCATCACCACCCTCTATGTGGGTGGTCTAGGCGACAGCATTACAGAGACAGAGCTAAGAAACCGCTCCTACCAGTTTGGAGAGATCTGGACCATCACTGTCGTGCAGAGAGCAGCATGCCTTAACCCAGTTCGTCACGTGACAAGCTGCAGAAGCGGCTGCACCAAAGTCCTTTTACAAACTGATTGTCAATGGCTGCAGACTCAACATCAAGCGGGGAAGATGGCAGGCAGCCAGAGGAAAAGGAGAAAGATGGAACCACGGAACCTGGGATCAAGCTGGAACTTGTACCGGAACTGCCGGGAGCTCTTCCTCCTGCAGCAGTAGAAGCCTCTGCCAGTGACTTCAACCTGCCCCCAAGCGGTCCTCCAGCTGTGGTGAACATGGCACTGCTGCCACCCCCAGGTGTGGACAGCCCATGTTCCACCCGATGGAACCGCCCCCTCCATTCATGAGGGCCCCGGGATCAATCCACTATCCTTCCCGTGACCCCCAGAGGATGGGCGCCCTTGCCGGCAAACACAGCAGCCCCTAGCACATTCTCAACACCATGGAAAGGGTGCTTACAAATCCCAGTAAATGAATCTTGGAATAAATACATTTTCCTTCCTTAAAATAAATAAATAAACAAATAAGTAAGGTTGACTCTAGCTATAAAGTACAGAGTGAGAGTAGAAGGGAGGAACCAGGAAGCTCAGAAGGAAGATCAGGACCAAAGATGAAGGTGAGCTTAGATCACGCAGCAGCAGTGGCAGAGGTAGGGCAGTCAGACAGGACATGCGGCAGCAGTAAAAGTGCCGCGTGGGATGCTAGCACCCCACATTGCAGCAACCGTAGCATGGGGATCCCCGACCCTCTTTCTGACTCTGGCTTCCTACTGGTGCGTACCTTTAGGAGGCAGCTCCATCACCGCATGGGAGACCACAAAGAGCTCCAAGGTCCTGGCCTCAGCCTGGCCCGGCCCTGGCTACTGTAGGCATTTGGAGTGGGCAACCCACGGATGGAAGATCTCTGTGTCTTTGCCTTTTATGTAAATAATAAACTATTTTTTAAAAAAATAAAGAGAGGGTATGGTGCTGTAGCCTAGTAGCTAAAGTCCTTGCCTTGCATACACCAAGATCCCATAGTTCCCTGCCTGTAGCCTGGGAAAGCAGTCGAGGATGGCCTAAAGCCTTGGGACCCTGTACTTGCATGAGAGACCCAGAATATCTGCCTTTCCAATAAAAATAAAAAAATATTTTTAAAAATGTACTTATTTATTTGAAATGCAGGAGAAAGAGATCTTCCCACTGCTGGTTCACAACAGTCACATTTGGGGTCAGGTGGATGCCAGCAGCCAGAAACTCCATCCAGGTCTGCCACAGGTGCAGCAGAAACCCAAGCATTTGGGCCATCCCGGGCTCATCAGCACGGAGCTGGAAGGGAAGCAGAGCAGCTGGGACTCCAACCAGCACTCTAACGTGGGATGCTGGCATAGCAAGTGGTGGCTTAGCTTGTTGCACCACAACACAGCCCCTTACTCATCTCACCTTGAGAACCACAAGTGCCTGTGTGAGGCCCCACTCAGGCGACACCTGCTGATTATCCTTCATCACGTTCTTCTCCACAACGTCGTCCGTCCTACCAGTGTGCACACCTACCTTTGTAACCTCCACCCTCTAACACCACACCTAATGCCAGGCAGACATTCACGTACTGGCCAATGTTTGCTGAACTTGTAAAGAACTCTATAAACATCATCCGGAATTGCTGTGGCACACTGACAACGACTAACTGAGAAGGTCACTCGGTAAAACAAACAGCCAGAGCCTTGACGGGGCAGGGGCACTGTGGCTCAGTCCTTGCAACGGAGCTCCTTTCTGAGGGAGGAGGTACAGCAAGGCAAAGCCACTGCTGGAGGGAGAGGAGGTAGGCAGGCGGCTACAACAAGGGGAGACCCCAACCCATATACCTTCAAACTGCAAGTCATCCACGGCCGCCATTCAGCAAGCAGGCCTTCTCCCAAGCGGGACGAAGGGGCTCTGCAGGGGTCTAAAAGGAAAAACAGAAGCAGACTTAGAGTAACAGCGAAGCACCTGCCAGCAAGCCCTGTTTCAGCATGAGAAACACTCCTGCTTTTGCAGTGGGGGTCTGGTGGGTTGACTGAAAGATAACCCTTAAACATTAGACAATGCAAAAACTAAGCAACAAATCCTGGAGGTCCAAAGGTTCCAGCCAGGGGCTTCTGTCTGTGGCACCAGCATCCCATCAGCTGCCAGTTCGAGTCCTAGCTGTTCCATTTCTGATCCAGTTCCCTGTTTACAGCTTGGGAAAGCATCAGAGAGTGGCCCAAGTCCTTGGGCCCCTGCAACCAAAGATTCCATCCAGTCTCATGCTGTGTGGACGCTGAGGAATAGGTGCAGACTGGAGAGAGAGATGACAAGGGCAGCTAGTTCAGCCTGGCCAGTGGGCCTGGGCACAGGCTCTGGGGTTCACACAGACCCTGGGTTTGATTCTCAAGTCTGCGGCCTTTCTGTAGGGCATGCATTTGGCGAGGCCTCAGTTTTCCTCGTCTGCACAACGGGTTCGTTAGGGTATCTGGAAGAAGAGCAGAGTCACTAAATTCAAGTCTGCTAAGGCCCTAGAAGCTGTAGCCGGCACAATGAGGGGAGGTTGGAGCCTGGGACACCGCGGGGCGAAGGAAGGAGCTGGGCCGCAGCAGCCTGAGCGAACGGCAGACCCCAAAGCCCTTACGCAGCCCCGGCCGCCTCACCTCGCGGTGCTTGGCGTCCAACCTGTCCCGGGAAGAATCGGCCCAGAGCTGCTCCGCCTGGGTCAGGTGCAGCCGAGGAGTCGGAAGCCGGAGATCCGGGGTGGGGCGAGTCCTCCTTCTCCTCCTCCTCCTCCTTCTCCTCCTCCTCCTTCTCCCGGCAGAGCCCCGCCTTGTTAAAGAGGCCGCCGCACCCGGAGAAGAGGCTCCGCGGAGCCTGCGCGGGTGCCGCCCCTCCCGAGACCGACCCCCCGCGTCTGAGGGCGGCGCGCGCAGCGGGCTCCGCGGGATGTCCAGCACGCAGAGTCTGCTCTCTGGGTTTTTGCCTCTGTTCTTCAAGCCGGCTTGGAGACACCCGTGTCACTGGCCCACAGGAGCGTGGGCAGTAGAGGACACGTGTGCTGGAGCCAAGGGAGTCGGGCAGGAGCGCCGCAGGGCCGGACAAAGTCTGCAGTTGTACTCGGGCCGGGCAGGCTGCTCTGTGCATCCTGCATCCCGCCCTCGAGGGATGCTCCTGCATCCCGCCCTCGAGGGCGAGGAGCGAGGTGATGGGGGCGGCAGCGGTGGCCTTGGTTTCCTTTGATCCCCGTGGTATCTCACGACTACCTGGAAAGCGGCAGGCAGCGGGTAAACCACGGGGGCGCTGCGCCCCTGGGGCTGCCGGCACTATTGCAGCTCTGGTCCCCTGGGTTTTTTCTGGTCTGTGGGTCGCCAGCATTCCGCCCAGGGCGCAGGCACTCAGCGGCTGCTCCCCAAACACCAATTAGAGGGAACAGGCTCTCGCCAGCGGAGCAGGCAGAACCTGTATTCTTCCTCCCGCCAGCTGGCTAGGCGTTACATCGACCGATAATTGCAGGTTGAGCCATTGTGCCAACCCCAAGCCTTTATTTATTTTTTTTTAAAGATTTATTTATGTAAGAGAGAAAGAGAATCTGTTTATTTGCTTACTAGCCAAATGCCCATAAAACTCTCTGCCTGCTTGGGAGCTAAGAACTCCTTCTAGGTCTGCTAGAAACCCCATTATACCTCCCAGGGTCTGTGTTAGCAGGAAGCTGAGTCAGAAGCCAGAGCTGGGCATCAAGTGCAGGTTGGGATATGAGTATCTTAACTGGCATTTTAAGTGCAAGGCCAAATGTCCATCCCTCAAAGCCTTATTTTGCTTTATAATACAAAATAACTGTTTTATTTCTTTATTTTTATTTTGTTTAAAGGATAGAATCAGCCTTGAGAGATCTTCCATCCACTGGTTCATTCCCCAAACGCCTGCGGCCAGAGCCAGGCCAGGTGGAAGCCAGGAGCTTAGAGCTCAATCTGGGCCTCCCGTATGGCCGACTGGGCCCCAGGTGCTGCTGCCTTGCCAGGATGTGCATTGACAAGAAGCCAGTTGACAAGGAGAGTAGCAGAGTCTTGAAGCAGGCATGCCAACACAGGACGCAGGTTAACGCAGGAGTCACTTAGGCTAAGCAAATGGAGTCACTTAAGCTAATAGGGATTCTGAGGTCTTTCAATGGATTGAGTAATTGGTCTCCTGCCATCGATATAGGAAACCTGGGTTGATTTGCGAACACCCAGCTTTGGCCCCGGCCCAGCCCTGGTCATTGTGGCATTTAGAGAGTGAACCAGCAGATGGCTCTCTCTCTTTCTCTCTCCTCTCTGTCAAACACACACACACACACACACACACACACACACACACACACACACACACACACACACACACACACACACACACACACACACACACACACACACACACACACACACACACACACACACACACACACACACACACACACGTCTTTGTGTACCCAACCAACCTCTAACCCTACCCCAGTCCCACCTTTGTCTCCCAGATAAACTAATTAAATGTTTCAATAAATAACACATCAAAGAAGAAATCTCAAGAGAAATGATTTTTGAAACTAGGTAGGCACTTGGTATAGCAGCTGAGACTCCATCTGGGAAGCCTGCACTGAATGTTAAGACTCAGCTCTACTGCACATCCAGCTCCCTGCTAAGGTGTACTCGGGGAGGCAGGAGGGGACAGCTCAGCTGCACGGGTCACTGCTACCCATGTACAAGACTTCAGTGGAGTTCTGGATTCCTGATTTTGGCCTGGCCCAGGCCCAACAGTTACAGGCATTTGGGGAAAAAAAACTAGCAGATGGAAGATGTGTGTCTGATTTCTGTCTCTTTCTCTCAGTTTTTCAGATATAAATAAATAACTTAGTTAATTCATACACATATATATATATTTGAGATTTATTTATTTTATTGGAAAGGCAGATGTTCAGAAAGGAGGAGAGACAGAGAGGAAGATCTTCCATCCGATGATTCACTCTCCAATGGTATTGTGCCGATCTGAAACCAGGAGCCAGGAACTTCCCTCCAGATCTCCCACACGGGTTTGGGCAGTCCTTGACTGCTTTCCCAGGCCACAGGCAGGGAGCTGGATGGGAAGTGGAGCTGCCGGGATTAGAACTGGCGCCCATATGGGATCCTGGCATGTTCAAGGTGAGGACCTTAACCATTATGCTATCGCACCCTAATTCATGAACATTTTATATGGAGAGGCCAATGACCCAGAATAGTCAACATTATGGTAAAGGAGACAAGATTAAAGAACATACACTGTGTGACTTAAAGACATGTTATAAAGCTGCAATCATCAAGACAGTGTGGTCCTGGGGAAAGAATAGACACACTTATCAACATAGCTACATTGTCACACAAGCATAAGTTTCACTGCCTTACAACTCTTATGTGTTCCATTGACCCATTCCTCTCCAAACTCCAATACCTGGACAGTCCAGATTCTTGCATATCTCTATTATTTGAGGCCCAGAATGATGGCTCAATTGGCTAATCCTCCACCTCCAAGCACCACGATCCCACATGGGCACAAGCTCATGTCCTGGCAACTCTGCTTCCCTTCCAGCTCCCACCTTGTGGCCTGGAAAAACAATAGAGGACGTCCCAAAGCCTCAGGACCCTGAACCTCTGTGGGAGACCTGGAAGGAACTCCTGGCTTTTGGCTTTGGATCAGCTCGGCTCTGATCATTGCAGCATCTTGGGGGTGAACCAGCAGATAGAAGATCTTTCTGTCTCTCCTTCTCTCTGTAAATCTTCCCTTCCAATAAAAATAAATATTTTTTTAAAAAATCACATTTTCTCCTATCATCTCTTCTAGGAGTGTCATAATTTTGGGCTCTACATTTAAGTCTGCAAGTGAATCTGGATTAATTTTTTATTATTATTATTTGAAAGTCAGATATTCAGAGAGGACGAGAGACAGAGAGGAAGATCTTCCGCCCGATGATTCACTCGCCAAGTGAACGCAATGGCCGATGCTGTGCCGATCCGAAGCCAGGAGCCAGAAACTTCTTCTGGGCCTCCCACATGGGTGCAGGGTCCCAAGGCGTTGGGCCGTCCTCGACTGCTTCCCAGGCCACAAGGAGGGAGCTGGATGGGAATTGGGGCAGCTGGGATTAGAACTGGCACCCCTATGGGATCCTGGCGTGTGCAAGGTAAGGACTTACGCTGTGAGGCTACCGTACTAGACCCTGCAATAGCTCTTTTAAGAGAGTCTCTTTAAGTGTGATTTTTTAAGTGCTTGCCAGAAAAAAATTCATCAGAAGTTGAATTTAGGATTTGGAATCTTCTAGTCCGAGAGTCTCTGCAAAGCTAAGGCAAAGAATCTGCAGTGACCCTAGTTAAACAGACCCCTGTGCACCTGGCTTAGAACTGTTCATGTTATTGATGACAAGGCAAATACCTGCTGGCCTGGCACCTTCCCCTTGTCCAGGGTTGACTGCTCCCACCCTGTACCTTTGTTCGACTCCACCCAGTGTCTCCTGGCTGCAACCTGCCTGTCTGGCAGTCTCAGAGGCCACTCCAGCTGGACCGAGATGGCATGGCCCCAGGTCAGGCTGTGGCTGAGGAGGCTCTGGGTGCTGGTGCAGGTGGCTGCAGAAGTGGCCCTGGGCAAGGTGCTGATGACACTCTTTCCAGAGCGAGTGAAACAGAACATCCTGGCCATGGGCCAGAAAACTGGTTTGGCCCAGAACCCCCTCTTCACCCATGACAACTGGATCCCCACCTTCTTCAGCATCCAGTATTTTTGGTTCATCCTGAAGGTTCGTTGGCAGCGACTGGAGGATGCCACTGAGCCAGGAGGTCTGGCCCCAAACTGCCCCGTGGTCTGCCTCTCGGGACAGGAGTGCCACATCTGGGACTTCATGCAAGGTCAGCAGGTGGTGGGAGGGTGCTGGCAACAGTAGCGGTGGAAGGAGACATGCAGGAGACTGGGATTTGTGGGCAAATTCTGAATCCATCTGCTACTCCTGCTAATTCTCTGGGGCTTCTAGGCCTCAAGAAAGTATGAATTCTCCTTAAATTTTCTTCTCTCTCTTTCTCTCAGTGCCAGCCCCACCTTCCCAGGCCCTCTGGCCCAGCAGTCTTTGGGCGCAGCTCCCAGGCTGCAGTCTGCTGAACCAAGGATGCTCTGCGGCTGTCTCCTCCCTATACCTTTCTTGAGGTAGTTGTGTGTGGCCATCTGCTTCATGTCCATTGCCTTTCTTGTAATGTGCAAACTCCTTGCAGGCAGAAAGTACTGCTCTAACTCACTATTGTGAATAGTCACTCACTAAGACCTTGTTGGAGAGAGTCCCCACCCCAGCCCTCCTAACCCAGCAAAGCAGCTGCATCTCTTTCTGTTCTGTTCTGAAAGCTCTCTGATTGCTTTTCTCTTTGGTGTATTCACAGCTCTCTACCTGCCAGGACTTCCTCCTCCCTGTCTTGCCCTCTCTTGTAAGCCATCTTATAAATAGCTGTAGGTCACTCCACAACCATCAGGGGCTCCCACCTGCCTTCAGAGCAATAGCAGAGCTCAGCCTTGCAGTCAAGGTGCTCCCTGGTCAGGCTCAGTTTTTCTGCCCACTTTCCATCCAAGTTTCTGTTCTTGATCACTCCTCCAGATAACCGGATGGGCTTTGTCCACCCCAGTGCCATCCCTCTGGTTTGCTTTTGCCAATATCATTGGCTGGTCTGGAACATCCTCCTCTGTCTTGAAAGTCTGTGGGCCCCCTTGCTGCAAGCCTCTTTTTCCGTGATGCCACCACAGATACCATAGTGGAGCCAGCTCTCTCCTTATGCTGGACACGAGACTCCACCTGTACTTCCCCAGGCCCGTGTATAGCTCCCCAATCTGCCTGTCCAGTGCGATGCCTCCGGAGGTGTGTCTGACTTCAGCACACTTAGCCTCAGGGCATCTACACTGCCAGTGGAGAGGAGGCACCCCTAAGGCACTTGGCTAAAGTAGGGTTCTTCAAAGTGTGTTCTTTGGAACGCTTGTGTTGCAGACAAGCTCTACCAGGCAGATGCTCCCAGTGCAGGTGATTTGGGAACTGCTGCATCCTGCATCCTTCTCCCGCAGATTCACATTGCGCAGTGCAGGGAACGGGCTTAGCAAGGCATGGGCACTTACCAGCAAGCACAACAGATTTACAGAGAGGAGAGACAGAGAAAGATCTCCCATCTCTTGCTTCACTCCCCAAATGGCTGCAATGGCCAGAGATGAGCCGATCTGAAACCAGGAACTTAGAGCTTCCTCTGGGTCTCACATGTACTTGAGTACAGGGTCCCAAGGACTTGGGCCATCTTCCACTGCTTTCCCAGGCTGTAAGCAGGGAGCTGGATGAGAAGTGAAGTAGCCAGGACTCGAACTAGTGCCCATATGGGATGTTGGCACTGCAAGGTGAAGGATTAGCCAGTTGAGCTATCACACTGGGCTCACACAGATATCTTCAACATGTTGAATTCACAGATAGGAAGAGCAGTGAGAAAATCATGTAATACATGTTGCATGTCTACCATGTGCTAAGCTCCAGAATAGAACCGAGCCATCCACTACAGATCATCACCTTGCACACCAGTTCACAGAATCTTCTCTCATCACATAGCTGCCCCCTTGGCACAGGCCCACAGACATCTTCATGACTGAGCAACCGGTTTGCCTGTGTTTTCTGCCAGAGCAGAGGAGACTGCAAAGTGGGGAGTGGTAGGCCACAGCGGCCTTTGTATTTCCCAGGCAGAGCTGGCTGTCTGCACGCTGACCTGGAGTCCCAAAAGCAGGAGGGACTGGCAACACAGCAGTAAACAGTGCTGCTTCTGGCCAGGGAGAGGGACGTGGCCACCAGAGTGGGGAGCACAGAACTGGGAGGGCCTCTCCCCAAGTGCATTAGCAGGTGGCCTGAGGAGAGAGTGTGTGGACCAGGAAGCCTTGGGTGGGTGAGTTAGAGGGGATTGGGAGCAAGGCAGAAGGGGTGGACATGACCCAGTTGGAGGAAGTGGGGTGCAGGAGGTAGGAAGGGATGAGAAATGATGTTGTAGACATCACTGGGAGCTAGGGCTTGGGGGGTCTCATGTATCTAATCTGAGGGTGTTGGTGACTTCGGGGAAGGTTTGCACATAGGGTTAACCTGCTCGGTCTGGCTTTCCAGACGTCTGTAATATGTCTTGAAACCTGCCAGGCCACAAGGCTCAGGTGCAAGCTTCAACTCTAAACCCTGACCTCATTTAAGAGTCATACTTTGGCAGTCTTGGAGTTTTCAGAAGCAAAGGCATGGAAATACCAATGGCTCCTTCAGTGTCACCTGCTGAGTTCACAGGGTGCCTGAACTAGAACCTGAGCCTTCTCCCTGTCTGCCCCCTCCCCTCACCCCTCCAGTGTGCTTTCTGTTACTGCAAAAGACAGAAGGGGTTCAAAGAAATCCTCAGCCTTCTCTCTGCCCACACACGCACATGCAACACACACACACACACACACACACACACACACACACACACACACACACACACGAGTAAAGCACACATTGACTACCTGAAGGTAAGCTGTGGGTGATATTACCCCAGAGTTCATTGGAAGCCTGTTTTACTTCAGCCTGAATTTCATGCCTTCTATAAACATCCCAGTGGGCCTTACAAAATACCATTCCATAACTGTAAGTGGGATTTCTCAGCAGAGGGAGCCTGCTGTGGCGTTTCTTTGCCTTGCTTGCCTGGAGAAGTCATGAGGGTTGAGTTCAAGTCTGGCTCCAAAAGAAGGAGGTGGATTTGATGGTCAGTGTTTGCCACCCTTTGCTCCGTGCACCCAGGCAGGGGGATAGCCCCTCACCCTGATCCTTCCTCTCTGCTACCAGGGCAACAGGAAATGAGGGCAAACTTTGCTCCCAATTCTGCTCACTGTACCCAGCCCCATTATAATAATTAAGCAAATGGTGCCATCTAACGAATGTCCACATATTCCCCCACCCCACCCCCAGTCAAAACCAAAATTCCTGACCTCTAGTTTTTCAAGCTAGTCTCAGCCCTAAGGCTCATCTTACCTGGCCACTTGGCCACGACCTCCGAGCCTGCCCTTTGGGGACCTGGGCCTCCCTGTCTCACTAGTGAGACATCATCATGTGATGCAGCAGGGGTGCCCAGGCCCTCTCCAGGCCTGCTGGGGCCTCCTGGGAAAACATCTGTGAGCCAAGGACGAGGAAGGCCTGGCCCTGCAGACGGTTAGCCCGCCTGCTGCTTAGAGGACAGGATGATAAAGAAGGGCTATGCAACTCACTTCCCCTATGACTTGGCCACGAGGAAGCTCATAGTTCAGGACCTTCCGCCCCGTTTGCTTGTACTCCATTTTCTTCTCTGTTCCTCCCATTTCATGCATCCCACTGGGGCATGATTTGTTACTGTTTGAGCCCGTGAAATATTTTATTTTGTGCAGAAGCTGCTTCGAGGTCTAAGAAACCCTAAACAAGTCCAGGTGTCCTCTGAGCTCTGTCCACCTACCGCCTTCTCCCCTTTCCCATAGACCACACACCAGCCCAGGCTCCCTTCACCTCCCACGGGGACTCCTCCAGCTTCCCCTCCATTTCCATCCTCACTCTCCATTCTTTCTCGCTTGGGGGAGCCAGAGAGATTGTTCCCTGGCTCTTTTGTGGCAGTTTGAGTTCTGGGCAGCCAACAACAGCTCACTCTGGCTTGTTTATCATACTCATGCACAAAAGAACCTACCAGAAAGGTGTCAGGGGGATTCCCTCATATAGCAACAGATGCAGCCCTAGGCTGAGATTGTCTCAGCATCAACAGTGGGGCCTGGATCCTTGCTGTCACTGGTTGCCATGACAATCAATCGCTACCCCTCATTAGGCAAAGAAAGAATTCTGCATGTTAATGGTTCCAGACCTGAAGATCTATGAGGAAGATGGAAGGTCCAACCTACTGTTCTGGGCTCACTGCCTGAGCCTTGGTGCCCTGCGATCCATCAGTTCAGGTTGGACACACTAGTCCTTCATTAGTATACAAAACAGGGAATTCAAGTAGAAAGAAGGGTTAGGGGCCCGGCGGTGTGGCCTAGCAACTAAAGTCCTCGCCTTGAACGCGCCAGGATCCCATGTGGGTGCCGGTTCTAATCCCGGCAGCTCCACTTCCCATCCAGCTCCCTCTTTGTGGCCTCGGAAAGCAGTCGAGGACGGCCCAAAGCCTTCGGACCCTGCACCCATGTAGGAGGCCCAGAAGAAGTTCCTGGCTCCTGGCTTCGGATCGGCACAGCATCGGCCATTGCGTTCACTTGGCGAGTGAACCATCGGATGGAAGATCTTCCTCTCTGTCTCTCGTCCTCTCTATATATCTGACTTTCCAATAAATAAATAAATCTTAAAAAAAAAAGAAAGAAAGAAAGAAAGAAGGGTTAGGAGCCAGGCAGAAAACCTGTGCCACTGTCCACCACCCTTGCTACATATCCCTGACTTCCTGTTGTTCCTAGAATGAAATCTGGATTATTTTTAAGATTTATGTATTTATTTATTTACTTATTCATTGTTTTTATTTTTCTTGGAAAGGCAGATTTACAGAGAGGAGAGACAGAAAGATCTTCCACCTGCTAGTTCATTCCCCAAATGGCTTCAATGGCCAGAGCTGAGTCAATCCAAAGCCAGGAGCCAGGAGCCAGGACCTGGGTCTTCCATGTAGGTGCAGGGACCCAAGCACTTGGGCCACCCTCGAGTGCTTTCCCAGGCTACAAGCAGAGAGTTGGATAGGAAGTGGAACAGCAACCAGAGCCCCTATGTGATGTTAACACTGCAAGCAGAGGTTTAGACTACTATGCCATGGAACTGGCCCCATAAATTCAGATTATTTACCAAGGCCTAGCAGAGCTTGCCTGTTCTAGCCCATGCCTCCCCTTCCAACCATCACCCTCTCTCACCAGTCTCCTCTGCCTGGTTACAGCAATGGTCTTGTGAGACCTTGCACAATGCTGAGCCTCAGGCCTCCCTAGGGACTCTGTACGTGTCTGGAGTGCCCTCTCCCTTTGCCCTGGAGCTTCTGTATGTTTCACTTCTCAGCTTCTGAGGGGCCTTCCCTGACCCACCTGTCTGAAGGCGGGTGAGGGGGGTGGGATAATTCCTTTACAGTCCCTTTTATGGCTCTTAGCTCATCTGAGATTACTCCACACTGGCATTTATGGTCTTTGCCCATCCACCCTTTGGACAGACCTGAAGCTGCACACAGGCAGAGAACCACAGGCTCTTTTCTTTGCTGAGCCCCCAGTGTATGGCAGGGGAAGTGTGTGGCACAGGAAGTGATGCGGACATGAGGGGAAACCAGCCATCGGTAACCTGGAGAATGTGGTCGTTTAAACAACCCAGGTTATGGTACAAGATTAGTCACGCGCCAATAAAAGCATGAGAAGGGGAAGAGGTCAACAATGCCAGCTCTGGCCATGAGGAACCTCAGGGTGGGGCTGGGGCTGTGGTGTGGCAGGTAAAGCCTGTGCCTGTAACGCTGGCATGGCTGTGTCCCCACTGTTCCATGTCTGATCCAGTTCCCTACTAATGGCCTGGGAAATCAGTGGAGGATGGCCCAAGTGGTCAGACCTCTACACCCATGTGGGAGACCCAGGACAAACTCCTGGCTTCAGCATGGCCCAGTCTTGGTCCTTGGGCCATTTGGGGAATGAGCCAGTGGATGGATGATCTCTCTTTCTCTTTCATTCTCTCTCTCTCCCCCTCCCTCTCCTTCTCTCCACAGCACTGCCTTTCAAATAAATAACAAATCTTAAGGAAAAGAAAACTTAAAGAAACTACAGGGTACTACAGATCCCCAGGATCACTTTCGGCTGAAGCTGGGGGACTTAAAGAAGTCATCCTATTCCCCCTTCTCCAAGGCCATCTCCAAGTTCACGGCGCTCATGAATCACATGGCTCCCACGCTCAGAAGGGCCTCATGCTTAGGATTTGGTGATCTGAAATAGTTATGAAACTCTCAAGCATCTTAAGTCCAAACCCTCATTTCATACACAACTCCCAGTGGTACAAGGGAGCCTGTCCTGGAGTACCCTGGGCTCACACAGGGTCCTGCCTCCCACTCTCCAAGCCAGCACACCTACCCCTCCTGCTCTCACACAGTGACCAGGGCCACCTTCTGGCCCCAGAGAGGGTTCAGATACCTGTGTGAGGAAGACCCAGGTCTGACGTGGGCATCCCCAGCATCTTGTGGCAAGCATGGAGGTGACTGTCCCCATCCCAGACTGGCAGAGCTGTGGATGGTACAGTTTGGCAAATGTCTGGGAGTGACTGCAAGGAGAAGCCTCTTGCTCCCCCGCTTCCTGGCCCTCACTCACTCCCCTTTCACCCTCACTTCTGGTGCAAGGAGCCCAGATAGGAGAGTGCAGAATGCTGTGGTTTGGGCTAGTCAGCAGGTGGGAAGGACAGGCCTCTGGTTTGGCTTTGGGCTCCCAATGGGGCACAGCATATGGATCTGGATGGAGGGTGGCCACAGATGGTGGCCGCAGCTACACACAGGGGCCCTGAGCTGCGAGGGTGCTGGGCGGCCAGGACAGTGGGACATCACATGGTAAGTAGACACTGCCATGCAAGATCTTGATATTAGAATAGGTTTCACGGCGTTCCACTCGCTACTGCAACCAGGAAAGCTGGGTTTTATTTCTCAGCAGGCTCAGCACATTGTGCAGGTGCTTCTGCCCTCACCTCGTCCTGCCTCAGTGGAGCCCTTTGCTACCACCACCTCCCATCATACTGAGGGAGGGGCACTGCTGCAGACAGAAGCCAAGCACTGATTAAGCTCTTAACGGATTTGGCAGAACCACTCCTTGTGATGATGATGATGTGGTCCCCCCGCCCTGCAGTCCCCACTAACCACAGTGCAGGAGGATGGGCGTGGATCGGCTGCACAAACTGCACAAACGAGATTCCTCTTGGCCGTGATTTTAACTCCTACACTGTGGATGCTGGGGGTCCACTGAAATTGCCCAACCAAACTATCCCATTTTAGAAAAAAGTCAGTTGGTTCTAACTTCTACTAAGCCGTACTCCCTGGTTTCCTGCATCTGACGCTCTGCTGTGCCTGGGACCCATCTCAAGACACAGCACAGGTGACAGCATTGAATGCAGGAATGAAGCAGCTGCTTGCAAAAGAAAGCTGGGTACTGACTTCTTGTTCATGGGGGTTCCCTTTCTATGGCAGGTAACAGGCCTCTGGTGCTGAATTTTGGAAGTTGCACCTGACCTTCATTTCTTTCCAAATTCGACCAATTCAAGAGACTTATTGAAGATTTTAGCTCCATTGCAGATTTTCTCATCATTTACATTGAAGAGGCGCACGCATCAGGTACCCACTCCACCTCTACCTCCGTCTGTCTTCTCATTTGCTCCTTCCGCTCAAGCTTATCTCCAGCCTGCAGAGCTGGAGGAAGAAAAGGAGAAAAGGGAAAAGGGAGGGCTGTTCATTGAGCTCTCACTGTCTCCTCTGTTCACCCTCACTCACTCACCCCAGTCTGTGCTTTCAAGCAGATTACACAGACAGCAGAAGGTCTAGACAGCACCCTCACCTCCTGGACGGGTGCCTGGGGAATGCAAGGGGGAGAAAGAAATGTCACAAGTGCCATCTGGTTAATTTTATGACACAGCCCCAAACTCAAAGGATCATTCTGGGAAGTGTGTATTGGGTGCAGTGGTTAAAGCCATCTCTTAGGATACTAGCATTCCACATCAGAGTGCATGGCCCAAGTCCTGGCTGCTCTACTTCCAGTCCAGCTTGCTGCAAAGTCGGCACCTGGGAGGCAGCAGAGGGTGGCCCAGGTATCTGGATCCCCTGGATACCCACATGGGAGACCTGGATGGAGTTTGAGCTGCTGGAAATAGGCTGACCCAATTTATTCAGGGAAGCGCTTTCTCTATTTCTTTCTAAAATACATGTATATTAATTATATATTAATTAAATATATTAGTTATATATTAATTATAAAATATATTTTAATAACTTAAATTAAAAGTCCAAAATTTAACAACAACCAAGAGGCATTACAGTTCATCCCAGATGGCAGTTCTTGAATCTCAGTGAGTATTGGAAGCATCTGAAGGGTTTGTTAAAACAGACTGATGGGGTCTGCAGAAACAGAACAGTAAACTTCCTTCAGAACTAGGGAGAGGAGCTTTCTCTGGTCCTTACTTAGTTCCAACTTTGGATCCCCACCCTCTCTTGCAGTGACCATCAGGGTCGCTCCAGAGCTCAGAGCCCCCCCACCCCCAACACACACACACACACACACATTAGAATAGATAGGAAAGCTTAGAACCAGACAGGAAACGGTCAGCGTGGACTCACACATACCTTAATATGTAGGACACAAAGATTAGTTACTCCTCACTAGGTATTGAAGATTTCGCTGCACACCCCTCCTAAAACTGCTCTGCACCTCAATTGTTGACATATGCCTTGTTAGAGTTATAAGCCAGTTTAGACTATCCTAAAATCTGCCAAGTTCAGCAAAATTATGCTTCAATACAATAAACTGCTAAATACTAAAATGAAAATAGACATGAGACAGCTGAATAGTCATTTTAAGGTGTATAGAAGCCGGTAGTATATAAACTAAAATTGAAATGTCAATGAAGTGGTCACAGGATGTGGTTAAGAACTTGCATTTTTTTTTAACATATTGGTTACTCAATACCATGCCAATTAATACCATAATGTTGTAAATTGTCGTTGATGTTATGTTGTGGCTTTAAATTGATCAGGATATTCTGCCAGCTCTACCTTCAGGCCAGAGATGGTCTCCCCAAGAAACCGTTGAATTTATCTGGACAATAAGATGCTGGACTCTATGCTTGGTACACGCTTGCAGTGAAAGAATCTTGACTGAATTTGAAATGTAATAGTGCAACAAGGTGAAGGAAGCCACCATGGGGGGAGGGTGCTGGGAGGAATCCCAGAGCCTATGAAACTCTGTCACATAATGCAATGTAATTAATTTTTTTAAAAACCATATATATATTAAAAAAAAAAACAGACTGCTGGGCTACTGCCAGGGTTAGCAGATCTGTGAGGAGGGCCTGACAATGTGCATTTCTCATAAGTTCCAGGGCTGTGGGGCTGCTGGCCTGGTACTGCTCCAGGCAGTGGTGTGAATTCCCTGGGCAGGCAGCCTCTCAGCAGCCACAGCAGGTAGTTCCCGCCCACCTGGCTTACTTCCCAGGAACTCTTGCTCCTCTCCCTTCCTTACAGGGAGCAGACACATCCCGTGTGGACAATCTTCCTCAAGCTCTTTCAAGTTTGCCAAATAGTCTGAGACACCCAACTGCCAGACTAGGATTGCTGTCTGAGATCAGAAATCCAGAAATCTTCCCTTAAGGGGATGATGGGCCCATGACTGGGGACTCAAATTTCAGATTTGAAGCAGCCAGGAGGCTCTGTGTCTGGGTGGAACAAGTGTCCTCAGTCAACCACCTGCCCACAGGATGGGAGAGATGCTGTCTGACTGGTCACTGCCACCAGCCCCTGGCGGAGCCTATGTCACTTAGTGCTCTGGAGTCATTGGGTGACTGAGTGGCAGTTAGGCCAGGGTCAGCCTTGATGGCTTGCTTGTGTACTCACCCATGTTGGCTTAGTGATGCTTTTCACAGCATGGTCTCCAGACCCCCAAGGTTACCATCTGGGTTGCCTGTTGACCATGCTTCCATACCCCAGGGCCTCACCCTAACCCCACTGCTTTCCTAATGCATGCACACCTATAGGTTTGACAACAGCTTTCAGCGTAGTGCCCTGTTCCTTCCATGATCAGTTTGTGTCCTCATGAAGCCTTCAGGGCATTTCAAACATTAGATATATAGAGATGTTTTGTGCATTTGCTAGGATGCTGTATCCTGTGTCTGAGCATGTGAGGCCCAGCCATGCCTTTGAGCCCAGCTTCCTGCTAACACAGAATCTGGGAGGTAGCAGGTGATGGTCCAAGGACTTGAGTTCCTGCCACGGATGTTAGAGACCTGGCTAAACTTCTGGACTCCTGATCTGCAATTTAGGCTGTAGCAGGCATTTGGGGAGTTAGTGGTTGGAAGTCTCTGTCTCTGCCTTTCAAATAATTAAAAATAAGGAAATTAAAGAAAAAATAAGAGCATAAGAGACTAGGAACCCAGGGGTTCCTTCTACTGGTCTTTCTACTTTAATGTGTGTTTAAAATTTTCCATCAACAAACTTTTCTTTTAAATAAGAATAAGGTAGGTAACACAAGCACAATGTGTCTCTTTGTCAATCAGCAGCCAGACCTTAAATAAAGAGAACATGGGTGGGGGGAACAGGTTTCTGTGGTCAGTGTCCACAGCTGAGGAGAGATGGTACCTGGATGCCATCACAGCTGAAGTTCAGCCCAGGCCAAGTTCACTGTCACGGGGCAGTGCTTCTCAGTCTCAAATGTGCCTTCAGTTCACCTGGGGATCTTACAGAAATGTAGATCCTGGCTCAGAAGGGCTGGACTGACACATGAAGCCAAGACTAGGCCAGGAAACACACTTGGAGTAACGAGGTCCTTTGAGGCTCCCACTTCTGACTCCAAAGGAACCAACTGCTTCCTATGACATCAGGGGTCAGGTCATCCCAGAAACTTGTGTCCTGGGCCTGGGACTGTCTCCTGACTTGGGTCGCACCCTTCCTAGCACCCAGGGCTCGTGCCCACTCAGGCACTGGAAAAAGGATGGAATGCATTGTGTCCCTGTTCTGCCATGGACAGATGTTGGCCTCCATACTGTGCCTCTCCCAGTACACGCAGCTCTTCCCCTCTCCGTCTCTTGCTCCTGGGTCTACTTGTCTGTCAGACAGAATTAGATGTGTCTGACCTTAGATTTCTAGTGCATAGAGCCAGTTCCATCAGCTCTGGGATGGCTGAGGTCTATGGCCTTAGTCTTGGGGTTTCCTCTACCTATACACTAATTACATTTGTCCAGGTGGAGTACAAACTAACATGAGCCATGATATGGGGAGCTCACAGACTTGGCAGTGTCAACACCCAGATGTGAGCTCTAGTGCCACCATGTGCCGGCCCCAGGAGCTTGCACAGCCCACCTGCCATTCCTATTTCTGAACCACTGACACAGGCTGACAACAGCTTCCTCGCACAACTACTCATTCAACAATGGCTAAGGACAACCTACCTCCTGCTGTTCATCCCTGTTGCTGGCGGTGGCATATACACATGGTTCTGGTCTCCAAGGAAGCCACAGTTGTAGTCAGGGTACAAGTGGCTGCCTCTCTCTCTCTCTCTCTCTCTCTCTCTCTCTCTCTCTCTCTCTCTCGGTCCCCTGGGACTGATAACCCCTGGGAGGCTCCAGGGTGCTGATGGGCGGGCAGGGTTGCTTAGCTATGCCACACATGCAGGCAAGCATCAGCGAGTGTTTGTGCTTTGGTGTGTTTCTCCGGGGAACTGGTTTTCCTAGGGGAAGTCCATGAGCAAGAAGATGTGGGAGCACAGATGAGGGGGAGCCAACCTACCGGCAGCCTTGAATGCCTCATCTGGCCACAGAAACAACTCTTGTCCTAGACAGGCCCCCTGGCTTCTGAGGGGGACCTGTTGACTATCTCATCCAGCATCCCCAGAAATGGAGCAAGTAAACGGACAAGGCCATGAACAGCTGACATGTCAAGTCATGGGTCCATTGTTGGGAGTTCCTGAAGGAGGGAAGACCAGGTGGGAAGGTGTGTGACGATGGGAGAGGAAGTCTGCTGAACAAGGGTCAGGGCTGGGTTAGCAGCTGTGCTTGGCTAGGAGCCCACCCCCAGTGGCTCACTGGAAACTGTCACGAGAGAGAACGCAGCATCGGCTGAGGCGGCCGAAGTCCTGGGATGCAGAACAAGGAAAGAAAAAGACCCCACTTTGCTCCTGCTGCAGGTGGAGGCAGCGACTGTGATGATGTGAGCAGACATGTGATAGTCAGAAGTGGGTGGGTCAAGGACTGCCCCACCTGGCTAGAGCACAGAGCTGGGGGTTGGGGCACGGGAGGCTGCAGGAGCCTGGTCCCTGAGACCAGGCTGAGCACCAGTTCCTTTTTAAAAATTCGCTTATTTTTATTTGAAAGGCAGAGTTATAGAGAGGGGGCGAGACAGACAGAGAGGGAGAGCTCTTCCACTGCTGCTTCACTCCCCGATGGCCACAATGGATGGAACTGTACAGTCCAAAACCAGGAGCCAGGAGCTTCTTCCAAGTCTCCCATGTGGGTACAGGCGCCCAAGGTCCAGAGTCACCCTTGCTGCTTCTCAAGCACATTAGCAGGAAGCTGGGTCAGAAGTAGAGCAATTAGGACTCAAACCACTGCCTACATAGGATACTGGCACCTCAGGCAGAGGCTCAACCTACTATGCCATGTTGCTAGCTCCTCTGAGCAACAGTTCTTAAATTTTAAAGTTTAGAAGCATCACTTAGAAGTCTGCTATAACACAGAATGCCTGACCCCACTCCTGGTTGGTCTAGTGTGGGATTTGAACCCCTGCATTAACAAGCTCCCCAGTAACGCTGAGGTAGGTGCTCTGAGTTCACACACTTAAATAATATCTGCTGTAAACTGTACTTCTTTTTATGTATTTTTATGTATTTTGAAGAGGCATACACACATGCATCTTTCATCCATTACTTCCCCACCCCCCTTCGCTCCTTCTCAGGTGCCTGTAACAGCTGGGGCTGGGAAGCCAGAAGCTGGGCACTCAATCTGGGCCTCCCCCGTGGGTGGCAGGGCAAGCATCACCTGCTGGCTCCCAGTGTCAGCATCAGCAGAAAGCTGGGATCAGCACACTGCAGCTGGCAATCAAACTTATGCTCTGGTGTGGGAGGCAGGTGTCTCAGACATTAGGCTAAGCACCTGCTCCCAGCTGTAACCACTCAAAGCATGGTTGATGCCACCCCTAGACTCACGGTATCAGAATCCTGCGGTGGTGAGGTCCCTGAGCAATTCATTCCAGGTTAAAGATCCAATGCTCTGGTCGGCTCGATCATCTCCCTTGAACAAGCCAGGGCCTGGGTGGTCAGGGGTTCTGGGCTTTGGTTCAGACCATCAATAACTCTCTCGGTGACCTTGCACGATCACATGCAATAAGGGAAATGGTGCATGGTCACACGTGATAGGGGAACGGGGTCACTTGGTGGCCGTGAGCGCCTCTCTCTATCTGGCACTCTCAGTTCAAAGTGTGTGTGAAGGGAAGGGGATTGTGGGATCTGTGGAAAGCACGTGCTCAGCTGGCCGGCCTGGGCACTGGCCTTTGTCTTGTAGATGGCTGGGCTTTTAAGAACAACGTGGACATCAGGAATCACCGGAACCTCCAGGATCGCCTGCAGGCGGCGCACCTGCTGCTGCCCAGGAGCCCCCAGTGCCCTGTGGTGGTGGACACGATGCAGAACCAGAGTAGCCAGCACTATGCCGCACTGCCCGAAAGGCTCTACGTACTCCAGCAGGGCAGGATCCTCTACAAGGTGGGCAGCTGAGAACGGGGCGGGCCCCAGGGCAAGGCCAAGGAAGGCCAGGGTCGGGGCTCAGGGGGTGCTGGACTTGACTCCCTGTGCAGCCACTGACCAGGTTGGAATCCCTTCACCTCTCAGAGCATCCATTTTCCCCTGCAAACTGAGGGTGTTGCGTACAGTACAGGGGAGATGGAATATTGGATATTTGGATCATCTCTGTCTTCTGAGCCCAGGAAAGCAGCTTTCCTAGGGTCTCGCTGGACAAGGCTTTGATTGCAATTCAGAATCCCCTGGTTGGGCTGGGCAGGCATGAGGGGTGTGGGTAGGCACTGATCTCCAATCTCTGAGGAGGGTAGGGACCCCCAGTTGAGAGCTGGAAGTGCTGAGGCAGGGCTTTGAGCTGAATGGGGACTGGGGGAGAACAAGGTTGAGCCAGAAAATGTGGTGCTGTGGGTTGCCAGGGCAGGGTGTCTACGAACCTGTCCTGCGGCAGACGATAGATAGATCTGCCTCTGTGAGCCCTACCTACTCCCGTGCTGGCTCTCAGAGTGCAGGCTTTCCCACCCCTGGGGCAGGGTGGGCTTCTCCGAGGAGGTGGTAATTGCATGGGCCTTCAAGGTTGAAGAGTCAGCTGAGTAGGCACAGTGAGTGAGATTCACTGTGAAGACAAAGGGAGGGGATGGGGAGAATACAAAAGCAGGTTGGAGAGGAGGGTGGACAGGGGTCTGGTTCAACCTTTACCTCAGGGTACAAGAGAACTGTGGAGGAAATGGGGAGAGGTGTGGCTCAGAATGGCATTAAAGAAACATCCCTGGCCCCTGGGTAAAGAATGGTCTGGAGGGTGCAGGAACTGGGACTGGGCACAGTTGGGAGGTGTTGCAGCTGTTGAGGTGGGGAACAAAGAGGGCCGAGTGAGGGCAGTAGGAGTGTGTCGGCAGAGAGGGGCCAATGCAGAGTGGCTGCGTTTCCATTCCCTCAAGGGCCAAGGGCGGGAGGGGGTGGTAAATGTGACATTGGACCACGATGGGGGGAAGTACTCACCTTCCTCCCATCCCTACCTTCAGCTCCAAGGAACTTTGTCCCCTCCAGCTCGGGTTTTCTGTCCAGGCTTCTCACTCAGCTTGCTGTCCCCAACTACCCTTTTCCGTGCAGCTCCCATGAGCACGCTCCATCCCCATATACTCCATCCCCATGTACTGGCTGTGTGCTGAGGATCTGGGAGTGCACAGTTCTTTTCTCTTGCAGGGTCAACCTGGTCCTTGGAACTATGACCCGGAGGAAGTCCGCGCTGTCCTGCTAAAGCTCCACAACTAACCTGCACAAAAGTCCCTCCACCCCCTGCCCAGTCCCCAGTAGCCAACAGGAGGGGCCCTCCAGGAGTGACTGTCCCTTCCTTGCCGCTGGCCTTTGCCTGGGACCCATGTTTGCAGCTGAAACCACTGGCTCAGATGTTCCTGCTTCCAGTGATGCAGGGTTTCCAATCAAGACCAATGGCGATGCTCACCCCAACAGCCTGTTAAAGCCCTCACGATGCCACATGGCTCCTACAGTGGGGACGTGGTCCTGGCCCGGCACCTTCCACAGAAAGTGTCCCCAGTCAGGTGCTGAGATGGAAGATGGGATGTCAGATGTCTTCCACAGGTCACCTACATTCATTCAGCTACATTTGCCAATCATGAAATGGCTCATTCAAGATACCAAAAAAATTTTTTTGAAGAATTCTTGATGATAAAGAGAGTTGAGCAATTGAAAGAGGAGGGGGGACAGGAAAGGACATTTTTGTAGACAGTGTGGTGCTGGTGCTGGTGAGGGGTGAGCTTCCATGGTAACACATCTCCAAGACCACCCAGAGGAGGAGAGAACTCACACTACCACCTTGGACTACACACAGAAATCTGGCTGCTACCTTGGAACCTTCTGCTCATGTCACTTTTCAACAGTCATTTTAATGGGAGGCTTGGTTTTCCAAAGAAAGCATCCCAGCCTTGGTAGCTCAAATAAACCAGGAGCACCGTCACACGCCTGGGCAGGAGGTTGGGTCTGGAATCCTCTTTCTCTAATTTCTTTGCAAGTCTCTTAGTCGTCATTTGGGTCCAGAGTCCCTCAGACCAGTGGTCACCATTGATGATCGCATGTTGCCAGTCTGTGTCTTTCACATTTGCTTATGACGGCCACAGCCTAAAGTCTACACGGTTGTGGCTTGATCTGGGGAAAAAAATGTTCTAAGAGGCAGCAGGCTAATGCAGTATGATTAAACTCCATCAGGCTGTTTAGTGGGCTGTCCATGTGGTCTCTGTGTCTGCCTCTTCTGGCTGGTATGTTAGCCTGGAGTAATCTGAGCAGCCTAAATGCCTGGAAGGGCCTCACTTGGTGGACAAGACAACCCAGGTGTTATTGGTAACATGAGGTTGGGTGTGCACAGGGAACCCCTGGCAGAATGAAGCCATTTGTCAACATCAAACCACCTTCATTGCATGATATGAAAGAATAGCCTTGGGGAATATCTTACTAGCATGAAAACACATCTGCTGGGGCTCTGTCTTGGTGGCTGTAGTGTCATTGATGTTGGCACTTTACACTTTTTTTTTATTTACGAATTTTTGCTGAAAAGGTAGGTTTACAGAGAGAAGGAGAAACAGAAAGAGAAGGTCTTCCATCCAGTGGTTTACTCTAAATGGCCGCAACAGCTGAGCTGAGCTGATTCGAATCTGGGAGCCAGGAGCCATGAGCCAGGAGCCTCTACCAGTTCTCCCATGTGGGTACAAAGGCCCAACGATTTGAGTCATCCTCAATTACTTTCTCGGATCATAAGCAGGGCCTTGGGTTGGAAGCGGAACAGCTGGGACACGAGCCAGCACCCATATGGGATGCTGGTACTACAGGGTGGAGGATTAGCCTGTGAGCCACAGTGCTGGCCCATACACTTGTAGAACTAGTTATTTATTACCCAATGGGGACAGGCACTCTCAGGTAGATTCGTATTTCATCTCTACTTACTTTGAAAATCACTGTTAGGCCTGTCTTATGGAAAATGAGACCAAGACAGAGTGATGAGCAGGTGTTAAGTTCTTAGAATCAGACAATCACAAACCAAGATTCAAACCCTATGCTCCAAAGCCTGCGTCCTGACTCTGCTATGTGACTTCAGTTGCTTGAACTATAAAATGGGATAGCCACAAGCATCTCCCCTGCAGGGATTCTTGAGTAAAGCTGTCAGAACTGGTGCTTGCCTTGGAGAAAAATACCGTGGAAAGTGTGGGCATCACGGTGATGCTCACTACTGCTGCTCCACAGCTGCCTGCTCAGGTTCCCTTTCTGAAGATGGGGAGGTGGGGAAGAACAGGACAGCAGGGACATTAAGTCCCTGCACCCACGTGGGAGACCTGCGGGTGATAAAGCCGCAAGCCACCCAGACCCGGGCCAGTCACCCTGAGAGAGAGCAGCTGTGAGAATGGTGAGTTAGCACACAGCTGAGCTCCAGCTTTCCTGGGTACATAGCTTGGCCCAAGGATGCAGTGTGGAAGGAAGCACTGTCCAGGGCCACTCAGGTGGTCCTCCAGGTCTACACCTGTGCAGATTGCCCTGGCACCCACAAATAACAGGATCCAGAAATAGAGTTTTCCATCTTTCTTCCTTTCTTCCTTCCTTTTTTCCTTCCTTCCTTCCTTCCTTCCTTCTTTTTCTTTCTTTTTCTTTTCTTTTTTTTGCTAAAGATTTATTTATTTATGTATATTGGAAAGGCAGATATACGGAGAGGAGGTAAGACAGGAAGATCTTCTGTCTAATGTTTCACACCCAAGCAGCTACAATGGCTGGAGCTGAGTCCATCTGAAGCCAGGAGCCAGGTCTCCCATGTGGGTGCAAGGTCTGAAGGCTTTGGGCCATCCTTGACTGCTTTCCCAGGCCACAAGCAGGGAGCTGGATGGGAAGCAGGATCACTAGGATTAGAACTGGCACCATATGGGATCCTGGCACATTCAAGATGAAGACTTTACTTGCTAGGCTATTGCGCTGGACCCTCTTTTCCTTTCTTTTAAAGATTGATTTATATATTTGAAAGGCAGTGTTACAAAGAGAGAGGCATGTTCTATCTGCTTACTGGCTCATTCCCCAGATGGCTGCCATGGCTGTGGCTGAGGCCAGATGGAAGTCAAGAAGCAGCAGCTTTATCTAGGGACCAAGCCCTTGGGCCACATTCCACTGCATTTCCAGGTTCATCAGCAGGAAGCTGGATCAGAAGAGGAGCAGTTGAACCAATGATGCAATATGAGGTGCAGGACCCCAAGCCCCCGAGTAGTTTTCTGAATCAGACAGAACCAGGCTTTTCAGTTTGACTTGATGAGGGGACAGCAGGGAGCAGATGGGGGCCCAGGCGCTATGGTCCCTCCTTTGATGAATTCTGCTTTTTTTTCTGTTAAAGATGTATTTATTTATTTGAAAGGCAGAGGGAGAGAGATCTTCCATCCACTGATGGCTGGGAGAAGCCAGGAGCCTGGAACTCCATCTGGGTCTCCCAGGCAGGTGCAGAGGCCCAAGCTGCGGGTCATTTACTGCTGCTCTCCGAGGTGCACTCACTGGGAGCTGTACGTTCCTGCTTTTCTGTCCACCTCTATCCATATCCCTTGATCTTGTAGATGACAGGACCTGGACCAAGTCTCTCTGATCTCAATTAGAACTCTCAAATTTTACAATATATTTGCTGGGGGCACCAATGTCAATCAATTCTCTTCGGTGTAATGCAACAAACACCAGTCGGGCACTGCTGCTGCTTTTCTTGGTGCAGAGTGCAGCATGCAGTGAGGAGGAACTAGGGCCGCCTGGTGCATTTCGAGCGGCGTCTGACTGCTGAGCCGGAGCTGCAATTCCCCCGCTCCCACCCGCACCCCCGTTCCCTCTCCTCATCTCTCTGGCCCACTTTTTCTTTCTTTTAAGCTCTCCTAGCTCACATTTCATCTTCTGCAGCATTTTTCCCTTTAATTTTTGTTTTTGTTTTTCCAAAGGTCAGAGGTTTCAATTCAACCTGTTCTTGATTCTGTATCTGCTGCATTTTTAAAAATCTTTATTGGAAAGTCAGATATACAGAGAGGAGAAAACACAGAAGGGAAGATCTTCCATCCGATGATTCACTCCCCAAGCGGCCACTATGGTTGATCCTGAGCTGATCTGAAGCCCCTCTGAGTATCTTAAAATCCCTTTGTTTGATATTATTGATATTATTCTTTTCTTAAATAAAATTAGTTCAGGCCCAGTGCAGTGGCCTAGTGGCTAAAGTCCTCACCTTGAATGCACCGGGATCCCATATGGGCACCAGTTCTAATCCCAGTGGCCCCACTTCCCATCCAGCTCCCTGATTGTAGCCTGAGAAAGCAGTCGAGGACAGCCCAAAGCCTTGGGACCCTGCACCCGTGTGGGGGACCTGGAGGAAGTTCCTGGATCCTGGTTTTGGATCGGTGCAGCACCAGCTATTGCAGCCACTTGAGGAATGAATCATTGGATGGAAGATCTTCCTCTCTGTCTCTCTTCCTCTTTGTATATCTGACTTTGCAATAAAAATCTTTAAAAAATAATTAAAATGGTATCATAGTTTCTAGTCATAAGTTCTCACAGTCCAACAGTCTCCAAATGAATCTGGAGAGCCTGTTAAAAGAAATTCTTGGAGGGGCCAGCACTGTGGCATGGCAAGTTCAGCTTCAGCCTGTGGTGCTGGCATCCCAACCGGTTCAAGTCCCAGCTGTTTTACTTCCACTTCAGCTCCTTGCTAATGCACCTGGGAAAGTGGTGAAGCATGACCCAAGTGCTTGAGCCTCTGCAACCACCTGGGAGACCAGAAAAAGCTCCCGGCTTCAGACAGGCTCAGTTCTGACCATTGCAGCCATTTGGGAGTGAAATTGCAGATGGGAGATTCTTTCTCTCTCTCTCTGAAACTCTGTCTTTCAAATAGATATTTTTTATATATTTTTTATGATACAAGTCCATAGGCTCTGGGATTTTCCTTACCTCCTTCCCAAAATCCCTCCCCCTGCACTGATTTCTCCTGTATTATTACAATAGGAGTATACTGTTGTATTTTGACATTGTGGGCATGGACAATGACAGAGAGTCCAGCATCCTATTGCCAAAATATATTTAACAGTTTCATTGAGAGTCCATCTTTGATTTGAAAGTAGAGATATATACTGCATTGTATCTTCATATCTGGATATTATAGCCTATATTACACAGTTACTATACACTTCTCTTAAATGAGAAGCCTTAAAACAAAATCAGCAACAGGAAGAAAGTAAAAATTTTGCAGTGTCATGAAGTTAAATAAC